AGCTAGTAAATATCACTGATGTTATCTTTAAATTATTTAAAAGAAAGAAAATCGTTTGAGGTCTCATTTTTATTAATGGGGAGCTCTAAACATTTGAAAAAATTCCATTTTTTTAAGTCTCTCCCGAACGATTTAATAAAAATTTTTGAATAACTTTTAGGAAAGAGGGCTAAAATTGTCTCCTTAATCCACTGTCCAAATTTTAGAATGCTAGTGCAAAAGGTTCTGGAGTTGTAAAAGCAACAGACACACAAACTCTTCGTTTTATTATTACATATAAGAGATTTCGTAAATAAAAAAGGATATTTTAAACTGAAATTTTCATTCAAAACTATTTCAGAATTTATCACCAATAACAATTTTTGTGAGAAGGGATTTTCTGAAAATGAAAACAGTCGAACTCAAAATTACTATTTTAATGATAATAATTTTAGTAAAAGAAAAAATATTCTTTGCACAGTTACATTTTGATTGTAAATAAACATTTCATTAATTGTTACCTTCAAGGATTTTAAAGAAATTTGAAAACATTTCCTACTCCTACACTGTGTTGCTCAAAATTATTATACAAATACTTTTCCAAGGAATTGGAAGAAGTATTTTTGCTTGGAAAAGCTGTTATTCAAAAATAGATTTCAATAATTATCTCATAAGAATTTGTCTGAAAAAAAGGACTCTCTACACTGAAACAATCAAATTTAAAATTTATAACACCCAATATTTTTTACACGCTATGATTCTCCTAATATATATATATGATTTCCTCCTATCAACATAAAATCGAAAATTGACGCTCAGTCACCAAATTTAAAGAGCAACACTCTAGTTTATAACATAAAATGAAAATTTATATTTGTAAAAACGTTATCTAATCTACACTGGTGGACAAAATGAAGAGATGGAAAGCATTTTTGTACATGCAAGATACCCGCACACCGCTCCATGTGTTTGACAATGGTTCCATGAATGCCCAGAGGTACAGGCAGGAGGTCCTAGAGCCCTATGAGCGTGTTTTCAGGGGCGCTGTTGGCCCTGAGTTCATTTTTATGGACGACAATGCGCGACCACATAGGGCTCTCATGGTTGATGAGTATCTGAAAAGCGAGGATATTCAACGAATGGATTGGCCAGTCAAATCCCCTGACCTGAATCCTATTGAACATGCTTGGGAGAGCTATTGCGATGCGCCAACCTCCCCCCAGAACCATTCTGGAGTTAAAAATTGCACTGGTGGAAGAATAGGAGGGTCTTCCACAAGTCCTCCTTAACTCCCTTATTAACAGCATGCATACTCGTTGTGCATGCTGTCTCTCTGTCAGGGGTGACCATACACCATACTAGAGGCAACACACACTGTACAAGCCTCACTTTTATTGTCATCTTTAATCCTTAAGTTCAGACTACATTGGATTTATTGGCAATAGGTCTTGCCAGTGAATGGCACTTTCATTTTTGTTTTGCATATTTTATTATCATGGAATAAGCTATATCCATACCAAATTTCATTTATTTATATTCAGCATCTTTTGAGATATTTGGGAAAATGTCTTCCATCTCTTAATTTTGTCCACCAGTGTACTAGCTAATCTGAATATTAACTTACCTTAATGATAAAGTAAATATGATCCCCAGAGGAGATGATAGCAAAAAGGACACAATCAAATAACAATTTTTGTAGTACAACTGAGGCCCAGATTTTACAAAAATGAAAACTTTAACTAAGTAATACAGCTCCTAAGACAGTCTTAAAAATTCTCAAACTGTTATCTATATTCTGGCTACCACTGGATGACAATTAACGTTACAAAACCTTCTGTGACACAAAGTCATCCTATTTTACAATACTTATTTAGTTGATTTCTTTCATTAAAATTTTTTATAAGTTTTATTCATTCATATAATAACATTCTCATTGAGATGTTAAAAATCTTACCAAATTTGAGGTACATAAAAAATCGCAGAAATTAAAAGCCTCTAAAAATTTCAAATTGTCAAAAAAAAAGCAAATAAGTAGACTATTCAAAAAAGTATTTTATTTAAACATTTTTACATAATAAACAATTTCAAGTCAATAAACATTTTTCTTTTTATACATCACAATTACCTTTAAAAACTGTCACACACATATAGTTAATTTATAATACATAAGGTCAATTTCTTTTTGATATGTATTTGTTTATAGCAATAATACAATAAGACTAGATTTCAAATTTAACAAAGCCTATACCTGACAAAAGTTTAAAAGGAATTCGCTATTAGAAAACATAAATTGTAAACACTGAAGAGGATAAGAGATATTTTTGAAAAAAAAAAAAAAAAAAAAGAGTTTTATCATTGAAAATTTTAGTCTTATTTAATTGTAAAAAACACATTTATTTTGCCAATTTTGCACGATTTATAAAAGATCAAAATGACAGTCTCTGAGTGTTTTTGGAGCAGAAGAAAGATCATTTGGCAATAAACAGTCGACGAGTAGAATACCTGTCATTTGACCGTAAATTAAAATGACGATAATGTCGCGAAACAAACATTTTAAGTGTGTGTTAGGAATTTATAGATTCTGTCAATTGGAAGTTAACGAACAAGAAATAAATGTCACAGCATTTCCGAATGTATAAATTTTAATATTCATTTATAAAAATGTCACATAAATCTTTCACTTACACAGTTAATCAATTATTTACTATAAATTGAATTGCAAAACAGAAAAAAATTCAGTGAATAATTATAAATAGTTTGTTTATTTCTTATTTATTTTTCAAAATCAGAATAATTCTCTAAATTCCTTTTTTTTTTTTATATAATAAAATAGATTTTATGCATTTTGCAAGACTTTCAAATATTTCTTACAAATCAAAAAGGATGTAGAGAAAATTCCTGAACTTAAACTTCTTAATTTCAGATTTATTGCTACATTTTTGAGGAAATAATTGAAAGTTTAATTCATTTGTTCTACTTCAAAACATTTTTCCATGCAAATAACATTTTAAAAATAAAATAACTGAATTGCAAGATGACATTACAAAAATGATTAATGTTATTAATACTTTTGCAAATTATGCAACAATATTAATGTTTAAATTTAAAAAAAATAGAAAATGTGAGTTTCAAATTTAATGCATTAAATGGAAGACTGATAAGTCACATTAAAAGTAGAAATTAAATACACGATTTTAAAAAAATGACAAAAAAAAAAAAAAGTCAGAGCATAAATTTTTTTTACATTGAAATTTGAAAGAAATAATAAAAAAAAAACTTTATATGTTTATAAAAAAATATAAGATATAGAATAATAAATTATAAGTGATATATACAGAGTGTAGGTCATTTACACAGGGTTTCATTTATGATAAATTTGTAATTGTTAAAAATTTTTTTTTAAAATTGTAATACTGAAATCTGTTGTTCACAAAGCTTTTATAAATAAATTATCAATTAATAATTTTTATTATACTAACTAATGAAAAACTTAATTACAAATATTGTCTTAATGTAAAATTAATTTATTGTTGGTAGCACAAGATTCTATGCATATCAGTAAGAATGCATGGATTCCCCTCCCCACATTTCAGATTACGGGCAGACTCTAGAATATATCACTTTCATTGCATTTAAATACAGAAAAAAAGTATTTGTAAACAAAAAGTTAAATGTTTATATTGATTCCCTAATTTTAAATGCACCAGAATATAAAATATGGAATAACTTACATAACACTACATAAAACTTTCACTTATCACGTTAAACATGCATCAACTGTTTACACAAATTATAAACAATTCAAGAGATCAAGACAAAGAGAAATCAAAATTTGTAAATTTAAAAATATTTCATTTATTACTTATCATTATAGGAGCTTCAAATACATAATACATTCAACGTTTTAATTCTAAAACAAAAAACAAGGCTAAGGTTGTAACACAAAATCTCGTTTTCTTTTAAGATAATTATATCTATATTAACAGTGAACTACACATGATCATTTCTGTCTTAGAAGAAATAAATTAATATTGTAACATAAATGCTATACAAAAAATCCGTCAAAATTTATTCAATATATATTGTACAAATATTTTTTTGAGGTAATAATATAACAATAAACACAGAAATGCATATATTATTTAACTTTATAGTTAATGTAAAACAATACATTACAAATTAACAATATTTATTATATATACAATACATTACCAATACAGCAGTTTGTTGTGTAATTAAATTTTTAAACAAAGTATGAAAGTAATAAAATTATACTTTATTCAGTTATGAAAAAAAAAAAACTAAGAAAGATGAAAAATTTTGAGCCATATAATTATTGTAATCTAATTAACTTAATTAAATTATAATTATATCACTATTAAAAATTTTTAAGCATGAAGTCGATCACAAGTAACTTTGGTCTGTATTATCTGTATTTAAACAATTATCAACTTAGACAAAACTTGACATTTTACCAAAGACTGAACATTCAATGTAAAGCTATCACACCAAAATGAAAAAATTTGGCAATGGAAAATTTGCATTAGTGAATTAGTTCAAATAAGGAATGGTAATCATCACACAGAACTTTAGAAATATTGAACAAACTATCACATTTGCATTTTGTTTTGAATACCTTTCTTTGGCTTCTGACTAATCTCACCAAGTGAATTTTTTTGCATTGTTACACAGAACTTCACAAATGTGAAAAATTAAAATTAATAGCATAAAAAAAATGAAATTTTTCAAAATTAAACAAAGAGTTTAAAGAAAACTGGCTGTTTTGGGAGAACAAAAAATATAACTCATTAAAAAGCACCAACTAAACTTTTTAAAAAAGCACCAACTAAAATTTCATCTACAGATTATTCAACCATAAAAGATTATTTAAAAACAGAAAACTCCAAACTATCAAAATAAATTAGAGTTTAAATTGTATTTTTTAGCACTTATGAACATTTCGAACATTTTGATTTTTTAAACATGTGCTCCAAATTATATATATTCATGGCTACAAACTGAAAAAAAAAATTTCTATTAAAAATAACTAGGCTAACAAACCAAAAGGTACCTGTCATATTAAAGTACAATTAAATAATAACAAATGTATGTATATGGATGCAATAATTTGAATATTTCACTTTGCATCTTTAATTAAGTTATCAGTAGAGGAGCAAATAAATCAAGTAACAAACTACAGAATTATATTTAAAAATATGTAACAGTTGAAAAGGATAACTGTAATTACAGTTTTTGTTATTATTAAATAAAATGCATTTAAACTCCAAATACCTGAACTTTAATTTATAAAAAAAAAATGCCAACTATAATAGATAATTTTGAAATTTGTTTGATGAATTTATACAAAATTATTTCTTTACATCCCAGAGATGATTAAGGTTAGTAATGACAAGTTATCTACCCTATGTTTGAAAAAGCATAGAACTGTAAACATTCTTTTTGTTGTCATTACATTAATATGTTAAATAGTTTTGGTGTCTATATTATAAACTTTTTTCTCCATCTATTTAAACATTAAGCAAATTAAGTTCTGATACCAATTAATAAGGATAACTGATGTTTCATCGTAGATAACTTTCTTTGTAAATAGAGAGCATAGATTAAATTTTATATAGAACAACTTTGATAAACAAAATTAAATCTGATCCATGAAATTAACCAAGATAATTAGAGTTCCCCTGTTCCCAACTTTTTAAATTAATAAACAGAGAGCATTACTTAAGTTCAATGAGTTATTTAAAAAGGTTAAAAAGCACAGAATTGCTTTTTATTACACGTTAGAAATGCAAACACATAATAAAAATTGAGTTTGGGGACGAAAAATATTTCTTTGAGATTCATTTAATAAGAAGACAAGTAATACTGAATTCTGTTGTGTGCATTTGACAATACATAAAAGAAAAAACAAATTGAGCAAAATTTCAAAAATAAATGCAGATTATAAAAATGCCACCATTCAGCTGTAATTCTCTTGCACTAACTGATAAGAATATTTATCTCTTCTTCTGCTAGTACACAACTTCCATGTACAAAAAACGGCTGTTCCTGCGATAATCAAGGCTACAACCAGGAAAAATACCTCTATCATCAGTTCTGAAATAGAATAAAAGAAAGTGTGCAGTTATATATTATTCAATCAAAACTACAGGTGTAACAAAACTAATGGTCAAATGAAGGTGAATGAACTAGCCAAAACAAACAATCACCATATAAATGAAGTCGGAAAGCAAAGATTAAAGCAAGTCGGAAAGCAAGGCCATTAGAAGGTACCTGCTAGACGAAACTATCTGGCTTTTGAATTTCCAAACAGATGGATTGCTCTATTTTCAGAACTTTTTCTTCTTTGGAAATTTAAAAAGTTACATCTACAAAGTATCCAACAAATTGAATTATGAAATGCCCAATGCAGTAGCAAACATTAACATTAAACATACACACTTTACAATACAACATACAATAACCATTCTCTTGATCGGTTAAGTTATGTTTAACGTTAATGAAATGTAGAGAACTTTCAGTGTGTCATTTACTATCACTAAAGTAAAACCTGTAGAGCTACTGCTTGACTATCATACCAAAAAAACAATATTCCACATTTTTTTAAAATTTTTTGTTATTTATGTGTGATTAAAGTTTCTGAAAAAATTTATAAGTGGAATTTAATTTTTTTTAAGCATTTATTTTTCTAGTTACACTTTTATCAGTGTAAATGTAAAGATGTCGTTCACAAAACAATCTAGTAAGATCATCCAATTACTCCAAGGCCAGCTCTTATTCTATTTTAAATTGCAAAATATCTCTCAAAAGCAGCTGCTGTTATTGGCAGTGTAATAGCAATTAGTTTTCTAAATTTAGAATACAGAAAAGGGATCATGGCTACTATCTCTACACTCATCGACTGATTTTCTAAGGGATTAACCTGTATCTTATCAGCAGGAAAAAAGAACTAACATATTAACAAAATTTTTACCAAAAGTATTTCCACTCCAATCAAAGTTTGAGGAGTAAAACACAAATCCGCCAGAGGATGCATATTAGCAAACTAAGCCGGGCAGTAATGGTATATTATTTTTTAGGAATTTCTTATAAGTTCAACTGTGGTTTTTGTTTTTACTGAATTTCTACACAGACAGGCATGAGTTCCTGATTCAAAACCATTGATAAACCTCAGGGCATATATAACAGTAAAAAATAATGTAAACAATAAAGTTTTATTTTACTAAGAAAATTATTTGTTATCAAACAATCGAACTTAAATTATTTTAGTTGCCATCGCATGTCAAAATTGAAAATATAATTTTAAAAGATCTGAATACAAATAGCACTTTTCAATAAAATATTACATAGTTTGTAAATTAAGTAAAGACAGGTGTTTTAAATATTTTTATTCGAATAGAATTACACTTCAATATTGTATCCCACAAATAATTCCCTTCAGAAACCACTTAGGGTTGAAGTTGGTTATTCAACTCCTCATAGAGGAACTAGAACTCAGATATTCGAATAACCATAACGAAGACGGTTACAGCTCTTTTTTCAGTGTCCCAATACAGCATACCTTGAGTTAAATATCTAAGAACAGGAAAAAGTCTAAATAATCAAGACAGGTGAATGAGGAGGTTAACTAAAACATTTAATAACATTGATGGTTGAGAAGGCAGGATCTTGATTTTTGATGCCACAAGTATGTGCCTTTTTCTGAGTTCAAACTAAATTTGTTACTCAAAATCTGACAAATGGTGATGGGATTCAAATTCAACTATTCTCCGATTATTTTGACTGTCATCTGAACACAGAAAAGCCTAGATTCTATTGAAACTTTATTGATCCCTGCACTTGAAGGTCTTCTGCAGAATAATTCATTTTCTGTCATCTCTCGTCCTTCTAGAAATGTTTTAACACATCTTCAGAAGGAAGAGAGTTGATAAAAAATGAATTACTGACCAAAAAATGCAAACTTTTGAAAAAAACACTGTCTTCATGAGCCTGCTGTATTTTTTCAAAAGTTTTTGTTGCACTGAATCAAAGTCGAAAGCAAAATCCAAAATTTACTTCACATTAATGTCACTTATTTTTAAAACGAACTACGAAAACTGTTTTCACAAGAAAGTAGACTTGGATGATAACATGAATCTACTGAGTTCCCACTTGCACAGAATATGCATGATATGTCCACCTTCAGCCTCTCCAAGTTCTTCAGACCTAAGTTGCCCTATCAAATGTTGCTGTGCCAGTTTCTTAACTTTTATTTACACACATTGCACAAACACAAAGTTTTAAAAAATCAAAGACTATATTAATAAAATAATAATAACATTAACAAGAAACTTACCTTGATCAATAATTACTTCTGTCAGTGATTTTGGAATTTGGCATTCTTTTTCCCAATCATCAGGTATTAAATGTTGGGTATAATTAATAAAATAATCCAAAGGACAGAACTCTGTGCAGCCATCGATAATCAGTATATGGGGAGTTTGAGCAGCTTTTTCAGGCGCTGTCGAGTTTAAGTATAGTAAGCGGAGAAAATGAGTATCATCTTTTCCACTATACAATTCAAACAGAATTGTGGCACAATAGGGTGGCATTTTGTTGTTAAAGAGGTTTAAGGAATTTAAGACGACTGCTACATTTGTGTCGTGCTGTAATATCAAAGAAAAAATTTAAAACTTTTATTCAATTCAATCTTAAACATTATAAAATAGCAATTGAACTGCAATATTCTTTTACAGTGTAAAATATTTATAATATAATGGAATGTTTTTCTTTTTGCAATTTCTCAGAAATGAAAGGAAAAAAACTAAAGAAAAATCTGTAAAAAAAATAAGTTTCTTCAAACAGAAAAGAAGCAATCAATGAACTTTTTTTTAAAAAGGAAATAAAATATTCAAAAAAACATTTTTAAGCAGCTTATAATAAATTTTTTTATTTATTTAATATTATTTTTACATTTTGTTTTAAAAAAATAAGGTTAACATAACATACATTTACAAAAATATTCGGCACATTTTGCGTGTTCATCTTACTCTAACAAATGTTAAATAGATTTTAAGAAGGTTAATATGAAAACTTCTACCTTTTTTTTGTACTACAATAAGTATTATTTATCTAAGTGTAAAAATATTCTTATAAAGCTCACTGCTAAAAAATTACATTAGTCATTTGTAATTTGTCCATTTTAACAAGTTTTTAAAAGAAATAAGTTTCACCAGGAAAAAATTCTAACCCAGTAAATCAGTCTTTCAAACAGTTCAACACTTATAATAACAATGATAATATGTAACAGTGATCTTCAAAATTTAAAGAAAAAATAATAAATAAATAAAATAAAAAAAATAAAAAAACAGTGAGAATATTACTCTACAATTAATAGAAAAATAAAATATTCTTGAATATTAATTTGAAACAATTAAAACACAACTTTAGCACACAAATTAAATAACAATCATACACCATCAATCCTCAGATAAGTTAAATATATAATACCCAGGTAATAAAGCAAAAATTGCTAATTAATATTGAGATGTACAGTGGATAATTCCCATTATTGCATAACATCAAGCAATGTGTGAAACAAAATAAAATATTAAATGACATAACATTAAAAAATGAAAATCATGTCAGTTTTTTAATTTTCTTAAGGATATTATGCAGTACATTAAAAATGATTGACTACTACAAAAAAATTAAATAAAAAAGACTTTTTTTTAAAATTATTCTTTTACTTTAAATTATTAAAGGGTAATAATGTGCGAAGTTTTTGAACAAGTTGTCATTTATAATTAGCAAACATTAGAGTTTTGATTTATACATAGTGTTTTAAAGAAATTATGTAAGAAAATTCATTCAAAAAAATTATGGGTTTAAAAATATAGTATTTTATGACATTTTACATGATTTAACATAATCTTAGTTAAATAAAAACGTATTCAATCAAAAAATATATATTATATCTTTTTTACATTGTTTATTAGTTTTAAACAGAAAGAATTTTGGTTCTTAAACAGAAGGAATCAGGTTTCATATAAAACTAAATTATAAAAAAAATAGGTTTTACAAAAATCTTATAAATATGCAATAAATATTGCATTAAACAACAAACTTATTTTGAGTCTGAATTTTTGTACTAAAACTAGAAATTTGCCTATTTCTATCACAATAACTGAATGGAAAATTAAGCAGATGAAGCACCTTAAACAAGACAAAAAAAAAATTATGAATATAAACTTATTTTCGTTTCTTTAAAAAAAAATGAATAAAAACCAAATAATAATAATTCGAAACCGGAACCTATAAGGTGACAAAAATGATTTTGGTAATGATATTTAATCTAATTTACACTTTTATCGGGTATCACAAATAGTTCAGAAATTGTCTTTTAATTTATTAATTTTTTAAAAGCCCATTATATAGATAACAATAAAAAAAAAATTTACAGCTTAAAAAAAAAGAGAACAACTTTGATTCAAATTTAAAATAAACACTTGAATGCGAGTGCTAAAAAGATTTTCCTGGCTAATTTATGACTGTAAAAGAATTTAATGTAATTAATTCTCCTGAATTCTAATAAAATACTTATAAATAATATATTATAGATAATTTATTATTATATGTAATTTAGAATTCAATAATATTACTTATAAATTGTAAGTCCTATTGAAATGGATAACATATCAAAATATTATATGGACCATCTTAAAATAAGTTATAATTTAAAATAGTAAGTATTAATAACCTTAAAGAGAGAAAAAATTACCAAAATTTTTAAAGCAAGCTAATATAAGAATATATAGCGAATTGAAATAAGAAAAAATAAATAAATAAATATAATTTAAAACTTACAGCTGAATATACTTGAAATTTCAAATCAGGAATATCACCATTAATTTTCTCTTGCATCTTTTGGATTATTCTTTGAAGTAAAGGTCCTTAAATTACAAAACAAATATATTGAAACTTTTGTTAAATATAAAGCTAGATTGTATAAATATACTTTTAAAAAAATAAATAAACATATACAGTAGACTCAGGATTAACCAGTACAGTCGGGAAATGCTTTGTCCTGATAAGTAAATGTTTCTGATAATCCAATTTATGATATTCTGATAACCCAATGATAGTAAATGTAAAATAATTAAAACACATTCCTTTTGAACTATCTGAGGTTTCAGAAAATTTTAATAACTTTTGTTTCTTTTTCACAAAGCTTGGTACAGTTGGATCACCAATCTCAAATTTATGCAATTATGATATAACTGTTTGTCCGTTTTCTAATTTTCCTTTTATTATCCCCAGCTTTTGATTTATACTAAGAATGACTCTGCTGTGTTTAAACATGTTAACGCTACAAACCAAATGCAAAGCATGTGGAAATTTTTTAATCTGAGTTAGGTTTTATCATATCTCGCCTTATCCCACTCCACCAGCGTTTCAGAACAGCAAAATCGGTTGGCTGTACCAAAGGTCAGTTGGGATGAGTCTAATACAATAGCAAGGAAGGGTTGACAATAGTGCAGTCTTCCTGGACATTCTAACTGTTACAATCTGCACTTTTTATTGGAGGGGGGTTGTCATCTCGAATAATCTGTAACCTGGATAATCCGATGCCGGTTAATAAAGAGTCTACTGTATAAACAAATTTTAAAAAAAAAACATGTATAATTTTTATAAATATTCAGAAAAATTGCCTTTGTACTTTTAGTTCTATTTCTGTGTTTTGAAAACAGAATCAGGAGTAAGGTAGATCAGGATGAATTTCATCTCTAATCTAATCAATAGCTTTTTTTTCATGAATTGCATAAACTTATTTTCAAAGTATTTATTTCGGAAAAATTAAATAACCAGTTTTAAATAAGAAGTTTTTTCTCGCAAAATAATGTAATTACTGTTCTATGATTACTAGGAGAAACACTTCCTAAGCTGCAAGTCAAACAGTTAAATATTTTAGGATGCGAAAAATCTGTAAACTATTTTTCAACATTTTTATCTTTAACAAGCAATCTCTATTATGATTACTATAGACATCTGAGTGAAATGGGGTTCTGAAAAGTAAAAGTTTATGATTTACTTGAGCATTCCACTTTTTAAAGTTAAGAATTTAATTACAGTAGAATTTTATTTTATGTTACATTACAGAAAAATATTTACTGATAGTAAAATTTATTATACAACAGAATGAAATGAAGATGAAATAAACTCGAACAAATAAAAATATGAAAAAAGACACTAAATTGTAGAATATCTTTAAATCTACAGTATCAACAAAGCAATCCCTATTAAAGTTAATAGGGGCTCTACAGTGGTAAGGACGTAAAGAAACTTTAAAATATGTGTTGTGATGTCACAATGGAGCATCCTTAAGTAATATTCTTTCCAGATCAAACATGTCTGCGAAATTTATCTTTTTTTACTTATATTAGTGTTGATTATATTTTTCAAGGCATCAATAAAGAGTCACAAGGGTTTCAAGGAAGAAAATGTTTTCCTTTTCCTCAATATAATAAAAGAAAAGTATTTTCCTTTAAAAATCAAACCATTGAAAATCATTTCTGAAGTAAAAAATTTTGTAATTGTAAACTGAATTTCTAAAAAATTATTACACAATTCTTATTTAAATTTCCCACATCCTTTAGATAGAATTAAATAGTGATTAAATTAAGGGGTTTTTTTTCAACAAAAAAATGAAATTTAAGTTTTTGGATGAGTTTTATGCAAAAAAAAAAAAATTTACAAGTTTAGCTTAAAGAAAAGGAAAAAAAAAAACACTTTAGTTAAATAAGTTAATTTTGCCATGTGAAATTTCAATAGAATTGGGGCATTTACTTTTGAGAAATGGTGTCAAAGAACTTAAGAGTTTAAAAAAATATCTACTAATGTTTTTTGTTCCCTGACAAAAACAGCCCTATGAGAAGGACTACTATAGGATTCTTCTTACAGAATTTTACTTCATTGTTAAAACTTAGGTAAAATATTCCTGGCATGTTCTATTATTAGAAAATTAAAAAAAGCTTTTAAATTTCAAACCTTATAAAAACTTTTTCACTATTGTTGTACTTAGTTAAACAAATTATTTGCACTCTTATGCATTGTATTCAGCTTTATTACAACAAAGTATGCTATAAATAAAGCTGATATATATGTGGGAATATGATGAAAAACATCATTGGTAATTATAAAAAGGTTTCCAAAACATGAAAATGAAGTAACTCATTCATCTTCATTGCATAAAGTACAGTACAGAACCCGTTATCCGGAAATCAGAAAACCAGAAAAGCGAAAAACCGGAACAAAATTCGATAAATTTTCTGGCCATTTGTAAAAATTTTTTTCTTTTCCTTGTAAGATTTTACGATTTTTCTTTCTTTTTTTAAAGAGGTTTACCTTACCATCATTTTGGAAATAATCATTAGTGTATTACTTCATTGTTTTTTCTTATTTTTAAGATTATTTCCAATTTTTTTTTTTTTTAGTTGGGTTTAACAATAAAAAAAACGGCTTTTTGTAGCGATTCAGAAAACCGGAAAAATCAGTTATCCGGAATAGCGATGGTCCCGACCGTTCCGGATAATCGGTTCCCTACTGTATTTTAAAAACATATAGAGGGATAGAGCAAGTAAAAACCTAGATGACTTAAATACTTACCAGCTCGCAAACGATGAAGTTCAGGAGAATTAAATTTCCATTTGAATGACAGATCTGCCACTTGTTCCAGTTCATTCCACCAGGGGTCAGCCCAGCTTGGAACAGTGAGGTTATACCTCCTCTGAAATAGAAAAAAAATATTGAAACTTTTAATAAAAAATTTATGAATGTTCAATTATAAAATCTTAAAATTAAATAATAAAAAAACTATTCAATAAAACTTTCATTTATATATGCTATACCATTAGTTACTTTTCATTCATAAACTGTTAACTGTTATTATTCACTGTAACATCTAATTTCTAAACAATGAAAGAAGAAAAAAACATAAAAGAAGATTGCACAATTTAAAAAAAAAAATTATTTAGCACTTTCTTTTTATTTGATGCTTTTTTCAGGGTTGCCATTCAAATCTGGAAAAAAATTCCCTGCATTTTCCATGTACATACTATACTCAATATATTAAGATGAAAAACACAATGATCATGCTTTTGTGTGAGCTGTATTGGGCTAGTTTTAATTGCTGGAACTAGTTTTTATTGCTGGAATTGCTGCTATGCTAGTTTTAATTGCTGGAAAAACATATATATATAGAGAGAGAGAAAAAAACAGCTGAATATACTTAAAACAAATAATGCTATAGTAAATGAAATAGTTTAATATTTCTGAAATATCATCTTTAAATATCCCAAATCTTATAGACTGCCCTTTAGAGTGGTCATCATTTCTTAAAAGACGAAAATAAGAAACAAAATTCCCTGTATTTTTTCAGTTTCTAAAGAACGTCAATAACTCAAACTTCCCTGCATTATCTGAGTTATTTTAGATGATTTTTAATTTCCTGTACTTTCCAGGTTGTGAGGTGTAGAAAGGCAAACCCTAATTTTTAACTTTGAAATTCCTTATCCAATGATTTTCTATCAATATTTGTTAAGCTAATTTTCATATATAAACTGTTTACTGTTTTTATACACTTAAGCATTAAATTTCTATTCAATGGGGAAAAATGCATGAAAGGGGATCATGTACTTAACAAAAATATCAATGAAATTTTCTTGTATGAAGACTCGTATGAGACGTTCTATATTTTATATATATACATATGTAGGATGACCATTAATTAAGTCAAAATCAAAACCAATAAGGATCATACTTATCCAATAATAATTTAGAAAAAGCTTTCACACAGAATCATTCTCAAACCACACAAGTTAGCTTAACATTTACAACTCCTTTCTATTGAAATAGTTCTCACAGTTTTATTAAGGGGAGCGACATCTATTGGTCTTTACTCACACAGAGGTTAGGTTGTTCCGTTTGTCACAGATTTTTTACATTTCTATTTACATTTATCTATACATAATTAGTTATCTATAATAATTTACTATTGGTAATTTTTACACATTAAAAAGAGCTTAAATCCTCAAATTTTCATGCATGTAGGAGATAACATTTATAACTGCATTATTTTCTGCATAGCATGATCAGATTTCTTACACTACTAAATAAGGTAAGAGTGTATTGTTGAATGATAAAGGAAGCAAGAGAAGGCTTGCTCTTGGTTTTTGAAAAAAATTTCTGAGAAAGATCTTTGGACCAAAATGGAACTTTATGCAATCATGAAATTCTTTAAACTAGTGGGCTGCGCCCCCTGCTCGGTAATGCTCGCCAACCCCCGAAAATTGCTACGCAATCTTATATGGCAGTACTAACTTAGGTACATTGCAAATGCACAAAATTCTAAGAATTCAAAACAATCATTCAAATCCATATAAAAACTTTTGTTTAAAAAAAATTACATCTTTTTAGTAAATACTAAGTCATTAAAATAAATTTGAATTCAAATAAATGACATGTAATTCATTAAACCTATTAGAACTGTGCTATAGTATAATTCGTGATATAAATAAAAAATCGTCAAATAAATTCGTAATATATAAATTCGTGAAAAAAAGCGCTTTCGACAAAATACTAAAATAGAGATCTATCGACAAAGACTACTCACTTCTGCCTAGCTTAATAGTATGAGATTGCCAAAGCTGATGCTCTCTGGTTACTTCAGTTTCCATTTTTAAATGCGCTATAAGTTGAGCCATTCAACTAGATTTGGCATGTGACATTTTTAGCGGCAATCATTGGCCGATTCGCCGTGTAAGAGAAATAGTAACACAAACAAAACAAAGCAAACGTTGCCACCGGTGGAAAAGAAATACATTCAAAATTTGGGAGCCACGTAAGAGAATTATATATATTAGATNATGTGACATTTTTAGCGGCAATCATTGGTCGATTCGCCGTGTAAGAGAAATAGTAACGCAAACAAAACAAAGCAAACGTTGCCACTGGTGGAAAAGAAATACATCCAAAATTTGGGAGCCACGTAAGAGAATTATATATATTAGATATTGCTACAGATGTTTAATCAATTTGATTTTTAATCAATAATTTTAATATTACCACAGACAAATATTACCATAGACATTATTATACGTACACATAGAACAGATTAATAGATATTAGTACCTCAATCCACAGAACATCAAAAAGGTAAGAAGCTGAAGTCCATTCTGTAATGTCATTTCCACTATTTATAGTCAAATTATCAAACATTACCTGAAAAAGAGAAGTCATAATTAACACAAAAGACTAGATTTTGTAAAATGGATTATCAACTAAAACCATTTCTGACTATGCATAATATAAATTTGTAAAAATTTAAAAATGAAATTTTTTTTTTTCAAATTTAAAAATTTTAATGATTTTTGGTCTAATTTTTTTATTTAAAATTTTTGTTAATATTTTTATTTCATAATATGAGTCCTATTTACTTGCAGCTTATGTGCAATTTAAGAAACTTAATAAATCTTAAATTCCTAATGTTTCTTAATAAATTTCNGTAAAAATTTAAAAATGAATTTTTTTTTTCAAATTTAAAAATTTTAATGATTTTTGGTCTAATTTTTTTATTTAAAATTTTTGTTAATATTTTTATTTCATAATATGAGTCCTATTTACTTGCAGCTTATGCGCAATTTAAGAAACTTAATAAATCTTAATTTCCTAATGTTTCTTAATAAATTTCTTCTCGCTTTAATTTTTTATTATGTTTATATATATATAAACACAATAAAATATATATATATATTAATAATTATACATATATTAATAATTATATATATATATTAATATTGTTATAATATTTAATTTTAATCAAAGAAGTAAAATAAGTACTTAATATATATCTAAATACACATTGAATAGCATTTGCCTTGTAATTTATAGCAAGATATATATATATATATAAAATTGATTGATATTTTTTTTATAAATATCTGATGATACAATTATTAGTGACTAAAAACAGGTAATTAAATTATTTTTTAATTCACATTCAACATGATTAGGATTCCTTTAACTCAGAATAAAACTTTTTCTCAGAATGTGCAGTAATTAATGTAGCAATGAGTTATGAGTTTTTTGCATGTACAGTAAATGCATTTAAAAAAATGAAAATTTACAAACATTCATTTTTACATAAAACAAGCTATAAATTATCAAGTTTAACAAACTAACTTGAGTTGGTAAAAATACAAATCATATTTACTTAATCTAATTTCAAATAGAAAAACCATAAGACACTGAAATGTCAAGGTTGATGTAACAAAGTAAAAATATAAATGAAGAAAATAGGAAGAATAAGATCACTAGGATTCCTTGGGGCCATGAAATCTATATTTAACAAAGGAATGAAAATAATATACTATTAAATAATATATAAGTGGGTTGAATGTTTACTCACGGGTTGAAATAAAACTCAAATTTAAACAATTCACAACATTTAAAAGAATATCAAACGAAGGACTCATCATTAAACACCTCAGACTTCATAGTGGTCCAAAGAAAAAATATTAGGATATTTTTTGGAACAGTATACAGATACCAATATACTTTTAAAAAGAGTAAAACAAACTATATTAGTTATTACTATCTACTTAGGTAAAATAAAGACAAATTTTGTTTTAAAAAAATAATGTACACAATTTCTAATTTCAGAACTACTCTGTTTAAGACAGAAAGTTTCTATGGTTTTCAGTACAATTTTATTAATGGAGCACAGAACAACTTGTAATAGTTAAAGATCAATATATACAAAATTTTTACAGTATTGTTGTATTGTATATACTAACCAGTATCAATCAGTTAATATTCTCTCAAAGCAATATTTAATTCAAATTTATAATAATGTTCAAGATTTCCTTAAATAATTTAAAAATTGGGTGTCAATAATTTGAAAACATGTGAATATGCTGCATAGCATTTTTGCAAAAAAGTAATTTAGTGGGTGACTTCATATAATAAAACTTTACTAGGAACTAACACAAAAAAATTTTATAAAAGCAAATTACAACACAAGGACTAAAGCTAGCCATAATCAATGTATAGCTAGCTTTAGACCTTGCATAATGAATATTTCATAGGACTTTTTTTTCCAAATTTTTTAAACAGGGTTCCCACTCTATGATGAGATTAAAATTCAAGGACTTTCCAGGACTTTTCAAGGACCTCAACAAAATTTTTCAAGGACCTTAATCTAAGACCAATTTTAAAAATTATTCTCTTCTATTTTACTAGAAGCAACAATGCTTGNATATATATATATTAAAAATATTAAAATTTAATTTTTATTGCTATTTATTTTACTTACAATTTTTCAAAGCAATTAAAAAGCTCTTTTATATATTTATTATATAAAGTTTAACAATGAAAGTTTATTGAAGTAATTACTGTACAATAATAGAAGAAAATAAAAGTTTGATTTTTTTGTAGCATTGAAAAATTTTTTGCATATAAAACAATAAACAAAAATTCAAGTAGTTAAGGAATTCCTATATATTTAAAAAAATAATTAAATGTTTAATATAGTATAATTGACAAACCTGGTGTTTCTCTATGAATGCTCGACCTTCAGGAGTGTTGACAAGATTTTTTTTCTCTTCATCAGCTTTAGGACAGTAACTGTCAGTTTCTAAATACTAAAATTTTAAAAGCATTATATTATGAACAAACAATGAAAATACATTTAGGAACAATCACAGTTTCTAAATAATATAAATTACTAAACATACAAAAAATGTGAAAAAAATTCGACATTTTCCCAATTTTTCACACAGTTTGATTCAAAACTATCTTTCTAATGTTGGTAATATATGAACAATCAATTACAATAGGATTAATTTGTAAATAGTATAGATTATTGGACATACTAAAAAGTTTTCAAATTAATTATACATATTTTCAATTTATAACACGTTCAGATTTAAAATTATATTTATAACTTTGTTTATACTAAAAATCTAATGAAATTAATTTTTTTAAATGAAATTTTTGGGTACTATTCACCTGTAGGAATTGCTGTTTGGTAATAAATTAAAATGCAAACCCTAATTTTGAAAATCTTTTAGGTTTTTCAGAAAAAGGCAATAAAAAATAAGGATGCTTAAAGATGATGCACGAATTGGAAAATAAAGTTTAATCAGTTCTTTACCTACCACCCCATGTCATTTTTCAAAATCGATTAATGGAATAAATGGACACAGTAAAAAATTTCGGTGACCTCGAAATGACCTTATAAGTGCTTAATTTTCTTGAGACCTTAATTTAACTCAATTTTGGGGAAAAATTGATATAGTAAGTTAAGGCTTCCACAATTTTCTATTTTACGTCCAGCAAGTGAATAAAAATAGAACAATGAGTGCTGCAAAAATATCAATATTTTAGAAAGTCAGAAAATTACATAGAATGATACTTGGCATTATTGCTGTTACATGAATATATTTTATCATTATATTGATGAGGAATTAACACTATTATACCCAAGTTGATGCATAAATGATGGCTAACTATCACATTTAAAAAGTGTGGATGAAAATACATAAATAAAAAAATTAATTTAAATTTAAAATGAAATCTGCTTACCCTATCTTCTTTCTTTGGAATGTAGCGAACAGGAAAAGGTTGCCAAGATACATCATCATCAAACATCCATTTACCTTCAGGTGCATAAAAGGAAGCAAGATTTGTCTCTGCACTATCAAGGCAACGATCACAATCCGAACTAACAACATTTATCTAAAATATAATGCAAACATTTACATTAAATTACATTAACAAAAAAATATAAGGAAATGAAGTAATATTACACGAGTCTCACAATTCCAAACTCTATAAACACTATACAGAATTTTTTTTTATTACAAGAATGTTAAAAACATTACTTAGGAGTTTTTTTTTTCCTTCCTTAGCTGCCTGAAATTTGACATATTTTTATAAAAAATTATCAAAAATTCTATTTCAAATATATTTTTGTCCAAATGAAGTACACTCTTAATGTTTTATCAACAAACTTTTAGACTGAAAGAGTTTTTCTGCAACATTTTGACATCGTAGATTTTGTAGCAATGCAAATTATTGATATTTAAATTTATCACCAACAATGAACAACCATCCACAAAAGTAAATTTTATAACTCCCACAACCTTCTGATTTTGAACATGACTCAGAAGGCTAAGGACTTTTGTCATATACGACATACTTACTATTCGTAAAAAAAATAATAATACATTTCTAAAAATGTAACACATCATAAGAAAACAAAAACATTGAACTAGGACTAATCAAAATGTTTTAAAAGTTATGAATCTATTTTCATAAGTAAAATTTATTTAAGTTAAAGCATGATATTCATTCTCACAAAAAAGGCTTCAGTTATTTGTACTTTACATGTATCGGATAACAAGTTTACAACATTAGAAATTTGTCTATTTAGAAAAAAAAAAAAACAAATCTTGTTAAATTAAGAGTGGTAGATAAAACTGTATAGATAAAATTTCCCTTACATTCTAGAGCAATTTCTTATTGATTAATTTTAATAATCCTTTTGTAAAAATAATCACACAAAAAAATTTAATTTAACATAATTTTTCAAAAATATTTTTAGCAATACTTAAACATTACATATCTATTTGGAAATATAATTTAATAAAAACAGAGTAAAATTTAACAATGGATGAATAGACAGAAAAAAATTCCATACATCTTTTAAAACTTATAACTCATACTTTTTGAAAAATTTAAAAAAAAATCCATTGTTATATATTTTAAATATAAAATATAGTCAGGAAACATAATAATTACAGTAATAAACAAAAAGTGTCCAACATATTTTTAAGAAATTTCTTTTCATATCTTTTATTAAGTTTGTGCATTTTGAAAAATATACACCATGATTTTTTGTCCTTAATTAATGATTCAATAACTAAATATTCAGCAGTTTTTTGAATAACAACTATTTGATCATTTCTCAATACAACTTCAATATTCATTATTTAATACTTAACAAAAATAACCTATTTGTATCTCTAAAATGCACAGTACCTATTCATTACATCTATTTTAAATTCTACTGGGAAAAAAATATATTCTACTTACTTCTAAAGGGTTGGAAGTCTTGAAATCTTTATAAATTGTGCGAAAGAATTTCCCTAATCCAAAGTGTTGCTTCCTGCCAAGCTAAAATGTAAAAACTGATACATAAATTTGATAAACAAAGTTACATGAACTAACTTCGAAAATATGATAATATGGGGTTAAAATAAATAAATTTGTTAACTGAAAAACATTTTCAAAGAATTTTGTACTATTTATCAATAGAAAGAAATTCTTTGTAAATCTTTTTCAGTAAACATTATTTTTTTAAATTTATTTTCATCCACTTATTATCATATTTTCAACTACCTTTAATTCTTCAGCAATTCAAAAGTAGGTTAAAGGAAACATGAAGAAAAATTTATAAATCAAATACTTCTGTAAGCAATTATAGTTGGAGTACTAAAATTAATATAGTTCTTAAACAAGATAGTTTAACAAGCACAATGAGTTCATTCAATAACGCAAAGGCTAAGTACATATCATTTGATTTCAGTTAATTAGAATGTCATAAATTTGCATTATTTAAAGCTGTTTTCCCAAGACTTTAAATTTCAAAATAAATCAGATAGTAGAGAACAAAAATAAATGTTAATATGAGTTCAATAAAATTAAAATATAGTGCAAATCAAATTAAAATATAGTGCAAATCAAATTCAATGTGCTTAAAAAAAAAAATTCATATCCAACAGCAATTTTATGTTATCTATAACGAAATTAGTTTCAAAAGATTAGTTCAGATTAGAAAGATTTTAAATTTATAGAATAAAGATTTACAAAACTAAAAAGAAAATAAGTTACAAAACCATATAAAGTTTTGTATTAAAAATTTAGAATAAATGAATTAAATCAAAAACAAGATAAACTAATTTAATTATATTAATTTATAAATTAATTCAAATTCAAAATTAGTATTTTCTGGGTTTTCAACCAACACCTACAAAATCAATAAACTATATTTCTCAAAGATACACAATTATAAAATATGGAAAAATAAAACAATCTTACCAGAGTGAGAGCCCCAAGACCAAGAGGAAAAGCTGAAGATGGATTTGGATCATTGGGATACAATTCAATTGGAGCTCTATCCCCATGACGATATAGCTACAAATTTCATATAACAAATATTAGATTACATACTTAAAAAATGAACAAAAAAGAAAGTTATATAGAAAACAGATAAAATTTTATCCAAGGGATTTAAAATTACAAACATTCAAAAAAATAAATAAATAAAAAGAGAAAAGAAAACATGTCACAAAATACTATTACATTTTGATAGTTAAAATTTCCCACTTAAGTAGGAAATGTGCTAAACAATGTGCTAAAGCAACATTTTAAATGCAAGTTACAACATTATATTCATAGAAAAAATACTTTAGCTTTATACATCAAAACTCAAATAAAACTTAAAGTCGATGTGAACTTCATTTTAAAGGCGGGAGGCTTTAAGAGTAGAATAATCAAACATTGTCACTCAACTATATACATATTTCAAATTATCATAAGATTCAGTGCCCATAGGTTTGCAGATGAAGTTTAAATTTTTCGTCAGTTTTGCAGTTTTTTACTGATTGTAAAATTTCTAGAAATTTTTTTAAACATACCTTTAATAAGTAAATGGAAAAAAAATATATACATGTTTATTTTGTAATACCTATGAAACTATTTTTTTAAAAGATAAAATTATGTAAATAAATTTAAATTAAACTGGAAGAATTGTCTTAATAAACCTTGCATGTTTTAGGCACATGGGAAAAAAAATGCAAAAAAAAATGTTGGAATTTTGGAATTTTTAGTTTATCTTCCCCACAAGAAATTTGCCATAATACAGCATAAAATAAAAGGCAATGTCGTAAAATAATGTACTTTAATCCAAAATAATTTTTTCAAAAACATTTTTAAGGTGACTAGTTAATATTGGGAAAATGCAAATCCTAACACCTAGTATAAACAAACATAAGTTTGAAATTTTTTTTAATGATTAAAAATTTTATTTATTTTTGTATTTAAGTATTATTGAGTTATATCAGTAATTACAGTTATAAACATTACCAATAAGAAGTCCTGAAAAAATGATAATGTTTTTATTTTGTATTTTGTAATTGTAATTTATATACTGATTAAATGTGAGATAAAATAAATTTATAATATATTTTAATATATATGAAACCAAAGATAGCTTATTATACAATAATTTTTAAACAAATATTTTTTTAAAGCCCAATGTCTATTAAATAAGAAAGAAAATCTTATTCTTATTAATAACCTTTCTCCCAATTCAGCAAACAATGCAAATCAACAATGCTTACTAATTCATTTTTAAGTTTAACAAGACTTTTACCAAGCAATCAAATAAATACTAACAGTATAACAAAATTAAACAAATAAAATTTTGAACACATAAATAATAATAAACCATCTAATATAAGAAAGAACACCAGAAAAACATGAACCATTTTAACATAGCAAAAGAAATAAAAATATTTGTTTTTCAAGATAATTCAATTTTTTATTATTTCAAGTTCATATACACACACTGTTAACCCAAATATTTATTTAAAAAGATAAGGGATCAAATCTTATCTTATCCTTTATTTGCAAAGTTGACACATCTTAGTCTGCATTTGCTGACTAGTACAAATTGAATTAACGTATTAAATTTTCGAAACATATTATGTTATTACTTTGTTAGAATGGCTAAAGTAATTAAATAAAATTATAAAATCAGAAATAATTTAAAGTATAACATTGTAGGACAACATTACAAGAACCAAAAAATTTAGAAATTTTTATATTAAGTAAAAAATTATTAATTATTAAAATATTTTATTATTATTCCGAAAAAATTTAGTAACACTTTCCCCGAATAGACAAAAAAAAAATATTAAAATTTTATTAAAATTCGGGGAAAAGTTTTCTTTTGAGTCCTAATAAACTAATAAATATAAAGATACAAACATAAATATACAAATAAAAATAAAATTGAAACAACATTTATATAAACAATTACATATTTAAAAAAAACCAAACGCATATACATTTTTGAAAATGCAACACAAATATTTCCACAAAAGTATTTACTTAATTCATACTTATGACAAATAAGTAATAAAAGTTATACATACTATTTGTACAAATGTTAGATTTAGTGACTCAACAGCAGCTGTTAGGGAGATATAATAAAAACACAATAGCAAAGAAAGCAGTTTAATAACCATGATTGCGAATTTAAGAGAGTTAGAATATTAAAATAAAAGTAGTTTAAAGAAAATATAATTTAAAAGATCAGGAAAAGGAAAGAAAACATAACTACTAGCTGCGATATCGGCACAATCCGCGCAGACAAAAATGTTCTGTTGACAAAGCGTATGATTGGTTGAAAAAAAAGACAAACTTTTCAGCGCTGTTGCTAACCTGAGTTTCGTATTTTGAAAAAGAACTGAAGTTTAATTTTTACTACAGCCAAAATATACGTATACGCAGTCGCAAGTGCATGTACGGTTGAGGAAAAAAAAGAACAAACAAAAAGTTTATATCCAAAATCTCCTTTTATTAAAAAATTAAGAATCTGTCTAAATTTTGTTTTCATTTTCAGATTTTATAATTTCTTTTGTAGTTTTAATGCTTTGGTCCGTCTTTGATTCCTCTTTACTTTTTCCTTCTCTTTTTCTTCATGTCCCGCAGTCGACTGATGCCGAAGACACAGTTCTCAATAGAACACCGAAGTCAAACGTCACTGGCAGTGGTCATTAAGCGGGTGGGGTATCACTTTGAGCACCCTAAGTAGGGACAGAGGGTGTGCTGTATCGTTCCTCGTTAAACTGTTCTACCGTGAAGTGCTCGACTTCGCTTACATGTCGTGGTGCTACCAAAGCAGAGGAGCCATTCTCTTTGCAAGGATCAAAATTGTGATGGGATGTCAAGGGATCATCCTCGGGGATGTTTCCCAGACAGTCGCCAATAGCCCATTGTGCAGATCTAGAGCGACGTAAGCAAAATATCTACCTCTTTTTCTTCTTTCGCTTACGTTTGGAGTAATATGGCCCATTCTGACCTTTAGATAGCTTTTTATTCAGCTTGGGAAAATGTCGGGCCCTTATAGTCAGGGAAATGGACAGGTTAGTATTAGCCCCTCTTCTGTGAAATTTTCTTTGTTTCCCTAGAAGATATTAAAAAAAAGGGGGGGGGGTGAAAGGGTAACATCCACTCGCTTCGTACACCGATCCCCTTGATTACTGCAATCATTTTAATTTTTAAGCGATAAGCACTTGACAAAATTATTTCATCAAAATTTAAAAGTATTCAATTGAAAATTTGAAGTATTCTATAATGCTTAATTATATTTTAAAAAAAAACACATATTTGATTTTACAGATTAAGTTTTTGATTCTTTTGCGATAAAATTTGAACTAAATAATTTTGCAGGGTTACGATCATTATAAATTTTTCAATGATTTAGATTTTTTAAGTTTCTATTTAATTTTTATTTGTACCGCAGTGGACTGATCGTAAAGACATGGTTCCCAGTAGAATACCGAAGTCAAGCATCACTGGATGCGGTCATTTAGCGGATGGTTGACCACTATGATCAGCTTGCGTAGGGACCGAAGGTGTGCGGTATCGGCCCTCGTTTCCGTAGGTCATTCTACCGTAAATTGCTCGACTTCACGCGCAGATCATCGGGCTACCAAAGCAGAAGAATCATCCCCTCTGCAGAAGATCAAAATTGTGGTGGCATGTCTTCGGATCATCCTCAGGGATGTTTCCCAGTCAGTCTCCGATAGCCCATTGTGCAGATCTAGTGGACGTAAATATGTACGTACGAAAGTACGACATTTTATGACACAATTCGAAGAGTAGCACACTCAAACTTTTGTTTGACAAGATAGTGCTTGCTTTTAAGTTGTGTCATAGCTTATTCTAGTTTTAAAGGCTGACTCGTAAAGACTGATTTTATTTAGTCACTTCACAGTACGAACTTGCTGCACTTTTAATCACAATTTTATTTTTCTTCCCTATCAATCTCCAGGTCACGCATGCTTCCCGGCATGGTCGTAATATCGTTAAAAGTTTAAAGCGTAGCGTGAAAAACAATATTTTTTCTATTCCAACAGCGGTTTTCATCAAAAGACGCAGTTTTCAAGTGATCATCGAAGTCAAATATCACTAGTAGCGGTCAGTGAGTGGGTGGTTGACACTTTAATGTGCCTGCGTAAGAACCGATGGTGCACGGTATCGATATTCATTAAACTGATCTACCGTAAAGTGTTCGACTTCACACACAGGTTAACGGCCTATCGTACCAGGGGAGCGGTCTCCTTTGTTGAAGATCAAAATTACAATGGTATGTCTTCGGATTATCATCTGGGATATTTTCCAGATCATCGCCTATAGCCGAATGGGCAACTCTAGCATGATGTAAATAAAATACTATTATTTACTACTATCCTACTATTACTAGACTGATGTTATTCAATTACTTCAGAACGCGCACCTATTACCCTCTATATCACACCTTTTTATTTTTCTATCAATCTCTAAGTTTCGCTTGTTACCCGGAACAGTTGAATTAGCTGTAAGGTTTGAAGTATTGCATGTAAAGCAGACTATTTTTCTATGTTGTATCTTTGAAACGTTGCTCTTGCCTACAATGTGTACATTTATTTATAAAGAAATTGTTTTACGTGAAACATTTCAGAAGTTCAGAAACTCTTTAAGAGTTCACGCGTCTATGCCTGAAGTTAAGGCTGTCCTAAAGTGAAATCTAGCCTCAAACTTGAAAATTAGATGGCGCTGACAATCTCACCCCGCCTCAGGCTAAGAATATTAATGCTTACAAACAAATTGCGCAGAAGTGCTTAGATGATCAAAAACAGAATTTTATAGTCAGCACGCTACAAACTTTAGGCATTCGTTTTTACTATTGAAAATATTATTATTATTAACGACTAACGTTATCGTGAATTCAAAGTTGTTACTGTCTGCAATATAAATCATATTCTACAATAAAACACTTATGCGCAGTTCTTTAATTGTGTTGAAATTCTTGAAGTATATTTATCACTTTGGCTCATAAATCGACGGATTTCTATCTTAATCATTAATTGCTTGACAGATATACGCAGGATTGTATCTTCATTACAGGATCAAAATTGTGATGGCATGTCTTTAGATCATCCTCAGGGATGCTTCCCAGACCGTCGCCTAAAGCCCATTGTGCAGCTCTAGTGCGACGTAAATGAACTACAACAACAACAAGTATCATCTTTACAATGTACTTACTGTTTATCATAAAGTATACATATAAAGACAAAGCCAAATCTAAAATTCGATCACAAATCTACAGGGTTATGCACTCAAAATAAAAAGAGGCAGACAATGTAAATTATAACAGTTTATCACTCAAAATATTGCGCCGATAGTTGTTGTAGTTGTAGTTCATTTCCGGCACCCTAGAGCTGCACAATGGGCATGGGCGAATGGCGGCGGTCTGGAAAGTATCCCTGAGAATGATCCGAAGGCATGCCATCACAATTTTGATCCTCTGCAGATGGGATGGCACCCCCGCTTCGGTAGCCCGACGACCTGCACGCCAAGTCGAGCACTTTGCGGTAGAACAGTTTAACGAGGACCTATACCGCAAACCCTCGGTTCCTACGCAGACTGATCCAAGTGGTCACCCAACCGACTTCGACCCATTTCAGTGATCTGCTGGGAACCGTGCCTTAATGATCAGTCCACTGTGGGATATTGAGCGGATAGATTATGGGTTATAGGGTATCCAACTAGATAGACTTTTTCTAACTGAACAGAAATCAGTGGCCGGAAGTTATTCCAAACAGTTCCTTCTGTAATAAAAGCCCTATCTTCACTCACTCTGAGCCCACACTGAGAGTTATCGCCCAATCAGTCTACTTAACATACTTGGAAAAATATACGAAAAAATCATCTACAATAGAATAAAACCACTTCTTACAGCCCTCCCCGACGAACAGTATGGATTCCGACAAAAACTAGATACCACCAAACAGTTACTCCGAATAATAGACTATACTGGCAGAGCAATCATAAATAAAGAAACAATAGCCTTCCTGATGATTGACATATCCAAAGCATTTGATAAAGTATGGCACACTGGTACAATATATAAACTCATACAGCTGAATTTTCCACCCGGCATAATCAAACTCCTATCCTGCTATCTTTCTAATAGAACATTTCAAATCACCATCAAAAACAAAAAATCCACAAAGAGAAACATCACAGCCGGAGTACCACAGGGCAGCATTCTGGGACCGATATTATACATATTATACACTTATGATTTTCCTATAAACAAAGCCGATTATAACAGCATAACAGCCTATTACGCAGACGATACCGGTATTATTATTAAATCCAGAAACCCAAATCATGCTCTTCAAAAACTACAAGACCATATAGACGAAATAGAAGACTGGTGCTTAAAATGGAAAACTGCAGTAAATGCTGGAAAATCACAAATATTAATTATACAAAAAAGAAGAATTAAAATACTTCCACAACTTCAACCAAAAATGTTCAACATACCAATACCAATAGTTAAAAAAGCAAATTATCTTGGCCTTATAATCAATAGCAAACTCACCTGGAATGATCACATCAAAAGCACAATAGATAAAGCAAATGCAGCAATAATAGCCATACAACCATTAATATATAATCAGAATATGTCACTTAAACTAAAGAAGCTACTATATACAGCAATGATCCGCCCAATACTTACCTATGCCTCACCTGCCTGGACAACGATACCTCAACATCTACTGAAGAAATTAAACCAATGCCAAAACAAGATCCTTAGAAAAATAACCTGTGCAAGATGGTTCATCCGGAATACCAATATACATGCAGACCTCAAAATACCAACTCTATCACAGCATATATACAAGCTAAACGCAGATTTTTTCGATAAAGCCATAGAATGTAAAACAGCAAATTTTAATGAAATCTTTAAATTTGAAAATTATATCAAAGATAAAAACTACAGACCAATAGCTGCACATTTCACCTCCGACGCCTCATATCATAACTATCAAAACAAATAATTTCATCAACCTTTCTGAAAATAACGTTTACTCATGCTGATACAATTCTGAACAACTCCAAAATCAAACAAACACAGTTTAGAGCAAGCTGCTCAATTTATTTTTGATTCTTTTTTAGTTATTCAAGCAAAGAGCTTGAAACATTCATAAAAGCAACTCCATTGCCTGCTCACCTCATTGCTCAACCAAAACTGTTATAAAATTCCAGATGAATGGGATAGGGGCCGCTTCGCGGCCCAGGTGCCCAATAAAATCAGAACACTAGGACTAGGACTCTGAGCCCACAAGTCCTTTTGTTTAAGTCTCAACAAGTTGCCATATGCGTATGCTACAGGCAGGAGAGTTAATCATTTGTACTCCTGGAATTATCAATTAAGTCTTGACTTATAAGTTTACTTCCATTTTTGTAATTGTATTTATAGTTACTGTATCTAGGTATTTTTAAACTAGCACTGAAACTACCAAATTACATTTGTATCTCAAATTCAAAAATTCGTAAGAAATTAAACTTTTAGGCGAAGTTGCTGGATAAAATTCTAAATTTCAATCCATCTTTTTATTTAAATCCTTCAATATTAAAGCAATCGTATACATATATTTTTAATTAACTAGAAGGGGAAAATAAGTTTTGTGCACAAGAAAATAAAGCTATGCATAACTTTTTGAAAAATCTAAATAACTCGTTTCTGACAACTTTTTTTTTTCTTATTTGGTTTTTGTCTATTTTGTCTTTTGGTTTTTGTAAACAAAATATATGCTCTTAACGTCGCATGGTTTAGACTAAACAAATGCTGCTTAAAAAATGTTTAGTGTTTATTTTACTGTTATTAGCTTCACACCTATGGGTATTTTTGAAACATTTGACGCTTACATTGTCATCTGAAACAAGCTTCAAATGAAATCCTCATTGTAAAAAATTATTAAAAATTCACAAAATGTCCTCCTTTAATTTTATATGTATGCTAATAACATAGTAACAAGTTTTCAGTTTTATTAAAATATCACATTTTAAAGTATTTCATCATTTTGCAATTTATAACTATATTATGAAAATGAGCATTAATGAAACAATGAATTTAACAATTTTCAGCCAAGGTTAAAAGTGTGTTTAACAATTTTCAACATCAGTTTTTCAAGAGTTTGGTATAGATATGAGAAAAGCATTTTTCTTTCTGTTGTTGGAGTACATTTTCGAAACAGCCGCTGCAAAGCTTACCGTAACTATTATGAAAACAATAGCAAGGAAAACTACTCCCAATCTTATTTCTGGAATAGAAAAAGAAAACAATTATTAATGTTGAGGAAAACGGTTCCTACTTCTCTATTTTTTACAGACATTTTCTATCGATTCTCTCATCTTGTTTTGATAATAACTTAAATAATAGTTAAAATAAATAATAAAAAAACATCATTTAAGCTCAAGTGGCCGACACTTATCAACAAATGCAGTGTTATCAACCGGAATTTCTGGTTAATCAGAACGATAATAGTAGTATAACGATAATAGGTAATACGATGATAAAACGATAATATCCAATAAGAAAGCAAAACAATTTTTAAAACTTAAAAAGTATTTAAAACAACTCAATATGCAAAGTCAGTCTTCTATAAGATTGTGCGAATTGCTAAATTTCATTATGTCAATTGTGAATCCTCAATTTTACAACCACTTTAATATTTAGTAAAAATGACTAAGGGCCGGGATAACCTGGTTGCTAGGGCGTAGTCCAAGATGTCGTTAGTTCAGCCCCCGCCGGCCAAAGACTTTCCGTGTAGTAAATGATGACTGGTGCACGTTTAATCTGTCGGGTCACAAAGTCCTCCATGTTTCCATTATTGAAAAAAGGAGTACATCAAGTCACATACAGAAAGCAAAATTTGAAATTTGATTCTTGGATTACTAATTTTTATTCAAAATGAATCATATAATGCGCGCATAATTTAAACAGATAACTAAATCATATTCCGTTTCTCCAACATAACTAATAGTGAAACTAGTATTTTAAGCTTAATCTATTTTTTCGAACAAGTATTTTAAATTATTTTCATTTTCTAATACACATATTTTGAACCATATCCATTTTTTTAAGCACGTAAAGTTGCGTTCATTTTTATTAAGAAAATAAAAATTGCTTGAAATGCATGTTTATAATGGATATCTGTAGTTAAAATAAAGTTAAAGATAAATGCAATGATAGATGTAGTTAAAAATTGTTAATAGCATTTCCAGCTATATTTTTTAATAGCGCAAATCAAGCTATATCAATTTTTTTAAAGTGTTAAACACGTTAACGATTTGTTAAAAATCATGATTCGATTAAAACAGCGAAGTATTTAAACCATTAAAACATTTCTAGGTATTTTCTTCTGAAACATTTCTCTTTTAATTTTGATAACAACTAAACCCAACTACAAGCTGTAACTTACCTTCTTTTTCAAACTTTTGAGAATTGGATTCTGGCAACTGACATTCTTTTTCCCAATCATCAGGTATAAGATGCTTCGTATATTCCGTGAAGTACTTCAAAGGGCAAAATTCACTGCATCCCTCAAGTTGCAGAATATGAGGTGTTTGGGAAATCTTTTCAACATCTGTGGAGTTCAAGTAAAGCAATCGAACAAAATATGTATCATTCATGCCACTGTAAAGCTCAATGAAAACAGTTGCACAGTAAGGGGGCTGTTTCAGGTCAAAAAGTTTTAAAGACATCAAGAGGGCGGCTAAATTTGTGTCGTGCTGTAAGGAAGAAGGGAAAAAAACATATATTTTGACAACCTTATCACAACCAAATTTACATAAGTTTCATTTTAAAATAACTGAAAAATTTAAAATTGATAAGAAACATATTTTTTCGTAATTGCATTTATCAAAGCAATTAAAAAAAGTCTTATGTATTAGATCAATAATTTAAAAATCAATCATAGAAAGTGATACAAACCACGGATGTTTTATTTTTAAAATAGAAGTAGTTATTATTAAAAGAAAAATATTGTCTTATCTTAAATAGAATTAAGTTGAACAATAAGCCGACAGGTTAAGGAGTTAACTTCATACAGGAAGGTTCCAAATCCAACCCCGCTTCGGGCATGGACGTAATTTCAGTCTGTCTGTCCTTCTTGCGTTATTGGGATGAAGTTGAAACGTTAGATCGATATGGCATAATATATGTATCTCTACCTATGGCAACACTTCGTATGCTTTCATCATTAGCGTGTGGAGAGTCATAGGTGAAGGAAGTACGTTAGTTTCCGTCTTAATTTTCGAAATAAAAAGCTTTTAAGTTAGGAAACTATATGTAAATGAAAACTACATTGTACATAGTTCAAAAAGAAAGCATCGTGGTAATTTAAAAAAAAATGTTTTTTACAATTAAATACGAAAAATATTAAAAAAGAGGAAGATATTGTAGTACATTCTTATTCAACTGAAAAGAGGGGGAAAGGGAAGAGGAAAAGGTTAAGGCATGGAACTGGTCTTCTCCCCAGATGGCGTATTCGAGCGTTGCGATCGCGAATAGCATATGTTGCCCACGAACAGAAAAGATATCAATAATATCATCCGTCAGGTACCACGAGGCAATATGCAGCCAATAAGTGATTGGCATTTGTAAAAAAAAACTAGCTATAAATTTTTTATAATTATTTTGGTAAAAAATTAATAGTAAAACTACTTCATTAGTAATTTTTATGAAAAAGTAATAATTTGTCATTACCACTTTTTTTTGTTTAATTTAAACTTATGCATAGTATACTCAGGGGGCTGTTCAAAATAAAAGAAACACTTTTATACTAACTCTATATAAACTTTGTAATGTGATTTTTACCGCTATTTTATTAATTTACTCTATGTAACTTTTCTTTCATCAGTAAATTTTTCCGAAGATCTTACATGGCAAAACTGTTGGAACAATGCGACATTTCATGCTTGAAGCTTTTACAAATGGTATCTTTTTTACAAAATCAAAATTTGCATGGACCGAAGTGAGAGTGGGAGGTTAAAAGCTTCTTTATTTTTCCTATACCACTATAATCATAAAAGCATGTTTTGTATAAATATTGAAATCCTCAGTATGATTTCAAAATTGCTGGTATTAAAATTAAAAAGAATTTATTAAATCCCTTCCCTGATTTTGATCTATCCGAATTTTGCATGGGTAAAAGTGCCATCGTTTCTGAATGCTTTAAGCATGATCTTTCTAAGTGTATTAACAATTTTGCCATTGACAAAGATTGAAAGATCATACTTGAAGCTTTTAGAAATGGCATCCTTTCTACACATGCAAAATTTGCATCGACTAAAATGAACGTTTGAAGTTTCCTTCCATTTTTAATCATCATCATCAGTAGCTCGACAGTCCTGGGTGGACCCTGGCTTTTTCAAGAAGACTGCACCAGTCCTTTCTTCTGCGTGCCACGGCTTTCCAGTCTCTGACCTTGATTGTGGTAAAGTCCCTTTGGAGGCAATCCGCCCATCCCAGTCGGGGTCTGCCTCTCTTTCTAGCTCCAGTTGGCCTTGCCAAAAAGATTCTTTTAGTTGTTCTGTCATCGTTCAATACGACTATATAATTCTAAGCGTATTTGCATATAAATTATCTGAATCATTTTTAATCGTTTCAAAATTGTTGGTATTAAAGCTAGAACCATTTTATTAACTTCCTCTCCTCATTTTAGGTGATTTGAGTTTTGGTTGAGTAAAAATGATAGAATGTCTAAAAGTTTCAAGCATGATTTTTAAAAATATGCCAACTGTTTTTCCATGAAAAGTTTTCCAAAACATTTGCTACTTAAAGAAAAATTGTCTACATAAAGTTAGTATTGTGGCGTAACTACCAACCACTATAAATATTAAATACCAATTCACTAGTATATAAGACATGTTAACTTGATTCTATCACGAGGTACCTTTTGATAGATGAAGGTTGACATAGTCGATAATTAATTCCCCACATTGGTGACCTGCGGACGTGATAAGAACATGCCAATATCGATGGATGATCCACTTTAACAGTTGATTTACTTAAAAATATACTGCTTGAAAAAAAAATTGGTGAAGTAAATAAAGTCTCCTGGTCAACAAACAAAAAAAATTATGAGGAAAAAAAATAGCAAAATGCTATAAAAAAGCACCAAAAAAATAACGAGCAAAATGTCATAAAGAAAATATATATATATATATAATGAGCAAAAATGTTATAAATAAATAAACAGCATGAATCAACTAGTAGCATTCATTCATCAAATTCTATCACAGATACAATTCTGGAAGGGGAGTAATGTGGCGTAACTTCCACTATAAATATTAAATACCAATTCACTAGTATATAAGACATGTTAACTTAATTTTATCATGAAGTACCTTTTGATAGATGACGGTTGACATAGTCAATAATTAATTCCCCACAGTATGTATTTCCATTATTTTATTCAACTCCTGCATATATATTAAAATCTGTTTAGTGATCACTGCGCCGACCTCCTCTCAGAAAGATCCTGGGTTTGAATCCCGTTTCGGGCAACCAGATATCTCTTTTCCTGGTAAGTTATAACCGTGGCATATAATATTTGAGGTATACATCAAAACTGCTACCTGTTTTGCTTCCTATGATAACATTTTTGTAGTGATAAGGAAAAAATATTCAAATAGACAATTGTAAAAGTAAATTTTTCACAAAAACTTTCGAATGTCTCAGCGCAATAATTGGCCTTATAAATTATTTATTTGAAATATTTATGCTTTGCAGTAATAGAAAAACTTTGAAATTTAAACAATTAAACCAAAAATTATATGTTAAAACATAAATATCATTTCCACTTTAAACATTGAAAAAAAAAATCCGTTACAAAATTTGGATAGCTTTGTAGCTATGAACAGGTTATACAAATTATATTTGAATTTTGACTAATGTATAAAAAAATAGGAAGTTAAAATTTATTTATACGACGGAAATTTATAAAAATTGGAACATAAAACGTTTAGTTTTAATACCAGCTCAGCCTGCTTTCATAAACAAATAAAAAGTAGCATATCTCTCTCGAAGAAAGGGTTCAATCAATATTTCAGGTATGGTTCTTATCCAAAATGAGTAGTAGGCAACAGATTATAGAAAAAAAAAACATATGACAATTATATATATAATATATAAACGATATAGAGAATTTATTATTACGAAAAAAAAATTATTCTACCATTTAAATAACGGTTGCAGTAAACTTACATATGCAAATATAAAGGATATTTCGTAATGATTACTCTTTCTGACAAGGATCCTAAAAAAATATATTATGTTTCTTAATATATATATTTAGAACCCTTGTCAAAAAGAAGCCAAAAAAGCATACACTGTAAAAATTGAAACTTAAGTAGAAACGTTGATTATTAGAAACATCCTAAGTTTTTTTGGATAATCAAACTTCTTTAGACATTATCATTCTATCTTTCTCACAAGGGATTCGACAGATTAAAGTAATATCCACCCCCTTGAATAAATATTGATTTGCGAACCCTCGAGAGCATTATATTTTGACTTTATAAGGATTTTGACAAGGATTCTAAATTTATTCATTTTAGATGGTAATTATAGAACACCCTCTATACTTTATAATCTGTTGATAAGTCAGGATTTTACTAGTTCTATGCAGGAAGCAACTATGAATTTATCATTTAAATCGAATTGACACGTTTTGAGAGAGAAATTTTCTTCTGAGAAGTTTTTTTTATCACCTTGAAAAAAACTGTCATTGTACAAAATTATGTCTTCAAGATCGTTGTTTTCGTTGTTCAAGATCAATCAACAGTCTAATTAAAAAAAAAAAAAAAAATAAAAAAAAAAATTCAAAATTTTAATAACACTGAGTAATTTTTCAGAACTTACCGATGAAAATATTTGAAACTTCAGATTTGGAATTATACCTTCAATTTTGTCTTCCATTGTTTTAATCATATTTTGAAGGAGAGGACCTTTAAAAAGAGTATAAGAAAATAGTAGTGTCATTAGTATTTTAATACAGGTTTCCTAATGCTCAAAATGTAACAGATGTAAACAAAAAGGAGTCAAAATTCGAACATTTAATATATTTGTGTTCGCCATAATAAGTTATTTTGTAAAGAAAAAATATCGACCAATATTTTGTCCTTTTCGAAATCTAAAGTGTTTTGGAAAAACTGAAAAAGCTGGTTGCTAAGAATTCTAAAAGAGTATTCGAAGACGCATTGCTTTACCTTTTCTAGTTTAAAATCCGCATGTTTAGCAACTGTGAGCATTTGTAGGATTTAATTAAGTTCCGTAAATGGTGTCATTATTTTTACCCATTTCTTTCACGGTTCTTTAGTATTCTTTCTCACTGTTGTTTCGGAACATTATGGTCATAACTCCAAAACTATCGTGTTATCGCCTGATTGATTTAGCAATGAAAGTAAGTTATTTGATTTGTAAAACACGAAAAAATTTGTTTGATGTATATTGAGTGAAAAGAAAAGCAGTGTGACGACACTTACCGGCTCTTAGACGTTGAAGAAGTTGAGAATTAAGAATCCAAAAAAAGGTTAAATCTTTGACTTCTGTCAGTTCATTCCAATAGGGTTCAACCCAGGTAGGAACAGTAAGGTTATATCGCATCTACCAAAAGAAAAATAATATTTAAGATTTTAATATGCACACATAAAAAAAAATATATTGACTTTTTTTACACTTTTTTCATGCTCAGGTTCCCCAAAATACTTTGTTTAGTTGGAATACGGGGTACCCCAACCGAGAAAAATTTAAAACGCGTCTTCAATAATATCATCGAGCTTTTAGAAATTTTCTCTGACTGGGCTAGCCAGTTTTAAAATCTAAATATATTTTGACAGATGGAAATTAACAAAATAAATTTTTTTCGTCAAACATACCACTTTTTAGATTTCTATCCCAGTCCTGACCAATCTGTTACATCACACATACTGAATTGAAAAATTAGTAATAGACTATCACAATATGGATTCACTTGGTGCTTAAAAAATAAAAACAGTCGTGCTAATTTTATTACATGTAGGTTGTAAATTTAGTTATATTCAGCTTTCGCTTTTGAATTTAAACCGCAAAACTGCTGATTTTGAGTTGTCAAAACACTGTGGTACTTAAAAAAAAGTATGTTAAAATTATTCTAAAAGTAAACTCAGCGGCACGACAGCCCACAGAGGGCCAAGGTCTACTCTGCCCATCTCAGTTTTCTCGACCTTGGGCTCTGGGGTGCAGGAGCAGATGTTCCGGTCAGGTGGTCAGCCGAACGCGGAACCCCCAGTGTTTAGTCCCCAAGCATGCTTGGTACTCATTTATCGACCCACTGAAGGGATGAAAGGCTGCAACCTTGCTCGGCCCGAGGATCGAACCAAAGACCTGTGGCACGACAGCGCGAAGCCCTACCTCTCAGCCACCGGGCGTCCTAAAATTATTCTGATCTTCCTTAATTTTGAGTATTTAACTTGTCATGCTGTTTATAATAACTTTGGACGAGCCAAACACGCCAGTCATTGACCTTCCGCGAATTATTTCAGGAAGGAGCGCCTTTCATTTGACTAGAGAACACCGCAAAGGTGAAAATGCGTCTTAGTTCAGAACCCAACTGATAGAAGGCAGCACTACCAATTTGTGAGACCACTTCCTCAGTTTAGACGTAGATTTGATGGGGGAGATAATTTTCTCCAGATCCCTGTACCAATGCTATTGCTAAGCGACCGAACACAGGATGAATCCACAGATGTTTCAAGCACGACTTGGTGGATCTTAGTGGAGTAAAGGATTGAACCCCGGCCTTTCCGGATCAAGAGTCCAACTCTCTAGTCACGGCTACCACGACTCTATACAACGCATTCATAGAACAAGCCACGTATGTTTAAACATTACTCCTTCACGTAGCATATAATCGAGTTCAAATGCTGACTAAACTAAAAACTTTATTCCGTTCAAATATCATTTTATAACGATTTTTAAAAATTTGGGAACTCTGCTTAAATTAAATCATCCTAAATTTAACTTAATTCCTACGACTGCTAGCATTATTTTCTTTTATAGTCTGCCTATTTAATCTTTGCATCCGTCATAATTTATAGCACTGTTTAATTTCATTATATTATAAGCGTAATAGCTTTTTTATTTGGAGCTGTCTAGCAGCTTCTGATTCTTGCCTCATTAAATTTTAGTTTCCACCACAACGAAATAGAAGTGCATAAGTTAACTAACAAGTCAATCGAGGGAATAAACTTACCTTATTGTAACCCAGTTATTGAGGTCAGTAATGCAATTGTAACTACCACAACGTATTGACATTGAACAGAATAACTGATCTGCATTTAAATTATTAATTTTAAATACTTCCATCTGTTCTAAATTCTTAAACTTTCAAATTAATGGAGGAGAAAAAAAGTAGTCGCCAATATATATTTTCTAAACATCTCTTAAGGGATCTCCCATAACAACCAACTAAGAAACAATTTAAGACCAATACTTTATTTATACTTCACTAATTAACATTTTAATAACACACAACAAATAGTTGTATTTACCTTAATTTTAAAATCTTATTATAACTCCAGTCAGCATGCGCAATTGAAGTAATGAATACGAAATAACTATTTAAAGCTCGAAAGCAATATTATAATAATTGACTTATCACACTATTGCTAAATAATCTCTAACAAAAAAAACAGGTTTTCATAGCAACTAAAAAATAAGTAAGAATTTAAAAAGTTGGTTTGTGTTTGAAGTTGCGATGATAAGCGAGCAAAATTTAAATGTATAAAAATCGTGATATCGTCAGAAAAGTTAAAATGTCCGTTCATGTGGTTTTAAAGAAAAGCAAGAAGGATACACATCAGACTGTATATAACTGATTAATCAGATCAGATGAGAGCATTTGAAGTGGATATAAAGTTAAACTAAGAAGGATGCATCCAGAGAAGAGCAACGTGAAGAAGTGAGACTTTTAGTGTCAGAGATTGATTGCATCATTCTTTGTTTTATTTCAGACAAAGAGCTGCACAGGTGTCTGGAGTCTTAATTCGTTCAGTACAGGTGTCTGGAGTCTAATCATTTCATGAAGAGCAGCAATGGATTCTTTGGTGACGAAAGCCTCTGCTTGCACTCATCTTGGTGAATCGGGTATGGAAGAAAGCCCTTTACGAAATTTTTCACGCCAATTCTTTACATCCGATTGTGATAAGCAATGATCACATAAGCAAATATTTGACGCTAAATGGGATGGATCCATTTTAAAGTGGCTTAAGAATCTCTTTGAATGCCCTATTGCAAAACGAGGCTTATGCGCAGTCTGCATAACATACGTAATTATGCACATTCAGTTATACATACATACGTGTACATATATAACATATATGCTTACATATTTATGATTCACATGTATACGTGCATATACGAACAGTGCGCAAAAATCCAGTCCTCCTTGAATAACATTTGGCCTAAAAATCAAATGTTCGGATCTTCACATTCTAGGATTCAAACTTAATGGCTCGAAAGGGGTGACTTTAAATTTGGTAATTAATAAGTGCAGACGATATTTTAAATTACGAAATCAGACACAAGAACGTATTTTCACCGAATAAACATACCTTTTTTTCGACGAATTCGAATTTCTGACCCCAGAAATATAGAAGGTAGTCGCAATCTAGGAAATATGATCCCAATAGTTTGAACAGGAGAACCTGCGGGGAATTATATATCGACTATGTCAACCTTCATCTATCAAAAGGTACCTCATGATGGATTCAAGTTAACAAGTCTTATATACTATTGATTTGGTATTTAATATTTGTAGTGGTAGTTACGCCACATTACTCCCCTTCCAGAATTTTATCTGGGATAGAATTCGATGAACAATTACCACTAGTTGATTAATGCTGTTTATTTATTAACTTCAATTTTTGCTCATTATATATATATTTTTTTTTCTTCCAAGCATTTCGCTCGTTATTTTTATTTTTTATTTTATAGCTTTTTTTTTGCTATTTTTTTTCCATCATTTTTTTATAGCTTTTCGCTATTTTTTTTCCATCATTTTTTTTTAGCATTTCAACTGTTTAAAGTGGATTCATCCATCAATATATGACAATTTCTTATCACGTCCGTAGGTCACCAATGTGGGGGAATTAATTATAGACACGTCAACCTTCATCTATCAAAAGGTACCTCGTGATGGATTCAAGTTAACATGTCTTATATACTATTGATTTGGTATTTAATATTTGTAGTGGTAGTTACGCCACAAACCCTTCAAAACTTGGATCCCATAATGTTAATTTTACTTTTGGCGCATCTCGCTATATCTCAAGAGCTTTTAAAGCGAATTAAAAAAACATATGCACCCAATAATAAAATTCATTTATCCAAAGATAATTCTATACAAAAAATAACTTTCACTAAATATGTACTGTTTTTATTATTTTATTTAATGATAGTGTAAAAAAATTTGAATTGTAAGGTATAAAATTTTTTGCATAATTTTAAATAAGATATTTTTACATGATAAAATAAAAAATTTGAGAAAAATTGGTTGAAAAGTTCCTGAGAAATTGAATTTCAAAAATTTGATTTCTCAGGAACTATTCGACCGATTGCGCTCAAATTTTGTATTTTGCTATGTAAAATTATATGCTTTGAAATGACGCAAAAATATTATATCTTATAATTCAAAATTTTATCGACCATTATTAAATAAAATATTAAAAAATAGCAAATATTTACTAAAAGTACTTTTTCGGGACCCCCTTCATTTTGGGGATCAGATATATGAACCCGTTGGGAAAAAAATAAAACAAGGAGAGAGAAATTATTCAGAGAAATTAAGTTTTTGTGTATGATTTTGTAACTTAAAACATCGTCTGCACAAATTAATTAGCATATTCGACGTCAGTCCCTCGAGCCATTAATATTGAGACCTAGAACATGAAGATCCGATCATTAGAACAAAAGTTATTCAGGGTGGTCCCTTTTTTTTGCTCAGGGCAAAACAATGAAGAGTGATGCCGTCCTCGTTATTATACTTCTGACTCTAGCAAGCGTGTTCATTTTTCATTTGGGTCTAACATTAATCTACAAACACTATTTTAAAATGCAGTGATATTTTCGTTTCCCAATATATTTTAGAATCATTATCCAGTTTTTATCTTTCGGTTTTTACTTAATTATTAACAACGCTACAAGACGTAATACGAAATAAACAGGAAAATGTCTTACTTCAACCCAAATATTATCTCGTAGAAAAGCAGCTGGTTTCCAACCCGTGATCGGTTTTCCACTGTATTTTTCTAAGTAATCATACATTTCCTAGACAAAGCAACACATTAATATAAATAAATCAAGATGAGTTTACTAATCTTACTAAAAGTGATCAGCAAAATATGGTTCCAATAGTTTAAACAGGAAAGCGGATTAAATTTCAGACAGTAAATTTTACTTTTTAAGTTTTTCGCCATTTCTTCGACGAAAAATTCGCCAAAAGACTTAAAAATGAAGTAAATTATTAAAAAAATTAAAATATTAAAAAAATCAAAACATTTTCAAAATAAAACGCGTTTATCCCTCAAAGATAATTTTATATATAAATAAAATATATTATTTTTTATTATTTAATTTACTCGAAAAAAATTAAATAAGATATACAACTTTTTACACATGTAAATGAAAAATTTCAAAAGGGAATCGGTCAAATAGGCTTTGAAACAAAATTAAAAATTCAGAAAAAGTAGAGCTGATCTGGGGAGCAATTTTTTTGTTTAAGACCATTCGCATTTACCGATATGACATTCATGCTACGCATCCTGCATGCGACAAAAATATGATGCTTTTAATTAGTAATCAGCATGTTAACATATTCAATAAATGAAACATTTAAATAATTATAATTTGTGCAGAAATCCTACCTATGATTATGATGCTTGTTATTAGTAATCAGCATGTTAACATATTCAACAAATGAATCATATACATAATCATAATTCATATGAAATCCTACCTATAATTCTTTTTATTTGCTCTTAATTATAATGCTTTTAATTAGTAATCAGAAGGTTAACATATTCAAAAAATGAAATCTTTAAATAATCATAATTCACACGAAATCCTACCTGGTGTTTTGCATTGAATTCATTTGCTTCTGGTGTATTTGCAACTCTTAACTCTTCCTCGGCAGCTCTAGGACAATCACTTTCTGTTTGTAAATACTTTAAAATACATAAAAATTGAACAGCAATAAAAACAATTTAAGAACACAAGAGTTAATTTCAAAATGAGAATAAATTTTTACCTTATCTATATTTTTAGGAAGATATCGAATTGATATTGGTTGCCAGTCAAAATTTTCATCAAACTTCCAAGGTTTACGAGGAGCGTAAAATGATGCTAGGTTAGCCTCTGCACTTTTGAGACACCGCTCATCGTCTGCGCTTGTGACATTAACCTAAAGTTAAGAATTATTCATTTTAACTTAATTATTTAGAAAGTTTTCATGATTTGATGGCCGAATGAAAAATATTTCTGAAGGTGTCAGAGACTTGATTTTCTTTAAAAAAAATAAAAATGAAAATAATATTTTCAAAAACCACGTTTTTGTAGTGGAGAATAATAATTAAAAAACCAAAATTTGAAAAACTGAAAACGTGGGGCACATGAAATACATGACAGTAACAGTATGTGTGCTCATGAGAATATGTGTATGTATATCTGAAATTGTATCTGAATGAGGATGTGTATGTGGTTGTGCATGTGTATGAGTAAGAAAATGTATATACGTATGTGTATATGTACTGTTGTGTATTTCATGAGCCCCACGTTTTTCGTTTTTCAAATTTTTGTCTCTTAATTCTCTACTACAAAAAGTGGTTTTTAAAAATATTATTATTATTTTTTATTTTTCTTGTACTCACTTCCAAAATCTCAATTTTTTCACTCACTGCACACCAAACTTTTCAACTGACCTATGACACTACTTTGAAATAATCGAATCGACAACACAAGACAATCGCGAAAATATTAAATTTTCTTTAATTTTAATTTTATTTTACTTTGTATGTCTTTTTTCTCTTCATTTTCATGCATTGTCATCCAATTCTGGACTGTGTGCCAAATTTGAAGTCTGTAGCTAGTCGGGAAGTTAGTTTAAAATCGGTTACGAAATTCCACCCGAATAGACATACACGAAGGCAAGTTGATATAAACGTGGTAATAATAAAATTAAATGTTACGATTTTAAACCGTTAATGCCATGCATATTTCATTTTATTAACTAACTGAATGCCTGATATTCATACGGGATGAATAAAAAAAAGAATAAATAAATCAGAACTGAACGATAGACTTAGATAAAATTAAAAACTCTCTGCGAACACGAGATCTCATTTACAAAAACTTTCTGCACAGATTGTAACACTCTTGTATCTAGTTTCAAACTTTTCATCCTCTCCTCATTTTGACGAAATTTGTTTAAAAAAAACTTTTATTTTTTTAATTTTTATACAACTTGATATTGATTCATGCCACTGGGATTAGTTTGTTTAAAAAAAAAATAAAAAAAAATTAAAAAAAAATTAAAATGAACGTCCAAAAATGCCATGCGCAAAAACAGTTTTAAAATACAGGAAATTTTAACAAGAAAAAAGTGCATGTAGGAAGCATTTAACAGCAGAATGATATCCACGCTCTAATAAAAAATATTGATGCTAAATCTAAATGTTTGTTTTATTTATTTAAATTGCGTGAATATGTATCTCAAAGTATGATTTTTAAATCACGTGAATACGAACCTCGACATTTAATTTTAGAATCGAGTGAATACGAATCTCTATGCTTGTTTCAAAAAACGCATTAATAGGAACCTCGATGTTTGATTTTAAAATCTTATGAATACGAATTTCGATGTGTGATGTTAAAATAGCGTGGACACGAATCTCTATCTTTCATTTCAAAATCTTTGAATTCGAATATCGACATTTGATTAAAAAATCGCGTGAAAACGAATTATGATGCATTATTTTTAAGTCAGTTGAACGAGCATCATAATTTTTTTGTAATTTTGTTTTATAACCGTCATTGAACAATCGACACAATTTCGGGTTTACGGCTACCAATGCTCAACTCCGTAGCTTTATAATTTTAAACCCAATCCAGAAGACAAGGGAACGCCTGGATCAAGTAGTGGAAGGAATTTTCCTTCATGGAGGTTAGCTTGACGGCAATGGGATTCTAAACCATGATTCGTCTACCACTGAGGGTATCTTACGTCAGCACTGTGGTTGGTGTGAGCCGGGTGTGGAATTCGAATCGACCAGACATCGCCGAGATTCGAACCCAGTTCACCTCATTGGAAGACGAAAGCGCTATCCCCTGAGCCACCACGGCTTTGTGCACCATAATAGTAACTTTTACATCACGTGGATACAAAACGCAATGTTTGATATAAAATCGTGAAAATACGAAACACAATGCGTGATAGGAATCACGATATGTGATTTTAAATCATGTAAATGTAATTTTGAATTGCGTTTGCATTGGTAGAAAAAAGCCTAAAAATGTATTCGAAAAAGACAAACTTTCTTTGAAAAGAAGCGTATTTTTCCTTTTCTTTTTTAATTAAAGTTGAAAAAAATTTTGCGATGGTGATAATCCCTATTTGTAAGTATTACCATATTGTAAATATCATTTTGTAAATATTACCACCACCTACCTACCACTTTAAATATAAAAAAGCACTGTTGTTTCGACTTCAGATCGTATTAATTAATTATGGTAGTTACTTAGAATAGTCTCGTTTTGGCCTAACATATCCTAAAATTGAAACACTGGGGCTACTTTTTTTGGAGCTAAAAAGGAACCTCCAGCAACCCTTTAAAAGGACGATATACAAAAAAGGGTTAAAAAAACTAGTTTAAAGGGAACTAAAAATATAACTCTCTGTAACGTAAAATCTAAAGCATATTTTATTAATTTATTTATTTTGAAAATTACTTTCCAAAAAAAAATGTCATATCCTTTAATTGCGTTAAATATTCTAAATTACATTCTTCAAGGGTTATACGGCAATTAATAAAACATACGTTTTTAACATATTCTTTAAGGTGACCGAACAAAATTATTAGGATTAAATTTCACCCCAATAAAACTTAAGATGTGTTTAAATAAAGTAAAAATGTTTAATAAAATAAAACTTTTGGGAAATTTTAACTTAGAAATTTTTAATTTTCATGTAGTAATCTGCAACAATGAAATATTTTAGGATCTTTAACTCATATATTTTTTTTAAATTTTGATGTAACAAAATTTTTATTGCCAAGATGAAATATAACTGTATTGCAATCTACGAGGGTTGGGGAGTGAAGCAAGGGGATGAGATAGAGCCCTCTAGTAATATATTGAATTTTAATGTAATCTTACCTCTAATGGACTGGATGTTTTGAAATCTTTGTAAAAGTCACGAAAATACTTCCCTAAATTGTAATGCTGTCTTTTACCAAGCTGGAACATAACAGAGAAGTGGGTTATAATCGATATTAGATGCGCAAAAAAATAGAAATAAATAAATATAAATATAAGCTGCATATAAGCTGATATCTTTTGTTTTATAGTGCTATTCCAAGTACTCTTTATGACAAAAGTATATCAATAAAAATTATAAGCCATTAGAATTAAATAATCAAGATCATAACATACATCTACAGAAATGAAAAGCCAATAAAATCTGTCTATTATCGAGATCATACCATGCATACCCTTCATTTTGGTTTTTGCAAAGAATTATTTCTAGTGGCTGTGTACTTCAACGGAAAAGATTACACCCTTACCCATATGATACCATACACCCTTCAACATTTGGGTTTTTTGCAAAGTTTTACTTCTTGTGGCTGTGTACTTCAGCGGAAATTATTACTCTCTTACCCATATGATACCATACACCCTTCAGCCTTAGAGTTTATTGCAAAGCATTACATCTAGTGGTTGTGCACTTCAGCAGAAATGATTACCCCCTTACCCATATGATACCATACACTCTTCAGCCTTTGAGTTTATTGCAAAGCATTACATCTAGTGGTTGTGCACTTCAGCAGAAATGATTACCGCCTTAACCATATGATACCATACACCCTTCAACATTTAAGCTTATTTCAAAGTATTATTTCTAGTGGTTGTGTACTTCAGCGTAAATTATTACACCCTTACCCATATAATACCATACACACTTCAACATTTGGTTTTATTACAAAGTATTATTTTTAGTGGTTGTGTACATCATCGTAAATGATTAAAACAAATCGAAATCATCTCGAAGTTTAATCAGAGCATATAACCAGTTCTTCATCTTGTTGGAGGAACCTTGGTTTAATTTGCCTCTTCAATTTAAAGTGCTGGAAGAAATCAATTTTCAGGTCTATATGAATATTATATTTCTGATCTATCAGGGTGCTTCTGTTATTTTTCAAAGTATTTAATTTGGAATCTTGTTATTCTTTTAAGTTGCGTTTCTGCAATAAAACACTGAACAGTGGATGCATACGAAATAATTGGTCAAATCATGAAAATGTAAAGTAAGCGTTTTAAGAAAAATTGAAGTCTTGATTTAGATCCAAGAAAAGCACTGATGCTGCTAAACACACCAGAAGCATTGTTGGGAATGTGATCGAGTTGTGAATCCAAACGAGCTTTGTGTTGAAAATAATCCCAGGATTGGATGCCTTTTTTACAATTGGCCCCATTTCATTGAATAACATAACCATTCGACCTTTTTATATGTCTATTTAAATTAGTAACATGTGGTGGTAGACAGAAAATATTTTCTGCCAATTTATTAAAATGTTAATGCATTATATTTGCTACTATTAAGAAAAAGTTTTCTTAAACTATGGAACTTCCGTAGTTGTTGGAATATACATATCAATAAAAAGGTTAAACGAAAAAGATGTATTGTTAATAGTAGATATCATAATATATCTACTTATTTTAAATAATTATAAATTAAAGCATAAGTAATATTTTTTTTTCTTAGCTTACCAGAGTTAATGATCCCAAACCTTCTGGCCATAAGCTTTCTGGATTCGGATCTTTTGGATAAAGTGAAAGGGGAGCTCGATCCCCGTGGCGATAAAGCTGAAACATTAAAGCAAGTAAGAATCTGAATTATTATAAAGGACATTTAATTATTTTAAAAGATAAAATTCTTTATAAAGAAGTCAGCTTTTTTAAAAAAATATTTACTTTACCCAATTATTAATTTGTGTTTATGAACAGCAAGAAGCGAGAAAATTGAAAAAATAAAAACTAGTAACAATATTGTGTTTTTGATAGTTTTTGCTTGTCATTTTTATTTGAAAAACTAAAATCGAAAACTCAGTCCATGTCAAATCGAATGAAAGGAAAAAATTCGTTTGATATCGATAGTGGAAAAAAAATTTGTTTATTTATCCTACAGTTGGCTGATCGTAAGGCATTATTATTCCAATTAGATCTCCAAAGTCAAGCATCACTGGTTGTAATCAGGGAGCGGGTACTGGATCAGGCTTTGAAGGGACCGAGGCATTTGTCCTCGATAAACTGTTCTACGAAAAGTGCTAGACATTGGGAGCAGATCGTCCGGCTACGAAAGTGAGGGAGCCCTACCCTATGCCGAGGAACAAAATTGCGATGGTATGTCTTAGGATCATATTCAGGGATGTTTCTCAGGCCGTCGTCAGTAGCTTATTGTGCAGCTCTAGTGCAACGTAAATAAGATACTACTACTATTATTTATTTATTTTTTTATGGATAATTTTTATTTATTTCAAGTGTTACAAGTACACAACAAAAACACTTCGTAAATTAATTTCTCAAAAAGGAGTTAAGAAACCTACACTTTTTGGACCTAGTGAATTCCTGCATGTGTTTTGTTTTAAAATGTAACTTTATATTTCATATTCGAAATGTAGTTTTCTACCAGACATTAAAGTCAAAATGGGACCATGTTTTCGTTTTTACGTTATAAGACACTTCAGAAATTAATTGCCCGCTTTGCTTAGCGAAACCTATATTTTCAGGACATGAATCGCTTTTTAATGCTTCATTTTTTTAAAATGGTGCCATGCAAACTTTTAATTTTGTCTGAAAAAGACATTAAAAACTAAAGAATTTTCTGTTAAAACATGTAAGTTATTCAACTGATTTTTAAGGTTAATTTCATAAATTTTTGCAGCTAAACTTATATTTTTAGGCCATATATAGGTTTTACTTGCGTTACTTAAAATGGTGTCATCTAGTTTTCTATTCGAGATGTTGTTTGAAAATACCAAAAAAGAAGACCAATTTTTTTTTATGCATAGGAGACATATTAGATATTAAATTTTAAAGTAACGCTTCGAAACCTACATGTTTAGGGCATAAATAGCTTCTGACTTGTATCCCTATATGGCAGTACTTTTACTTTCGTTACTTGTAGCGCCGGTACAAGTAAAAAGTACGTACTTTTACTTGTACTTCGTTACTTTTTAAATTTAGTACTTTTACTTGTACTTTCGTTACTTTTTTAGGGAAAAAGTACAAGTATTTGTAACGAAAATGTCGAATGAAATCGTTACTTTTTTCTAAAACTTGGTAAGCTTTCTGAAAAATTTTAATATCTAATTATTCATAAAAATTTTATATTTCATATAAATTTTAATATCTAATTATTTTCTATTTATAAAATAACATTTTACATTTATTTGAAGCATTTTTCATTCCTTTAAATATGTTAATTAAAAATTTTGTTAACAATTTGTGCGCATTGGATGCTATTTTAAATAATTTAAATAACTAATTTCATATTACTATTACAAAAACTTTTGGCACAAGTTTTACATTTTTTAACGTTAAAGTATTAAATTATAAAAACAATGCTTTATTTAATGGAAATGTAGTATGCATCAAAATAAATCTAAAATATTATATATTTTTTTTAATTTTGCAACAAAATATTTCTTTAATTATATTAAACGTAACATATATACTATTATATAAACGTATTAGTTATTCATATCATAAAATTTTAAAATGAAACTTTTGTTCATAATTTTGGTTATGAGTGGATTTAGTATTGCACATCGTTATTACAAATCCAAAAATTGCCATTATGAAATATTTTAAAATAAATTTTTATTTTATTTAAAAACAAAATATAATTTGTAGTTTATTGGATTTATAGGGGTTTCCTGTATATGAATGCATTTTTTTAAAATTTATTTTCTAACATAAGTTATAATGTTAATCAAATTTGTCGAACAAGGTAATTTATTTATAAAATAAAGTTTCCGAAAATAAAAACAAAATTTTAAATTTTTTTTTATAGTTCTAAAATTAACATAAATCTAAGTTCCTTTTTATATGTAAACAGATAATTTTGATTTCTGGTTTGGCTTCTGGATATTTTAAATGTTCACTATTGAAGGAGATTTGTAACATTCGAATTAGATTTTATTCCGTAATAATATGATTTCTACCACTTTTATCTTTTTTTTTATTTAAATAAATTAACAAATATTTATTTTGAATTAGCAAATATAAATTTTTATTTAAATAAAAAAAAAAGAATCTCTTTAAGTTAATATAAACTAGGGAAAGAATAAAGAACTGTCGTTTCCGTAAATTTTGATATTCGTTTCTCATTAATCAACTATATTAAGGTTTATTAATTATAATTGTGTACTATAAGTCGCGCTAACGATGTTTTAAAGTTAGAGGGACTCGCTTACTCGTAAATATTTANACGAAAGTGAGGGAGCCCTACCCTATGCCGAGGAACAAAATTGCGATGGTATGTCTTAGGATCATATTCAGGGATGTTTCTCAGGCCGTCGTCAGTAGCTTATTGTGCAGCTCTAGTGCAACGTAAATAAGATACTACTACTATTATTTATTTATTTTTTTATGGATAATTTTTATTTATTTCAAGTGTTACAAGTACACAACAAAAACACTTCGTAAATTAATTTCTCAAAAAGGAGTTAAGAAACCTACATTTTTTGGACCTAGTGAATTCCTGCATGTGTTTTCTTTTAAAATGTAACTTTATATTTCTTATTCGAATTGTAGTTCTCTGCCAGAAATTAAATTCAAAATGGGACCATGTCTTCGTTTTTACGTTATAAGACACTTTAGAAATTAATTGCCCCAATTTGTTTAGCGAAACCTATATTTTTAGGACATGAATCGTTTTTTAATGCTTCATTTTTTAAAATGGTGCCATACAAACTTTTAATTTTGTCTGAAAAAGACAGACTTGAAATCTGAACCTAGTACCTAATGTTGACAATAGATTCACAGCCATCTTTTCTATAGCCTTGAAATTCAAACCTGCTACCTCATGTGGACAATAAATACACAGCCATCTTTACTATAGCAAGTTGCTTAGAATTATTTTCACTTTCTTTTCAGTTAAACAAGCAAGGTGCTTGCTTTACAATATCAGTCACCCCAGAGACTCTGTATACAAACTGCTTATATTTTCTAATTTTTACTGTAATTTCAGGATGAATGGGATATGGGTCTTCTGCGCGGCCCAGGTGCCCAGCTTTTGTTAAATAAAGTAAGTAAGTAAGTCTGAAAAAGACATTCAAAACTAAAGAATTTTCTATTAAAACATAGTAAGTTATTCAACTGACTTTTAAGGTTAATTTCATAAATTTTTGCAGCTAAACTTATATTTTAGGGCCATATATAGGTTTTACTTGCGTTATTCAAAATGGTGTCATGTAGTTTTGTATTCGAGTTGTTGTTTGAAAATATCAAAAAAGAAGACCAATTTTTTTATTATGCATAGGAGACATATTAGATATTAAATTTTAAAGTAACGCTTCGAAGCCTACATGTTTAGGGCATAAATGGCTTCTAACCTGTATCCTTCTTTAAAATGGAGGTATACATTTAGAATATGAGTATAGCTTTGAGCCCTACTTGTATACACTTTGCAAGTAAGTTGCGACTGTGCCTGAAAATAGTGATAAGGAATTTCTTTTTCTTGAGCTCCAGTTTTAGCCTGCCAAATATGACAAGCGTAAGACAAAGCAAAATTCAATCGTCTCCTAGCCAAAAAAATTTCGACCACTTTCCTACCTTCTTGTGCCGGGAGACACACGACAATGTAGTTTTAAAACGTTTCCTAATCAATTGAATTTATTGTCAATTGAAATTGTGACCATTTTCCTACAAGCTGGAATATTCACGTTTCAAATGAAGCTCTAAGACGGATAGCACAAAACAACAAAAATTTTAAACGTTTCTTTATCAATACTGTCAATCAAAAATTAGACCATTTGCCGAGTATTCACATTAAAAGTGAAGCACTGGTTCTGGTGATACATAACTAAACAAATTTCAATCGTTTTTTATCTTAAACAGTAATTGTTGTTGACAATGAAAATTTTGACCATTATCCAACAAGCTAGCGTGTTCACATTAAAAGTGAAACACTGGACTTGCCGATACATGACGAACTAATTACAATCGTTTTTTTATTTATTTACTTATTATTATTATCATAACTAGTAGATCTTGTCGGTCACGCGTTGTTCCTTTCATTGCAACACATGAAAACAGAAGTTTCAATTGTTTTTTAACCTATAGTTTTTATTATCCATCTAATTTTTAACAATCTTCTGATTAACTTAAATATTCACATTTCAAGGAAAGTTCATTGCTGTGTGACGCATAGCAATACAAGTTTCAACCATTTCCTAACAAATAAATTTTATTGCCAATCAAGATTTCGCCAACTTCCCGAAATAAGCAACCTATGAAAAACACAAAAACTAAAATGCAAAAATTAAATACAATAAAAAATTCAGAGACACATTTTTTAAGTGGACTAAGTTTGAAACTAAATAACTTTCGAAAGTGTTATGTCAAATATTTTTTGTTTTTGGTGGGACAAAAAAATTCAATTTACTTCCTCGTTTTTAGACCAATTAAAAAACAGGATTCCTAAATTTCAAATATTTGTTTCAGAATATCATCAAAAAACAATTTGTGAACTAAGAAAATAAAAGAAATTTTAATATATATTTACCATTTGTACAAGTATCAACTTCAAGTCTGAATGATCGGAAATCAATTTACCCGACGTTACTGTACATAATACGAAAATTATCCAATGAGAAAGCATATTAATGAAAAAATCGTAGATATGCACACTATAAATAAAATTTGAACGAAAAAAAAAATTTAATTACTGAAACAGACAGAAATCTTTCAAAAACGATGTCATTTCTGAATGTTAATAATGAGATGATGTTAACTATGAACAATTGTCACTAACAGTGAATCATGTCTGTGATTCCTGAATTAAATGAAAATTTTTATTCCCTTGAGGTCTGAAATTAAGTTGTAAAGATAAAAGGACAGGTTAAAAGGATTTCAAAGCAGAATGTGGCAATGATTTGTTAGCTCTTATCTGAGGCATTTTCGAAATCAGCTGTTTGTAATAAATCTAATTTTGATAAAAGTAATCAGTAAAACACATTAGAGCTCTACATAGAATGTTTTTATTGGAAAATATTTCACTTTTTAGGGCAAAAATTTCGCTCGAAATTTTTATTATATTCGAAAAAAATATAGCTTTACAATAAGTTTTGAATCCTCATTTTCAATAAGGAATTGTTAAATTTGGGGTTTAAATTTAATTCGCAATGAGAAAAAAAGAATAAAATGCTTAACATTACTGCAAGAATTTTTTGCAGAGTACTTTAACCTGTTTTGTAAAATAAATAAATAAATAAAAAATTTTGTCTTTTTTTTTTAAGTTAAGTGATTTTTTTCCTCGCTTAAGTTAATTGTCATTTAAATATATTTTAGAATTGTCGTAAAGAAATAAGTCAAAACATAAAATTAAGACATCGTAATAATCACCATATGAAAATTTTAAAACAAAAACACTAACAATTAAATGAGAAACCGAGATAAGTTAAATCAGTGCTAACAAAAAAACTTTTAACAAAAAAAAAATTTCTGCTGCGTCCTTAAGATAGAATCGCTGATTTTGAAGTTTATTTTTGAAGAAAAAAATAAATAAAGAGATATTCTTGAATTTAATTTGTAAAAAAAAAATTCTGTCCTTCATTTTATGTACTATCATTTAATTTTTATGTATAAAATATTTGCGTCTATTACAAAATTTTAACATTTAAGGGCCGCGATCAAATGACCATCTAAATCTTTTTTTAATAAATCCTATTTTCTAAGTATCTAGAATACTAAATGTCAATTTCTAGTCAATATTTTTTTTTTTACAAGAAATTCATTCTATTTATTTCTAAGTTGAATAAGTCCCTTAAAAAAAGCTACGATGTCTGTACGTAACAACGGTTAACCATTATTTTTGAAGAAAAAAAATTATTAATGAATAAAGAGATATTCCTGAATTTAATTTGTCAAAAAAAAATTCTGTCCTTCATTTTATGTACTATCATTTAATTTTTATGTTTTATGTATAAAATATTTGTGTCTATTACAAAAATTTTACATTTAAGGGCCCCTATCAAATGACCATCTAAATTTTTTTTAATAAATCTTATTTTCTAAGTATCTAGAATACTAAATGTCAATTTCTAGTCAATGTTTTTTTTTTTTACAAGAAATCCATTTCTAAGTTGAATAAGTCCCTTAAAAAAAGTTGCAATGTCTGTATATAACAACGGTTAACCTTTTCCGAGTCGGGCGAGTCATAAATATAGTCGTACGGAATCAGATTCAGGATAGTAAAAAAATAAAAAGCGGTAGCTTAAGTTTGGGCATAGCTAATTTGACAGACTAATTTTTCTTTTCACTTCAGATCTAACACATCCAATCCAATCCTTGTATGTTAAAAGTGTAACTATACAATTATTAATTCGAACAAAGTAGTGGTGAATTGAATAAATCTAACTATTATTACCCCGCCCACAAATGAACTGCTATAAAAACAGTTTGGCTACCAGTTTTATCTTTTTTACCCTGATTATCGACACCCTGAGAATGCATATGACACGCTCGTCCCGAAGAGGTTTAATAATTTCGAATTCAAACTCTTTTTGTTTTAAGCGATCAAATCTATTGTGTAATAAAGATATGGGAGCTATCTCATTAACTTTTTCCCACTTTGATTCGTATTTATTTGTTATTATTATACGTCTCTCGTTGATATTTGAAGTTACTCAAAATGAAAATCAAGAAGACGATCAAGGTTAAGTAAAGAATCACTTAGCGCGAAAGTGGGGTTTGCGGAGGGGTGAGAGATAGTAGACTCTATTGTTGATTGGCGAAAATTGATTGCGGGTAAGAGGGCAAAATGATGTCTGATTTAAAAAGGCGCGAACAGGAAAATAATGTTTTTACTGTATTAAATTGAAAAATATGTCTTAAAAAGTTCTTTGTTATAATCAATGATGTAAATATCCACGTTATCAGAAATTTTTGCCATCTTGCCAGCGAAATTTAAATACCAGATTGATAAAAAATCAGTTGTATTTTTTGAGCAAATGTCAGGAAAAGGCATTTTGGGTAATGTTAAAGCGATCAGAGTATATGGAAATATGATGGTCGGTTAATTATGATGAGTAATTGAAGTACTTCTACCTTTATTCATTAAAGTTGGCATACTAGCTGATCCAAGACCGCACAGTGCAAAACAATGCCGGAAAAAAAATTGAGATTAGGGGTGGGAGTACTTCAATCATTCACCGTATTTGCCCGACATTGCACCATCAGATCAATATTCTCTGCTTGAAAAAAAATTTTAAAATGATATTCAAAATACTTTTCCCCAAATATTTTGCTCAAAAAACAATTAATTTTTATGAATTCAGCATTTAAATTTTTTACGTTAGATGACAAAAGGTTTCTGATGTCATTGATTAAAAATTAAAACTTGTTAACTCTTTTTGAATTTAATTTTACAAAAATGTCATTATTTTCCTGTTCTAATAAGATTATGTGCGCAGTTTTGTTTTGTTATTTTTGTCTGCAAATGTTATGTAATAAAACGTAAAGTGGAATAGTTGATAAATAAAATAATAATAAAATTAATTTACCTCAAGTTCAATGCGGTTTATTAGAAGAGAATAAGACATACTTCGTTTTATCCTAACTTTCCCTCCTAAAATTATTGATGTTTAATGATTTTTGTTTTTAAGAGAAATGTTCACATTTATCCTCTCATTATTTCAGAGTTTCATGATACAATTATTTCACTCTATAGAGTTGAAATAAAAGAATTTTATATAAGTACTTTGAATTGCATTTTTATATTTAAAAAAAAAAAAAAATAATAAGAACTATAGATTTTGGCTTATATTTAAAAATCAGCTCGGACCGGAACTGAGAGTGCTACAAAGACAAGTTGGTCTTTTTTCGAAATGAATAAATTATTTTTTAAAACAAAATAAATACCAAGGTGGCGTTCTCTAATTATTGAGAATAGCATATAGTTGCATTCAAGTATGTATCTGTGTTTTATTCCTTACTATTACAACATGAGTTTGTGGTGCCAGGGGCACGGCTTTTGCTATCTCAATATTACACATTCACAAAGTTACACATTAGACAGGGAAAATTCAATCTTTCAAGCCGAACAGTTGGCAATCCTTGAATGCATTAAATATATTAAGAGCACTGAGAACTTCAATAATAATAATCGCCATATCATCTGGTCAGACTCAAAAGCATCAATACTTGATTTTGGCACAGATAATAGAATTTCATTTGATATTCAACAAGAACTTCAACACACATCAATACAAATTTCCTGGATTAAAGCACACAGCAATAGAGTAGGTAATGAAAAAGCAGATGATTTAGCTAAACAATCTACGAGACAACCAAAAAATTATGTATATCCACTTCCAGTTTTATATCTTAACGAAGTATTAAAGATTCTCTTTTAACAAAATGGCAATTTCAATGGAATAATTCAGATAGAGGAAGATGTCTATTCAAAATTATTAATAGTGTTATTTTTTTCAAAACAATTCCTCCTAAACAAGTCATCTGGTTCTTGACGGGTCACAGACCATTTCCAACCTTCTTTCATTACCTACTGATCTTTGCACCTGCGGCCAACAAGGTTCACCTGAACATTATCTCACTAGCTTTTCCTATACTGTCTCCTGGCATAGTTGTCAGCCTAGCCCAACAAATGTAGAAATTTGGCAGAAAAATTTCATTATAAACAATACTTTAACCAAAAGATTAATAATAGTAATGAACTTTTTAGCAGATAATGACTATTCATTAAAATTTTAATAGCTTCTTATTTCACATGTATAATTTTTTTTATCTTTGTGTTTTTTCTTCTTCTTAATTTCCACATTTAAAAAAAAAAAAATTTTTTTTTTTTTAAATATCATGTTAAGTAGAAAATTTTTCATTGTAAACAACTATTCCTAAAGATTTCTTTGTAAAATAATGAACATCATTATGTTATTTTCTTCCTCTGATGTGTATATTATACAATATAGCATAGTCTCAATGAGATTATTATGTAACAAATTCTATATCACTGTATTTATACACTGTAAGTATTTAGATACTGCAAATATTGTCTCGTACAAATCAAAATTAATACCGCTGACTGGACCCGTTCCTTGGCTGGAGTGAAGCTGGACTAGTGGCCAAGTCCTGGGCTATATGGTTAAGGGTTTTGTATAACCTAGGTACATGCTCATGGCTTGGAAGGAAAAAAAAGGGGGGTGATGGGTCAATAAGGACAGGTTTTGCTTTGGGTCGACGAGAGAAAGGGAATCAAGTGAGAGAGGGAAACATCCTTCTTTGAAATATGTTATTTATTCTTTTCTATTGCAGCAGTTGGCCTTAAAATTTGTAGCTTTTTTTCATACTTCCCACATTTGGATTCAAACTGTTTTCCAATCCTGTAGCATCAGCAATTGGTGGAAAACATGAAAAAAATATGGTATTGCTTATATTAGGGGCCCCAGAAAAAAAATTCGCTATGGGCCCTTTGCTAAAAACGCAATAAGTCAAATTTTCATATTTTACACTCATTCTCAAAATTAAATATTTAAAATATTGATTTACCTTTGATTCTTCTAATAGCAGTTTTCATAAATATACTAAAATATTAATTATTGTGCTTATTTTAACTAAAAACTGTTTGCTGCTTTCATTTCCATTGCACAAAATGTAAATATGCATGCAATAGAAAAAAAATCCTCCTATGCATGCAATAGAAATAGAAAAAAAATTAAAAAACCTCCCACTTCTTGTAAGGAATTTCAACCAGGCACTCAATAATACTACCCCCCCTCCCCAGATAATTGCCCCTCTCCTCTCCTCTTGAGTACGGCCTTGTTGCCTTTGCTCCGCTGATTTCAAAATTTTGATGCATATTGAAATTTCATCAGCTCTTTTAATTGAATCTGGTATCAAATTCGGGTCATTGAAAATTATGGGAGCAATGAGATGAAGGTTAAATGGTTGAACCACTCAACACTTTTTCTTTTTCAAACATTAAAAAAGTAGTATCAGAACAATTAAAGTCGTGAAGAAATAAGATTAAATCCTTACAACCATTTAGAAGGATAGTATTTTGTAGGTCAATGAAACAGTAAAATTTTGTTATATTTCCTTTCCCTTATTTCTTTAGAATTTTTTTTCTCGGGGGACCTCTGAGTAATATGAGATCAACGCTGTTCATTAATAAACAGTTGTCTGCTGCTTACAAATGTTACAATTCCGTAACAGCACTTTCTAAACAATGAGAACATTGTAAAATAATTTTTTTTTTTGGGGGGGGGAGGGAGAGGAAATAGTTTCCTCAAGAATGGCAACCTTATTTGTTTCAATTTTATACCTTATACAAGATATATTCTAAAATTTATTTGCATCAGAATTAAAAAGGAAAAATGCAAAATGGTTTAAAATAGGAGAAATTCTGAATGTTGAGTAGGATTTTGTTTTCTTTCTTCATAATGGATGCAAAAGTGACATTAAAAAGTTTAATTATTGTGTAGAACTGAAAAAAAAAACAACTTATTATGGATATCCTCCAAAATATAAAATTAGAAGAAAAAATAAATATATGTGTAAAAATTTTGTTTACAAAATGCTTAGAATTTAAGATTTAAATGAGGAGGGGAAGATCATTCTCAAGGAATGGTAACCAGTTCTTTATTCATTACTAGAATTCTCATAAATCATGTTCTACTGTTTATTTGTTCAAAATTTAAAAAAAAATAAATAATAATAATCTGAATAAAAATCTAATTTGGAATTTAAAATTATAGCTTTAGGGGGGAGGAAATATCATTATCAGGAAGAAAAAATATTGCTTAATTTTAATACTAAGATTCATATAATTCAACAGATAAGGACTTATCAACAAATAAGGAATTCAACAGATAAGGACTGAAAATTAAGCAAAAAATATTTTTAAGAGGTATCTAAATTTTTTTTTTTTTTTTGGAGAATGAAGAAGTAATGTCACTCCCAGGAAAAATGAACTATTTTTTAAATAACTAAGATCCATAAAAGTTACAAGCCAACATTTAATCTCTTAAAAATAAATAAAAAAAAATTGTGTTAAAAGTTATTTTTAAGGTAATTAAATCATTTAGGAGGGGGGTAGCATGATGTTATACACATAAGTTAGAGTCAGAAAAAAAAAACTACATATTTAAAAATTATATCTAATATTCCAAAAGAAGGCATCTAAATATTATAAACAATTAGATAAAGGTTCCCTTTAAAATTGCTAGTACCAAAATTTTGGATTCCACCTAAATATTTGGTAATAGAGAAACAGAATTTCACTGTGATCATTAAATAAAATTCAAAAAATGAAACATTTAGTATCTTTGTTAACAAAAATGCATCCCTTTCTTGGCATTTGCAGACTCTGTTGTGACCTCACTGAAAAAATCAGAACAACATTTTGCAAAAAAAATCACAATATTTTATGGAACTGTTTATATACTACATTTAAAAGAAGCAAAAAAAAAAATATTTAAAAAAATTACTTTTTAAAATTCAAATTTATTTTGTTTAGAACAGAACATTTTAACAGCTTCTAGAATAATTTTATCAATACTGAATAACTCATAATAGTTTCAAATCAATGCAGGAAAAAGCTTTACAGAACTGTTGCATTAAAAAAATAACCAGAATCAATTAGATAATATTTCTTTATATGAAATTAACTTAGCGGATGATTTCTCACTTAACAATTTAAAAATTTTATTATGCAATTATTACATTGTTTATTGGAATCAATTATTTTTGATGTCACATGAAAAAGAAAAATCAATAATTGTGAAAATGAAACATTCTACTTTAAAATATTTGTTACTGCATTTGCTGAAAATAATATGTGTACGACTTATATGCCTGAGCTAAGTATATATTTGTAATTAATGAACAGCTAGTAAGTTTAAACTATCAAATTTTTGCGACTTTTTTCCATTATTTAATTTGAATAAAAATGTTGGATTGATAATATAAATTTTAAGGTCCTTTAAATTGATTGTTTAAAATTCAAACTTGCATTTGCAGAAAATGAGATATTCTGAAGACACACAAAAATCAAGAATATGAGGTCAAAAAGCTAAAAATTAGGACAAAATATTTTTTTTATCAGGAATATAAGGACAACTACAAACCCTGCATTTGTTATCATTCAAGTTCTCCCTGTTTTTTACGGCATAATCAATTCAATTAAACACTAAGTCATTAAAAATTAAGCTTGGCCATTTCACATTTTTCCAACTTTCCATTGGTAGAAAAATGAATAAAATTTTACTCAGAAAAAATGTTAAGAAATTCTCAAATATCATTTTTCCAAATAGTTGAAAATGTTCATAAAATTGTCAATCTCTCTGTATAATGCATCCCCCATTACATAAAAAGTGTACAAAAATCAAACATGAAAAATTAATTTTAATCAACAACAAATGAAACATACAGTACTATAAAATAGTTTTAGAGTTATTTTAATAAATATCATTCATGTATTTTTTATGTAAAAAGTCAATTAACTGGGGAAAGTTATTTCTAATTTCTTTTGGTGCATAACGTTTAATAGAAGACCATTTTCTCTTGAGGGCACATTCAGAATGAATTACATTTTTGAAAGATTTTTGAACTTCTGTCCAAAGAATATCACACTCATCAGTAACATGATAATTGCTTTTAAGAAGATTTATCAATTTTTCTGTATCAGACACAGTCCATTCTTCATATAAAGCATTTTGAAACAGTTTACTTTGATTAATTTGCCATTCTCTAAGGCACTGTTTTTGATTACGAGTAGGCACTAAATCAGAAACTTTTCTCCAAGAAATACCATTCAGGTGCTCAGCAGAGATAATTGATACTTTTGTAACAGATTTTATTGCTAAAATTAATTGTTTTATTTCAGTTTCTGACCAGGGTCCTTTCTTTACAGGTTTTTTGTGAAATAAATAGAAGCTGCAACAGTCATAAGAGTCTATTCCTAATTTTTGCCCAATTAACGACCAGTTATTACCATATATTTTTTGCAATTTAATAATATTTGTGATGTCATTAGCTGTGCAATCTTTAGAATTTTTCAATATGTTAAACATTCTTCTAGCTTTACAATATATAGCTCCAAGCATTCTATCATTGATATCTTTTCCTAATCTAACATAAAAGTGCTTTGCTTTCAGAAATTTTTTTACCCAACTGTATTCATATTTATTGCTAGGTAAATTTCGTCCAATTCCAAGCAATAAATTACTATTATAAACTCCAAATTGAGATTGAAAATCTTCAAAATTTCTCCTTAGCAGATCTTTTTCTTTATTTGACCATTTTCCATTTTTAATTACAACACCTTCAGACTTCAATTTTGACTTCAATTCTTCACTAAGCAAATTAACTGATTCTTTCATATGAAGTTTAGGTATGGGAAAATCAACAGGCTCTTCTGACAAATCAAGTTCAGGTACAATTATTTCAACTGGTTCCTCTGTCAAATCAATATCTGGTATAGCTGCTTCATCAAATTCTTCTGTCAAATCAAGCTCTGGTATAACTGCTTCATCAAATTCTTCTGTCAAATCGAGCTCCTCCAGTATACCTTTTTCCTCTGCCAAATAAATTTCTTCTATAGTTGTTTTAGTAGTAGATTTCTGTTTTAAATCAAGCTCTGGAACAATCGGTCTAAATGGTTCTTTTAAAATATTTAATGGTTTATTAGTGAAATGTTTTTTTTCTGCAGTATCGTTTAATGTTATTATTGGACATTGAAAATTTTTTTGAGAATTTGTAGATGTTTCATCTGTAGAATTTTTACAAAATGTAGAACAATCGTGAGTTTTAGGCATGTCTGATGGTGAAAGATTATTTTTAATTTTCTGAATAACTGAAAACGTATTTTTGGTATTTGCTTGGTTACCACAATTTGCAGTAACAGGGGCTGGTTTGCTTTTCCTAGCAGCTGGTTTCAAAAAACAAGAATCTTGGACAGATGAACTAGACTGCAATTTTAGTTTTTTTCTCTTCTCTTTTATATTTTTGAAATGAGGAGATGGAATATCAACGTTTTGATTGATAAAACTTCCTAATTGACTTGATAAATAATTTGCAACATTTGTATTCTCGCTTTCAATTTTACCAACTAAATTTTCAGTTTTCCACAAGGTAGTTGGAAAACTTTTAGAGTTTCCTATTTTAACTGAATTTGAATCATATGATGAAATGGCTGTATGTTTATTTGAGCCTTTTGCTTTAGTTTTATGAACCATGTTCAACTTTTGTTGTTTCTTTGCTTTTTTACGCCTTAAATGATATTCGGCTAATTCTAATGCCTTTCTATAACAGTCTTCAACCATAGAAACTTCAGTTTCATCAAGAACTTTGCTTTTTTCAATCATCTCTAGATTTTGGATCGAATTTTTCCTTAGACCACATTTTTTAAACTTTTTGGACAAATTAATATTCTTCTTTTTAATTTCGTTAATTCTTTGCCGCAGTTCAACAAAAGGATTGTTATATAAGTCATTCATTATTGATTTCAATAATTTGCATTAACCACAAACTTTCAATTACAATTTATTCTAAAAACTTTATTAGAAAGAAAATAATCATGAAGCCATGACATACCGTACCAGGCATACAGGAATAACAGGACAATGTTTATTTACTATTTGAGTTTCCGGTTACTTATTTCTGCGTAATTAAGTTTCGCATTTAAAGATGATAATAACTTGAAACAGAAATAGGCCGTTTCAAACGCCAAACCAAACAAAGTGAAAAGAAAAATTTCATTTTGTTGTCATCTCGATTTTGTGTATAAATGCAATCAGCTGTAATTCATTTTAATCTGTTAAGTAACTTTAAAACTACAAAAGATTAAGTAATTCATCTTAGAATTTAAACTTACCAAATTTAACGTTTGAAATGGATGATTTACCCACTAATTTTGATGTAATCGTAGTGGGTACAGGTAAATTGTTTACTTTTTTTAATTATTTAATTCGATTTGTATTAATAAACGCTATGAAGGAAAGATTCCGGTATTGGTACTTGAGCCAAAATTGTCGCCAAGTTTTAGTGACTTACAGGTGGTGGCATACAAGAAACTATAAAAAAACATATCAGAAAGGGGCCGTGTTCGAAGGGTAATGGGGTATTTCTGTGGTGTATCTGTTCGCGCTTACTGTCTTCATTGCGGCGTTAAACGACCTTTCTTTCTAATATTTAAAAAAAAAAAATTGCATGCATTTCAGTTTCGTTTTAGGGTAGTTAGCAGTTATGCCATCTAAGTTGCTATCCATAGATAATATATTTTCTTTTTAGTTTATGAGTGGCTACCTCCCGAAAATCGTCATAACTTTGTGATTATTTTGGATTGGATTATTTATATTGTCCCGATACCACTGTTTTGTTGTTTTCAAAGTTTGATGCCTTTTTTGGTTCAGATACCAATAATGAAATCTTCCCTGTAAGAGCCCAAAAATATTGTAAATATTTACGGATAACATAAAAATACTAGATTCATTTTGATTAAACAATACTATACTTACTAACAGAATATTTGTTGTTGTTAATGCAACTTATTTGTTTAATATATGTTTGTAAAAGTATAATTTTAATTAGTACATAAGTAAAAAAAATTAAATATAGCTATTACTTTGAATTAATAAAAGGTTGTCGTATTAATAAATAATATATGCCTAGGTCAATCTAAAATCTTTATGTTTTTTAATCGAAATAATGAGCTACAAAAGGAAATTAATATTTTTCAAAGAGATTCAATGAAATTTTTGTACCAGAAAGGTATGATTAATTAATTCTTAGGTGCCTTTTGAAAGAAATTGATCCACATTTCAAAGGGATCCTAATGCATTTTTGATTAACATTGTGAAGTAATCTACAGTTCTTTAATTTTTTTACCATAGATAATCAATTAAGTAAGAGTTTGAAGATTATGTCATTCTTCCAGGATTCTAGAAGGAATTCAGGATGTTTCACTTTTAATGGTAACATAAATGATAATAATAATAGCTTAAATAGTTTCTTTGAAACTTTTGTCAAATCAAATTATTATCATTATGTTGGAATGATGTACAGATGTTTTATGGATATTAAGGTAACATTTTACCTAAAAAATTGCAATTTTGACTTTATCTGTTTTTTTTAATGGAACTGTTACTGTAAGAGGGATCATAATTAAAAGGATAGACAGTAAAAGCTAATTTTTATCCTTATAAATTTTATTATTCGAGTAATTTTAAAAACTTAGTGAGGTGATTAGCTAAAACTTCATGTGTGAGATATAGGTATATAAAATATGTATAGTTTATATGGTAGTAATAAAGAAATCCTTACTCAATATCATAATATTTTAGGAATGCCAGAATGTATTATAGCTGCTGCAGCTGCTCGTGTTGGCAAGAAAGTTTTGCACATTGACAGGTAAAAAATTTTGTTTTCATTATAACATTTACTTGATGTTTTTATTTTAATTCAGTATCTGCATATTGTGTTAATCCAAACTCCATTCTTCTTTCTTTTTCTTTGAATCTTCCTCTTTTTTTTTCAAGACTTTATTCTTCATTTTCTTTTATTCATTTTTTTTTTTTTAAAAATGGTTTCTGTCAGTTGTTTTGCACATGCTTAAGAAATGCCTAACATTCTTGGCATTCTTATTAAAAATAATAAAACAATTAGACATTATTAAGGGTTTAATGTTACTAAAACATAAATATACTTTTCCTAATTTTTTGAAGATTTAAGTTAAACAAAACAAAAAAAGATTCTTTTGGATCTTAATTTTTTTATGTAATTTTATGACCTCTTTAAAAATTTTATATAATTTAAATTTATTACTGATACTTGAAATAATTATCCTTGTAGCAAACTTCTATGCTCAAGTTTTAGGGAAGATATTTTTTAGGTTTCTAGCCTGAAAAGGCTTTAGAGGAAAACAATCAATCAACAATGTTTCCATCATCATATTTGGCATGGCAGCCCTGAGTAAACCAAGGCCTTCTATAAAAGATTCCTCCATAGAAACCTATTTTTTGTCCTGGACTGCCAGTTTTTTACTTTCAATCACTGTAAGACAAAATTTGTAAATTTTGCTATTAGCCAGTTATAAAATTTTTAACAGTAGTCACTTCTTTAATATTTGGCCAAAATTTCAATAATTGAAAAAACTGTTAATATTAATAATTTAAGGCATTTATTTTTCAAATTTCTCAATGTAGGGCAAACATTACAAGGTTCATTTCTAAAGTGATGAAAAACTTTTAAGATGTAAGTTTTAAATAAGATTCAGAATATTATGTAATGATTGTAATTTAAAAAAAATATTACACATACAATGCAATCTTGACAACAACAAAAAAAAAAATTGTTTATTCTGCTCTATACCAGGCTCTTCTGACTCTGCTCTATCTGGTTCCCTAGTACCAAACAATCATTGTTTTAGCTTTCCTCTTTTCTAACTATTGAAGAGCTTTGACTTCACTAGTTGGAAAGTGAGTTTTTGATTTGTTTGTTCAATTAATGGCTTTAATTACAATCTTTTTAAATTATTGTATTCTTTTAGTTTAATATTATTCTATTTGATGCTTATAGTTCATATGATTAGTAATTGTGTTAAAAAAAAGTTACCTTCTTAAACACTTAATATTATCTATCCTAAATCTGAAGTGTGTGAAGAAAAAGATAATTCAATATCGAAAAAAGACACTTGCTTAATGTTCATTTTTCTAGTTATTGTTTTATTTGTCTGCAAAGTACTTATAGTATTATTACGGAATTTCATTTATTGAAGCTTTAGCTTTAAATGGGCACAAATAAGGACACCACAAATTAAAACTCTGTTAATTTATTCCTTTAAGATTTTACTTTAATATTATCATCTACAACTTTATCTTTTCTTTTTTTTTCCTGCCGATTTCTTCATTGGGTTCAGTATAAGCATCTGTTTTTACTTCTTTTGTGCTAAACTTAAGTATAATTGTGTGAAGCTCAAATTAAATTTAAACAATTTACAGTTTTTTTGTTCAACTTTATTGTATTTAATGTTTGTAAATTTTGTTAAATATATGTTATATTAAACTTAATTTTTACAATAATAATTTATTCCTGACTGTATGGCAGTGACAGGCATGTTTGAATATTTAATGGTAATGCTGCAGATTGACTCTGCAAATTTTACTACCAGGCTGTTTTTTATTTATTTATTTTTTATATACACATAGAAACCGCGGTTAAGCGCACATTCTTGGGACCGAAGAAATTGTCTGTTTGAGGCAAGGGTAAAATTATAACAAAGTTTAACACTGTAAATTGTTTTTTGAATATTTTCAAAGATGTATAGAAATAATTAAAGAATCTACAATTTACAAAGATATTTATTTAAATTTTTAAAAAAATTACGATAAGAAAGAATATATAAAAGAGTTTGATGTAAATACATAATTCTAGATTTAGCTACATATTACATAGAATTTAATTTTGCTATTAGCACTGATATTCAAATTAGACATATGATACCGAATAGGAGCTTTTAGTCCTCAGTTAGTTTCAATTCTTAGATTTACACCCCTAACAACTACCTATTCACTTGATAAGAAACGTGGTTTACCTTCTTGAAAGTAAACATCCCACGATTCACAGAAGAAAAAAGCAATGTATACCTGTAAGTCATGAGGACCCATGAAGTTTATTATTCACAATTGATCATCTATTAAGTGTCTGAATAAATATTTCATTTTTATAAACACCTCAAAGATTATACTTCTGTTCTCTTTTTTTACACTAGCAGTGTTAAATACAGTTTTCAAATTAATCCTAGAATTAAAGAAATTTTCAGTGGGGAAGAAGCAGCATTGAGAGCATTTACGATGTCATTTTAACTTGAGGGGTCGCATAACCTGTGTGCTCTAGATGAAAAGATCAAAAGATGCCCCTGTCCGAATTATTTCACAAATGCAGTATCATTTTCTCTTGTTTCTTTACAAAGATAAGGCAAGGTGACAAGAGTAAGATTGATTTTTTAGCAGAGAAATAGCTTAGCAAAATTTTTAGTTATTAATATTAAAATTTATATGCTTTAAAAATGGTGATAAGTTGCATTTTTTTCCTAAAATTTGAAGAAGAAATAGTTTTTTTCCCCTTCAAATTTAGAAAAAGTAGTGTCTGGATTGAAGAGATAGAAAATAACATTTCAGTGCAAAAATGACTGTCCGCATCCGGCTATGGGAGTATCCGCTTTGCGGAAAATTACATAATGGTTTATTCATAGAAGATTCCCAGGGACTTAAAAATATGTCCATATTGAGAGGTGTCCGTTTTGCAGGAGTGTCCCTAACTGGATGCTTCACTGTATTTAGTTTTCTGTTGTTTAATTTAAACATCAATTAAGTGCAATTTTTTAACATTTAAGCTAAACAAAAATATTCTTTCTTACAAGCTTTTAATGTTATTTTTGGGTTGCCAAACTTTAAAAGTATTATATATTATGAATTTTTTATTTTAATAACTGTTGAGTTATATAAGCAGAATTTTGCTGAAATAGTTTTTGAAAGCAGTTTTTTTCACTCATTGTTTTATTCCAACTGAGGTTGTACCATCAGCCAGCTCAGTTATATGGACTAATAAGAAAATTCTGATTATAAACAACTACATCTTTATATTATCAAAATGTTGTTCAAAAACTTGTATCTATTGAATTGGTGCTTTTATTTGCATTGAGAAATAATTTGCTATTTATAGGAATAACTATTATGGTGGGGATTGGGCTAGCTTCAGTTTTGATAAATTCCTAGACTGGATAAAAGAAACAGAGGTATGTCTCATTATTTATTGATAATTTAGCTCAAAATTGGATTTATATTTTTCTGTATAAATTAACAATATGTTTTTGACTTTTCAGGAAAATAATGAACACTCTGGAGAACTTAATAATACAGAGTCGTCTTTTATTCATTTATTAAAAGAAGAAGAAACTTTGGTTTTGTGTCCTTCTTTTTGCAAATCTATATTAAATTTGCATTCGCAATCACATATTAAGTATGATTATTTCTGCTGATTAATATTGATGTTCACAATATTTGTTAGTTATTCAATTAAATTTACGAAATATATATATTTTTAAAAATGTTTTAAATAATTATTAACATTAATTATTTTATGATTATAATTACTTAATATTATTTTGCTCATCATTGTTACAACAAGCTTGTTGCTTTAATAATAAATATTTCATTATTGTATTAGTCATAATACACAGTTGTCTCCATCTAACAACCTTGACAAAATATTTAGTTTAATTACCTCTGAATTTTTGCTAATTAACCTGATAAACAATGAGCTTGTATATTTATTTTAAGATTGTAAGATATATATTAGAATCTGAAGAATTTGATATATTTGGGTGAGGGAAAATGTGGAAAAGGAAAAACTTTTGCTGAAAATCCTGCTTTTTTATTTCTTTAAAGAAAGAACTTTTTTTTATTTCTCTAAAGAAACTGTTTTTAAAAAAAAGATCATAATTTTTTACTTAAACTTCTTTCCTTGAAAAAAAAAAAACATTATTTTTTTAACATAGCTGTGTTTTGTGGTCATTTATATTGATAAAACAATTTCAGATTAAACCCTTATTTGAAACTTTATGAAAATTTGTTTGCTGTAATTTTTGAATATTTTTTAACGATAATTATTATTTTGATTAAACTTTTGATCTAAAAATAAAAAGGTTTTTTTGCTAATGTGGTTATTGATAAACAGTTTTTATTTGTTCTTTAAAATGTTAGGAGTTATTTCAACTCTCTGAAATTGATTTATAAGTGTATTATTACTTGGATTATAATAATATTTTACCATATAATTTGATACTAATGATCATGACTTGATAGTAATGATGATGAATTTTATTTAGAGGGATGCATACGACTTAAATATTTTCATACTTTTGTGTAAGATTTTATTGATGTTTTTAGTCAACTGATGTTATTCACTCGTTTTCTTAACTAATAAATTGCACTTTTATAATTTTTTTTTGAATTGTTTCTTAATGTAATTAAAGAAAACTTATGGATTCTTTTCTTTAGAAATTAATTTTGAACTTTGGGAAAATTATTTTCAATTTATCGACTAAATTATTATGAAATTATTTAATTTTCATTAGAGACTCTGTTGAGGAAGTTGCATCATCTAATACTGCTTCTAATACTGAAACAAGTCCTGCTCTATCTGAAGATAGCACTACAGAAAATAGTCCGGTGACTGCACAAAATGATAATGTGGAAACTGAGTCAAGTAATGAAATTACAGGTGTATGTTGTTGCTATTTCACAATTCAATCTCTTCTTAATTATTTTCTCTTGTGTCAGGTATAATATTTACAATTTATCGTTTTTCAAACATAGGATTCAAAAATATGTACGAACTTTTTTCCACGATTTGCATGATTGTAAGTGAATTTTGTGTACTTATTACAAAAGTCAGTGTTTGCTATAATGCTTTATTAATTTGATATTGAATTTTAAATTTTATTTCTGTCTAATAGAGAGTTTCTTTTTTTTTTCTCTTTACAAGTATAATCTCCTTTTAAATTTGGGAAATGTTTGACCAAAAAATAAATATCTAGTTTTTGACTAAACTTTACATTTTGTTTTGTGAGACCATCTTGAACAAGTTCTTCTGGTGTATCTGAAAATCATGACATGCACTGCTATAGCATAGTAGCATTCCACACAGATCATAGATCCACATTTTTGGATCAATATGACCTCTTTCTGAAATGACCCAACTTCTTGCTCTTTAATATGCCTGTCAACATTATCTACTGGCCATAGGGGGCACTTTTCCAGACACAATTTAATATCTGAAACTTTTTTTATCAAGGTCTTGCAGGTCAGGGTGTAAAGTTAATGAATAATCTTGAATACTTTGAGTAGAGATAAATTTATTAACAAACATGAAGACATGTTCACTTAGTTCTTTTCTTTAATTTTTGTGACTTATACTCTTTATTTAACATATGTTACGGTAACTTGGAAGAGAATGTGTATAGTGCGCAAAATGAAATATTGGACAACTTTGAATGATTTTTGATTAGATCTTCACGTTTTAGGACTCTATCTTAGTGGTTCGAGGGGCTAACCACAAATATGCTAATTATTAGTGCTGATGATATTTTAAATTACGAAATCAGACACATACTTTCTCTGATTGAACATACCTTTTTTTGACGAATTCGGATTTCTGACAACCGAAACATCATCCTAATAGTTTGGTCAGGAGAGCAGTCCAAAGTTTGGACCCCTTAATGTTAATTTGTGTGTATTACGACAAATCTCAAGAACTTTTTTAAGTGACTGGACAGAAATTTTGCACACAATTATGAAATTAATTTATCTATAGATAATCTCATGCTAAAAACAACTATTAGTAAATATTGTAATATATGTAATTTTTTACATCATTTTAAAGAATGCAATTTTACATGGAAAATTACAAAGCTTTAGCAGAATTGGTCGAATAGTTCCTGAAAAATTAAATTTTAAAGAACTGTTATTTTTAAAATTCAATTTCTGTGGAACTCCCAAGCAATTTCTTTCAAAGGAAGTAAAATTTGTATGCCTTACAATTCAAAATTTTCAGTACAAATTTGCAGGCATTGAAGGTATTTATCTTTTGATACTAAAACTTATGTTCTTAACTTACAGATGTTCAACACAAAACAATAAATCAATGAAAATAATAATTAAAAATTATTTTTGGCTTGGACTTATCTTTGGATAAAGGAATTTTATAATTGTGTGCAAAAATTTTTCGATTAGCTCAAAGAAACTCTTGAGATATGGCGAAATACTCAGAAAGTAAAATGAACATTAATAGGTTAAAAACTTTGACCGCTCTCATTAAACTATAGTCATATTTCCCGGATTGCAATTACCTCCTCTATTTTGGGGATCAGAAATTCAAATCAGTCCATAGAAAAGTAAGTTTATTCAGATAACATATGTTTTTGTCTCTCATTTCGCAACTTAAAATATTGTCTGCACTATTTAACTAGCATTATTAAGATCACCTTTTTGAACTATTAAGATTGAGTCCTTTAACATGAAGGTCTGATATTATATCAAAAGTTATTCAGTGTGATCCATTTTTTTAAAATTTTGTGTGCTGTACATAGTGACATAATGTTAAATAAGTAGTATAGTAAAACCTCTGAAGAATGGCCCCTTTTGGAACTGTGCCTATGGGATAGCTATTAAGAGGTAGCTACTGTTTAGAGTTATAAACAAATTGGCCTGAAAATTTGCAAACAACATCCAATGGACCCTTGGGGGCTCAGAGGATAGACCGTTTGCCTTCCAATGAGATGAACTAAGTTTGAATGCCAGCTATGGCTGGTCGATGCGAATCCCGCACCCTGCTTGCACTGAGCACTGTGCTGACAGCAAATATCCTCCATGGTAGACGGATCATGGGTCAGAGTCCCCTTGCTGCCAAGCTAACCATGGGAGGAGTTCATGCATGTAATGCATATGCGGATTAGTTCCCTCAAAAAGTCCTCCACGAAGGCAAATTTCTCCCAATACTTGATCCAGGAGTTTTCTTGTCTTCTGAATTGGGTTCAAAATTACAAGGCTACAAAATTGAACATTAGTAGTTGTAAACCCAAAAATTGGGTCAGCTGTTTAACAATAGTTGTAAAATATAAAAAAACAAAACAACATCCAGCAACAAACATTAATAGTTAACTTACTTATCAGCAGTTAGCTTTAATTATCATTATTATAATCCATTATAATGATCATTTTTTTAAAAATGTCGTTAATTTACATTTTACCACTGACATATAATGAAGTTAACTCTCGGGGGCTGATTCCTTTTTTACTATTCTCAATAACTTTTTTTTTAATGTTCAAAATATGTGCTTGTAATAATCCCACATATTTTAATTTGTCATTTGCAAAAGTTTTTAATCCAAGCATTCACTCCTTCAATGTCTAGAGCTTAAAGAAAAAATGAAATTACTCAAGAAATACTGGTTAGACGCATGTTCACATTATTTCTTTCCCGAAAGTGCTGGCAATTTCTATGAACTGCTTAAATTGAAGGCTGACCAATGATTAATCAAGAATTACTGCTCAAGGTTGCTGTGATGTCTGCAGACCACCCATGAAAGATGCACCCTTATCTGTAGAAGCATAATTAAATTGTCAAAACTATGTTTGACTTCTGTATGAATGTTTATTTTATTTTATAACCGTTGTTGAAAAGCCGGAATATGAATGTTTATAATTTTCAAGAAAAAAATACTCCTTTTAATCTTGTGGACTGCTCTTGAAAGATGCAACTTATCTACAGTAGGTGTAATTGAACAGCCAAATCTATGATTGACTATTGTATTAATGCATAAAAATTGTTTACAAAGATTTGAATGTGATGACCGATGGGGAAAAATATGTTTAGCAATGATCAGTTAAAACTATTACAGACAAGAGATGAAAAATTGAAAAAAAAGTTGACTAAGATAACCCTGATACAAAATTTATTTTGACAAAGTGTGGCGTTTATTCAGAAATCACTGTTCAGAGGTTCTCAGTTATGTAAATCCTATGGAAGACGTTCAGTACCATAAACATATCGCCATTCTTCGAAGGTTACAGCTGTTTAGAGGAAGTTGTTAATGGAGATTTCACTATATTTTATTTAACATAGAAAAATTCAACAGTTTTACTGTACAGAAAGTTAAGGAAATTTTACTCAGTTAAGTGGAATAAATTAAGAGTTTTTCTAATTATTGATTTTTGATTATTTTCTGATTATTCAATATATTTTTTTACTTTGCTATTAGTAAGTTATTGAATGGATATCAGTGTTAATGTTACCATTGTTCATAGCTCCCAAGTTTCGATCTGAGCGTAATCACATTCGATAAGTAAATCACATTCTTCTTATTAATAAGTTGTTTCCGTTCCCAGAAGCAGAAAACCAAGCACCTAATCCTGAAAGTGTTCCTGTGGAGGACGCTTCTATGCTACCACAGATTCAAATCGCACACCAAGAATGGACTCTTGCTTCATTTATGGAAAATCGTAGAAAGTTTAATATTGATTTATCTCCTAAGGTAAAGTTATGCTTTTTTTTTTTACATCATGTATAAGTCTTGTTGTAGCATCAGCTTTTTTCAAATTATACATTCAACTACAATAGGTTGAGGAATTCACTTAGCTTTATCTTTTATTACATGTAATTCTGAAAAAAATATTAATGATTTGTATCTTCATTAATACTACTTTTAGTTAAATCTACTGATTTTATTTAAGTCAAATTATTTATTTAACTTTGCAAAGTTTTAATTTGTCTTAATTTAAAAGTATCATTTATACTATTTAAAAACTGTTTACATATGTTCCATTTAACTTATTCAATTGTTAGTTTTAAATTTATGAAAGCAAATTTGTTTTTATCAAAAGTGTTTTTACCAGAACTTGAAGTTCCCCTTTTTAACGAAATAAAAATTAAGCAACTTGAATGCTCAAATATCTTCCAAATTAACTTTTTAACCTATTTTTCAAATTATAACCTTCATCAATATTGGCATTTAGCTTCAGAGGCATTTAGTTCTATTAGGAAGCATTCAGGATTGACATTTAATTCTATTATAGCATATTATTCATTATTGTTTTGATAAATATTGTTCTGTTTATTTATGAGTATGGTAATACCAATAATAATTTTATTTTTATTTTATAGATAATGTTTTCTAGAGGGTCGCTTGTTGAATTGCTGATATCATCGAATATTGCTCGTTATGCAGAATTTCAGTGTATTAATAGAGTACTGACTTATATAAATGGCCATATAGAGCAAGTGAGTATAATAGCATATAATTTTGGAGTTGCTTAATTTTGTATTAAAATCTCTTAATTTATAAAAAACATTAAATATTGAATTCTTTAGTTTTTTTGGTCAAAATTTTTTTGTTGCATTTCTTATTTTCTGTAACTAATTTGATCTGTGAGCAAATAAATGTCCACAATTTTTTTTAATTTTAAATAATTTCATTTCTATAATAAGTGCACTGGTCAGTACTTCATGATCTAAGATATAATCATAGTGCTAACAATTTATATAATTAATTGTATGAACCATTTTCCAATTTTACTATTGCTGGAATTGTATAATAAGCGTGAAGATCAGCATAATTTTTTCTGCGATTGAACAAAAACATAACATATACTACATTGTTTTACTTGCTAAATTGGGTACTGGGCTTTGGATGATAAATAAATTATTGTTTTTATTCTTTACTAATCTATAAAGTCATATCTTGTAGACCTACATGTAATTACTGGCTTACAGAATCAAATTGGTCTAAAAAATAGCAATATTTTTATTTAAATAATGATGTTTATGTATAGATATCATATCATTTTGTAAATTTCATAATAGGTTCCTTGTTCTAGAGCAGATGTTTTCAGCACTAAAAATGTAAGTGTTGTTGAAAAAAGAATGCTGATGAAATTTTTGACTTTTTGCCTAAAATTTGAAGAACAAGAGGAAGAGTATAAAGGTAAAATTAATAAAATTTTTGAAATGTTTGCTGCATTCCTTTTCACTCTGAATCAGAGCATAGGGCTTCTGTCATGGCTTTCCATCTCACTCTATTATTGGCCAGATATTTTGAATCTATTCATGTCTTTCCTATTGTTTTCAATTAGTTTACAATCGTCCTGTGCCAAGTATTATTTGGTCTTCCTCTTTTCCTATTGCCCTGAGGGTTCCAATCAAAAATTTGTTGTACTTCAGGTTTACGTAGAACATGACCAATCCATTTCCATTTACGTTTTTTTAATTTCCAGATCAATTGGTTTCTGTTTTGCTTTTCTAAGGATTTCTGCACTACAAATTTTATGGAACCACTTGATAAACAAGATTCTTCTTAAACAGTTCTTAATGAATACTTGAAATTTTTTAATGTTATTTTTATTGCTGTGCCATGTCCCAGAGCCATATAGTAGGACATATGTAACTTTACTATTGAAAATTCTAGTTTTTGTTGAATTTGTTATGTTTCTGTTTTTCCAGAATTTATTGAGAATAGCATAACTTTTTCAGACTTTGTTTATAATTATATTTCCAAGATACATAATGAACAGGCAAAATCTTTGTAAAATAGTTATTGTGTTAATATAAAAAAAATTAAATTTTACTTAATAGTTTTTTTTAAACTAGAAAGTTCCAGGGCTGATTATGCTTCGGAAAAAATCCGGATTTTTCGCTAACAGTGATCCGGAAGTTTTTGGAGATCGAAGGTCTAGACGTTTCAAAAAATCATTAATCACAGAAGTTTCCGGAAATCAAATTTTCAAAGGTGGAACTTAAAAACACAGTTTATTTTATTTGTTTGTAAGGGAGAGCCAGAGAGATACTTTATAAGCTTATATTCATGATTAATATTCATTTTTTATCAGTAAATAGTTGTTATAATCATAAACTCAAGAAAGAAAGACATATTTGTAAATTTTAATTACTTCTCCAGGTCATCATAGGTATGTGTAAATGGTATAGGTATGTTTAAAATTTTAAATATATTTTAAGTAAACTAAGAAATATTGAAAAAAAGGAAAAAAAAAAACCTTGTTTAAATTTTTTTTCTGATTATTCAATTTAAACTGGTTTTTTTTAAAAAAAAAAAACTCTAGAAATTTTTCCGGAATTTTGACTTGGGCTCACAATCTTCCCTGAAGTTCTTATTATTGCAAAAAGTTGATACTTTTCAGGGTGATAAATTTATGAAATATGATTTATGTTCGGTTGCTAATTATTTTTACGATTTGCATTGTGTGTTTGGATTTGCTAAATCTTGGCATGCTAATCCACATTGTTTCGCTAACTATGTCTTATTTGATAAAAATATTACTTCTAGATTGCAGTAAACTGCTGCTTAAGACTGTTATATCATGAGGCTTAAAATGTAAACAAATTTTTCTGCATTTATATTTTATGTTAGAAATAGATTATGAAGAAATTCTATAATTTTACTCACAAACCTCTATGATTACTTAATAATAGTGTTTGTTACTTCAAATAGATTTTTTACATCAAAATTAAAAATTATTCAAATAAAAAGTTTTTTGTTGTTGTGGTGTATTTATACAAATTTAGTTTCTGTTTTTATTAAGATAAAAATTTTAACATAATAGGGGTAGAGCCCTTTCCACTTGCATAATGTTGTTGTTCATAACATGTTTGGTAAGTTCATAACTGTGATAATTTTGTTTACCAAAAAGGCTTTATATAGAGAATGCAGCTCACATGATTTTGTGTGTGGAGTATTTGTGAACTACCTAATCATTTAGTAAAAATAATTAAAAAAATATTTTAAAACAAATGTTGTTCTGTTGCAAAATCAGTGAATTTAACTTTGGTCAAAAATTTCATTTTTCATATTATTTTAAGGTCATACCTTTAATCTATTGTATAATACCATCTCTACAAAATGTGATAATTACTATCTAGTACAAAGTAAGATCACATGATAAAATAATAAAAATATCTACGAATCGCATTTAATTTTCATTGATAAGCTAAATTTGAAATGAAAGAAAAAAAACTTAAAACGATATATTGGCAAGTACAGATCCATACATTTAAAGGAATATTAATTGATTATATCTTTTTTTAATACATTTTATTACAGTACAGAACCCGTTATCCGGAATTCAGAAAACCAAAAAACCGGAACGAAATTCGATAAATTTTCCCGCCATATTTAAAAAAACAAATTTTCCTCATGACATTTTGGGATTTTTCTTTCTTTTTTGAAAGATGTTTACCTTACAATCATTTTGGAAATAATCATTAGTGTATTACTTCATCGTTTTTTCTTCTTTTTAAGATTATTACCTAATAATTTTTTTTAGTTGGGTTTAACAATAAAAAAAAAACGGCTTTTTGCAGCGATTCAGAAAACCGGAAAAATCAGTTATCCGGAATAGCGATGGTCCCGATCGTTCCGGATAATCGGTTCCCTACTGTAGCTCCAAGCTAATGTCAGTTGTTACATATCTGTAGTTGTATTGTTGAGTGAAGATCACATCATGTGATTTGCTTGTCCAATAAGAATATTGGAACTTGTGGTTATTTTATTAGATTTTTATATATGATAAATAAAATTTCCCTTATAAAACTTGTTTTTATGCAATTAGTTTTATTATCTGAAACAGCATTTTCCATATTTCGTGGACATCATTCTTTGAGGGGAAAAAAATAACTCTTTTTAGCACCTAAACTTTTTTAATATATAAAGTCTTTATGTATTATATTTAAAAGCTAATAAGTTTTTCATGATTATATTGAAGTCACATATTCTTCTACATTTCAAAAATATTTTAAATCTTGAGAATATTGAAAATGAACATTTTTGTAGGGTTTGAAGATAAGCTGTTTGTTGACTTTCTTAGATCAAAAAAACTGACTTCAAATGTGGAGCATTACATTATACATGCCATTGCAATGGTTTCAGAAACTTGTAATACCATTCAGGTAAAATATTATTGTTTATAATACTATCAAAAATATATTGTATTGTTTAAAATCTTTTATTATGTTGATTAGCATATTATTAAATGTCAAATTTTTATGTAGCTTTTTTTTTTTAATTTTGTCATTTAAAAATTTTTTATAGCATTTGATACATTTAACAATGCTTAAAGTGGTAATTATTTTGTTAACAATTTTATAATTCATTCATAATTATTACATATTTCATTTCTTATTAAGTATTTCATTTTGATTTTTAATTTTATTAATTATTATTTATTTCCTTACATCAAAAGTTGAAAGTATAAAATATGACAAAAAAATGTTACATGCTTTTAGAAATACAGCAACAAAATTTTAATAATCAAATCATGATTATAGTAATACTCAAAACTGGAGGGAAAAAAATCAGATACTTATCTAGTTTTCCATTTATTGAAGACTCTATTTTAGAAATTTAGTTGATTTTTTGCTTTTATTTATTAATATATTTATTTTCTTGGCAGTTCAGTTATATTTAAACTTTTTAATAATTTAACTTGCATTTTTTGTCAGTAGAAAAAAAAAACTCTTTATCTAATGCTGTAGTGTTGGAAAATGATGTATAAAGGAGAAACATCCTTACAAATTGCTTGTAATGGCATCTGTGTTCTGAAATTGTGTTTCCTAGATTAAAAATTACCATTTTAAAGTTTAATAAACTTTGTCCTATTCTAGGGTCTTAAAGCTACGCAAAAGTTTTTGCAGTCCCTGGGAAGGTATGGAAACAGTCCTTTTTTGTGTACTTGCTATGGAAGTGCTGAATTACCTCAATGCTTTTGTAGGTGAGGCAATTTTACGCTTAATATTTTTCTCTGTATTCTTTCTTCAATTTCATAATATTACATATTTCACTGTTGCTGAAGTTTCGATGAGTAATTGTTTAAATGAAATTTGTTTTTAAGTTTGAGAGATTGTGGGGAAGGATAAAAACTGGCGCATTCTTAAACACTCCGTAAAAAATTCAAATCAAAAGTGATTTTTAAACAGCCATCACTCTCAATAGAGGAACATTATTAGCTGTTTATCAAAATAGGCTTTATCAAAAATTAAGCCAAACATAAGATAAAGGATTGTCAATTCTGAAATAATTTGGCGAAAGGTAAAGGTTGCAAATTTGTGACAAATATTTAACAGACTTGATTTTTTATTCTAATACTGCAAACCCTTGTTGATAAAAAATATGTTTACAACATTTGATTTTCGTTCTTGTGTGTTTACATGTGGAAAAAAAGTTTATGATTATTTTTATTAAGAAAATAATTAGAAAATAACATGTAAGTTTAAGGATTAAATGAAATTATGAAAGCTAGGAATTATTTGATACTTATTTTGGTATGACAATGATAAATAGAATATTTAATAAACAATAGAAATCTGCATAAATGGAACCTAACTTCAAATTTTGTTGCTTTTTTTCACAAATAATTTTATCAAAATGAATGGTGATTTTGTCTAAAGCTTCAAGCTTTTCTGTTCAGCCAATTTTTATATAGGTATATATAGTGTTGGTACAAAAATAATAGAAATATGATGACTTTTAGCATTTTAAATACTGACTAAAGTACTGATGTTTTTAATACATGAGTTGTATTGAGAATAAAGAGACATCGGAATTCAAAGGTATATTTCTATGCAATATTTTATTAAAGCAACCCATGTTTTGGTGTAGTTTATAAAACATATGATTCATACAACATCAATTTGCATTAAGCAGGTTACCTCACTGTTGCTGTGTTAAACTATTTAAAATTAATCTAATTGACTTGATTAAAGTGAATTTGAGTTAAGTCAAGTGAGTTTAATTTTTTTAGTCAAAATTTATATAAATATTGGTAAAATTAAGTTGTATTAAAAAATATACTTGAATATTCTTAGTTATTACAATGGTTTCTGTTGAAATAGAGGTAATCATAGTTTTTATAAATGCAAGCAGATGTATAAAAGTTAATTTATTTATTAAATTATGTTTGTTTACAGATTATGTGCTGTTTATGAAGGTATGTATTACCTCAAAAGAAAACCAGAAGCCATTATTTTAAAGAATAACCGGTGCTGTGGAACAGTTTCTATGGGACAAAGAATAGATTGTCAGTAAGTGACAATTCATTTAGAAATTTTATCAATTATTTTCTTTTTTTTTCATCATAAGGAATTTATGCAGAAAGTTTCTTAAAATGTACATATAATAAATTAAAATAAAACTTGTTCTTTATTTTAAATTGAATATAATATTTTCATGGTCTTAAGTACTGGGTATTCCCCATTTCTATAATTCTCTTGAAACTATTGAGGTCTAATTAATAGTAGTTGTAGATATTATTCTCTACCTTGAATTTCACACTTATCTTCTTGGATGTGCTACTCATTTATCAGTACTACAGGAAGAAATCAAGAAATGTTTTTGTGGTGTATAAGGTACCCAGATTGAGAATTAAGACTCCCTGATTTGTAAGAGTCACATCTTTTTATATTTTCTTTAATATATTCTATTCAAACATATCTTTTCAAGCAATGTAGTATCTATTAAGTATTTAAGCATTTAACTGATTACTTTTATTGAATTTTCTTTAATAAACTTTTCTTACCTTGTGTTGCTTCTGAGAATCACTCATTTTGTGGATTTTCCTGAGTTTCTTTTTTTTTAAAGATTATTTTGCTGTTATTTAACATAACAATACTGCTTTTCTGCTAACTGCAATTTTTATATCATTCACTAATATTTCCCCCTTTTTTTCATTCTTTCTGTAAGAGAGAGATTGTCATTTAAATGCTAGTTAACTGTGCTAGCAGAAAAATTTTGAGGTTTGGTAATTTCCTTATTATTATTTATGTGAAAAAGAAAGAAATTTAAAAAAAATTTCGAATTGAAAATAAAATTCCTTTTTATATGTATCAAATATAATGGAAATTAAAGGGAAAATGCTTAAAAGCTTCTTTTGTCCAAACAAAGTGAAAAAAAAAACATATGTATATTTTTATCCATTTAAAAAGAATCTTAAATTAGCAAGTTATCACAAACTTAACATAATCACTGATTGATCTCCCAGTAAAATTTTAAATAACTTTCTAGACTTTACCATGTTTTATCTAATAATGTTTTATGTGAATAGAAATTTTTTTTTTTTTCAAAATAGGAAAATCCGATACAGAAAATTATTTTAGACTAAGTAGTAGGAACTAAATACAAATAATATAAATTTATTGTTTCTGTATAATTTTTATCTTTATATTTTGGCAAAGTTAATATAGAGACTGTAAAATTATATCATATCCTTTATGTTTTCACATAACTAACAAGCTCTCAACAGTAGTGTCAAGTTTTGTAGATTGAAGAAGTTGATGATTACTATTAGTTTGATGTAGGTAGTATTAGTAGAATATTTATCCTGAAAATGATGATTAATACCAGTTGAAGAATCATGGTTTTTTGTGGGAAACAGTGCTTCAAAAAATATGTTGATGAATCACTTTAAGAAATTATTATTACCCATTTGTCTAATTATTCTGTCTAATCAAATTGTGAAGATAAACAAATATAGTGAAGAATCAAATTATGATAAATCATAATAATTAAAAAAACGTTTTATTTTAGAAATATATGTAGCTCCAAAATAAAAAGGATTCATCATATTTACTATACATATGATTTATTAAATATAAAAAAATTTTGAAAATGGTCTGGATGGAGGGGCTGCTAAGCTAAACCTCACAAGACACTTCTATCTAGCAAGGTATCAAAAATGTGAGGGCCATGCGTGTGTTAACATAGTTTTTGCTAAGGAAAGTTTGGGAATCCATGTATTGGTTATTAATTGGTTTAATTTATTGTGAATGCTCTTTTTCTTGCCTTAAACAGTCAAATGTGTTAGGGGAAAAGAAAGTGAGAAATAATAACAAATTTTAATGAATTCAAAACATTAGCAACCATAAAACGGTTTTTCAAATTCTTTGCTAATATGTTAGGCAAATGTAGAGGGAATCTCTAAATATAGATTTTATTCTGCACTCATTTCAAGGTTGTGATATAAAAAAGATTACAGATTATATTAATGATTTTTATTTAATGAAAAAGGATTAAACAAGATATTTTGGTTTTTAAATATTAGGAAATATGTTATTTCAGCATGACAAATTCATATTTTTCAGATATCTTATTATGGAATCAAGTTATGCTGCGCAACAGTTCTATTCCACTGATTCATTGCAAAGGTATTTAATTTTACCTGTTATAAATATTGTTTTATTTATAGAATGTGAAATTTTATGATTCGTGTGATGTTCTTTGCATTAAATGTTTTAAAATTGTGGCTTGTATGTTGCTCTAGAATGATACATTGTTTTATTTATTTAAGCCTCTTTCTTTCAGCCTTTCTAGGGCTGTTCTTATAACAGATTCTTCTCTCTGTCCTTCAGAGAAAAAAGAAGTATGTATCAGTTCTATCGATTTAAAAAATATTTTTATTTAAACATCACTTTAAGCATTACCATATATAAGCATGAATATTTAAAAAAAATTGAAATATTATTTCTTTTCTTTTTGTTTTTCAAGACTTATTATAAATAGGCGTTTGTAACCTGCTCACTGGATGCATCTAATTTGAGTCTAATGTTGTATGTGTGATACTCTTTTAAAAATGTAGTTTGAAAAGAAGAGGAAAATATATGCTTCCTGTGAAAAGTTTCATTTATATGTATGTGGGTACTATTACATTTCTTGAAACAATTACCACTGTTTCTATATTAGTATATCTGCTATCACAATGCATATAGTACCTATTACCGTTTCTGGTGTAAATGATAATTTGTTAATTTCTTTACTGCAAATGGATATCTTTATTGATCCTGAAATGGAATACTGCCTAGATTTCTCTTGTATGTATCAAAACCAAAGATAAGTTTAGAAAATGGAGAGAAAAAATTTAAAACAAAAATATTGAATAGAATTTAAATGAGTTATTTTGAAAATTTACATACACAATTATAAGTTTTAAAGCAGTTTGAAGATACAACAGGAATTAAATTAAATTTAATTATGAACTAATGGATATAACCCCAGAAAGACGCATGCTTAAATATTCATTTGTGTTAATTGAAAAGACATGGCAATAATAATAATATAAAAATTATATAACAGAGTTATAATTTTTTATACAAACTTTTTAATCTTTATTTTTTTATTAAATAGGTTTCTAATAAGATATGCTTTTTTTTTGTCATGGGAAGGGTATAAGGACTAAGGAATTTAATATATTGAATCAAAACTCAACACTTCCCATTATTAGTAATGTAGTTTTCATTAAATCAAATCTTTATTATTTATTTTTCTTATTAGAATACATTGTTGAGATTTCCACCCAGAGATGACATGAAGAACCCTGTTACAATTTTGGAGCTCAGTTCAAAGAACTATGTCTGTCCAGAAGATTTATGTATGTATAAATAATTATAGTGTTTTTGTTATGATCGGGGGTGATTGTGCTACGGAAAAATCCGGATTTCCGGAATTTTCGCTAGCAGTGATCCGGAAGTTTCCGGAAATCGAAGGTCCAAACGTTTAGAAAAATCATTGATCACAGAAGTTTCCGGAAATCAAATTTTCAAAGGTGGAACTTAAAAACACAGTTTATTTTATGGGTTTGTAAGGAAGAGCCAGAGAGATACTTTATAAGCTTATATGTATGATTAATATTAATTTTTTATCAGTAAATAGTTGTTATAATCATAAACTCAAGAAAGAAAGACATATTTGTAAATTTTAATTACTTCTCCAGGTCATCATAGGTCTATGTAAATGGTATAGGTATGTGTAAAATTTTAAATATATTTTAAGTAAACTAAGAAATATTGAGAAAAAGGAGAAAAGGAAATTTTCCAGTATTTTGACATGGGCTCACAATCACCCCTGTATGATTATAGTGTATAATTATAGTGTTTTGTTAAATATGAGATTTTTTTTCTGATGTAAATTATTAAAAAAACTGTTTTGCAAAAAAAAAAAAGTTACAATATTTATATTATTTGGAGTAATGTTTTAATTAGTCAAATATTTACTCAAAGTTATAAATGCATTTCTAAAAAATTAAGTAGAGCATTGTATTTTTTTTAACTAATATTGTTGTTCCATTTGTTATTTTATTTTAAAGTAAATATTCCATTGCCTTACATCATTTCACGCTTCTGTGGCAGATAGGGCAATGAGCTTCTTGTAACAGTCTTATCAATCTGAACCTGCTTCTTAAATCGGTCATTAAGTAGCTCACCTGAAAGTGTCTGTCTTGTAAAATCATACCATGAAAGGAAATTTTTGGTTTTCCTTTTATTCTCGTGGTAAAGTGGGTGCTGTTTGCATGAGACCAGGTGGCATCTTTGCAAGACATGATTCAAATGTCTTTTTTTTTCTCCACATCTTTGTTTAAGGGACAGCCATGCTATTTTTGTTGTTTTTAATTATTATTATTTTTTTTTTGGTCCAATATAATTGGAGAATTTTTGGAATGCTTCAATTTTGTCACATACACACTTCAATTTTGTCACAATTTTGCTCACATGCAAACAAAAATAGTAATGATTTTGCTGAAATTTGAATTTTCTGGTTGTTTTGAAAGTTTATAAATCTAAAGACTTTTGTAGCATTTAATAGTGAATAAGGCTTGTGTATATTGCTAAAATATTATTGTATAAACGATTGTTTTTGCATATAATTTACTTATATTTTGTTTTTATTATTAGTGAAAATACATTGCAGTGTTTTTGTGAAGGAGATATTTCTGAAGAATTTAATAATAACACTATTGTAAACTCGAAGCATAATATTATTGTCTACAATGCACAATAATATTGTAGATATCATTTATTGATAAAACTATTTGAATTATAAATGATTTAAACTTAATGAAAAAACCGAAAAGCTCTTCGTATTTTGTTTAAATAACATATTCATACTAATTTTTTTTTTAAAGTTTCGAAAAAAATCAGTAGCTTATCAGTTATGTACTTATTATTGGTATATATTGTAATACCTTAGCTATTTTGAAAGATATTATAACCATTCACAAAACCTTAAAGTTGCCACTTTACCTCTTCTTCCTCTATATTCTTTATTCTCTTTGGTATAATAATTTGTTGTTTGTAAAATTTTTAAGAATTTTCCCTCATAACAAACATGCTTCATAAATATTAATATATTTGTATTCGTCTAAAGATTATGGAAGGTATGCTTAACTATATGCCTGGATTAAACAATTTTTGATTTTAAAACATCAAAAAAAAATTTTTTTGTAATGTAAATCTCTAAAATTAATATTATAAATATGTGATGGCACTATGGTTAAGACATAAAGCTATTAATATGATTGGCCAGAATTTGAACTTTGGTGGTGGCTTGAAGTTCACCCAGATGAAAAGACTCAATGCTGACCACATTGCTATACATAATATTGTGAAGCCTTAATGCAAACCTTGATACAATAATTTGTTGCAGAAGTGCTTTGTGCTTTACATTAAATATTTATATTTATTAACATTTCTTGTGGCAGCTTTTTTAGATTATAGATAATATCAAAGCTGCATAGTATTCTCAGGCTTGGTGCCTACCAGGGAGGATAGTTTTTTTCTTTATTATGCATTGGTCGAACTTCATTCAATATCCTTTAAAATTAAAATTTTATTCATTTCAGATATTGTATACATGTATTGTCGATCATCAAGCCAAACAGCTGAGGAAGATTTGGAACCTATTATCAATTTATTATTCAAAAAGGAAAACAGTGGAGGTAATCATGATTATATTGATGTTTTTAACTATGAAAATGACCATAATGTCACATTAGTTTCCCTATATGTAGAAAACTATTTAGTTGAATCTATTTTTAAAAACTATTTAAAATTCATACAAATGTATTTTAAGATGTAAAGAGAATAAAATAAATCTAGAATAAAATAACTGTTTCAAATTTTTAAAAAAAAGCAGTAGTTAAAAAAATATTTAGTCTAACACAGTTTAATTTAGTATCGGCCTCACTTGGATGTTCCGTAGACAGAAACACTACTAGGACATATGTGTCCTGTTTAAAGAGAGGACATATGTCCAAGCCCCTCCCCCCAATCACCCATAAAGTTAATTTTTTATTTTATTTTGACAGAATATTGTTATTTTTAACTTATTTGATCTATTAAATTCGTAATTTGTCTTTTTATCAGAAAAGAAAAAATAGGTCCTGAGAAGTTTAATTTTCTTTAAATTTTGAACAAGCTTTATTCTTTCTCCCTATTTGTTATTATTGTTTATTTAGTTTTAAAAAATTAATTTAGCAAAATTATAAATTTATTTTAGTATCGAAATAGTATTGTAATATTTATTTTTGAAACTTACAATGATTTTTTGCTGTACAAACTTATGATGAGAGTAGTTTTTTTATGTATTGGGAATGTTAAATCATGCAGTGTAATTTTAGACAAAGCCAAATGATACCATATTAAGAAATTGATCATGATTAAAATGGTCCGTTGCTTTATAAATTAAATATTATTAGTGTATTTTCTTAATAATGCCTCCTATTAGTTAAAGATAAATAACTTAAGTTATAAAATAAAATCAATTTTTAAAATATTAGTTCTATCTTTTGTAATCAGATTATATTTTATACCTTTATTTGTTAGATTCTCAAGAAAGCAAGCCTAATTTATTGTGGAGTGTTTTCTTCAATCAACGGGATACGTCAACCATAAATCTGAATTCTCACACACCTGAAGGTGTTTTTCTGACGTCCTCCCCAGACATAGAACTGGATTATGAACATGCTGTTAAAGAGGTGAGTAGCTGACAAACCATAATAAGCTAAATTCAATTTCTTTGGAGGGATGTTACTTTATTTAAATTATTGCTTTTCCCAACTGCAGATACTTATATAAATACCCTTGATATAATTGTATGCTAACTATTAAAACTCAAAAGATTACACTATTATTCATGTAGCTAAGATAAATAATATAGCTAGTGTATTTTTGTAACAGATTCTTTAAGATATTGATTGCATCTGTCTCATTAGAAGAAAGTTTATGGAAACAAGCAAATTTCAACATGTTTGCTTGTTAAAGGAGAATTTTAAACTTTTTCAATAAAGAATTAAATTTTCACTGAGACTTGACACTTTTCTTGCTGACAACTTCAAAAAGCAATTTTCATATGATACGAAAATATCCTTGATGAAATTAAGTTATGTTCATAACAGAACTTAAACAGTATGAAACAGTTTTTTTTAAATATTTCTTGTGTATCTGCTATTGGGTCATAATTTTCTTTCCCTCTTAGATCAATGAACAGGGGATATTCCTCTCTCATTCTTTTAAATACATATCTAATACCCAGTTGATTATAGAACTTCTGTTCAAGTGGCTATAATCAATCACAATTTGCTTAAATATCTGGAAAAAAATTTAATTTCTGTTAAAAAGATTTATGTAATTTTAACTTCTAAATCCTTAATTCAGGGTTCAAACGGAGATCAGAAGAAGAAATCCAAGGAGTTCAAAATTTTACTCCGAAACTTATCAAAAATTTAAAAACTTTGTTTAAAAGATAACTAGACAGTCTTTTTTTAAAATTAAAAAGCAGTTATTATAAGAACTTGTAAAAATGTATATTTTGTATAAGATATTTTTTTTAGCCTTTTTGAAATAGATTTCGACTTTGTCAAACTTAATCAAGAAAAATAAATAAAGTTATCACTTTCACACATAAATACATTTTCCAGTTTCAAATATTCTAATAAACCTTGTTAAAGTACATAGTACAGATGTTAAAGATTAACATAAAAACCTACCAATCTTATATTTTTAAATTTGAATACATAAGAAAATCTAAGGCAATTCATAAAAAAAAAAAAATCACAGTAAATCATTAAGTAAGTTTGCTTGTAACATGTTAAATTAAAATTATTTGCTGTTTTTTTTTTTTGTTCTAACTGTTGCAATTAAATTTTTTTTCTTTTGAAGTTTTTCTTAAACTATTAGATTTTGACAGCTAAGTTATATCGTTTCGTTTCCCTGCATGGGCAGCAAATTCATCAGCAGACTTAGTAAGTTCATCTATGCAACACAATGATCTAAGGAGTTTCTAAGGACTAATTGGAAATCTAAGTAGTTCCAAGTACTCCTTGGAGATCTTTTTATTTCCAAGGAGTCTGTACGAACCTGTTGTATACTAACTATTAAAAGTTAAAAGATTATTCGATTATTATTTTATTTAGATGTAGCTAAGGTAAATAATATAGCTAGTATATTTTCGTAACAGATTCTTTAAGAAATTGATTGTATCCGTCTCATTAGAAGAATGTTACTGGGAACAAAAAGAAAAAACAGCAAAGTTTAACATGTTTGCTTGTTAAAGGAGAATTTTAATCATTTTCATTAAAGAATAGAATTTTCACTGAGACTTGACACTTTTTTTGCAGACAACTTCAAAAAGCAATTTTCAAGAAGAATATGAAAATATACTTGATAACACCAATGAACAGGGAGAAAAAAAAGGGGGAAATTCATCACTTTTTCTTTTATATATATATCTAATACCTGGATGCTTATTGAACTTGAAGTTCTTCTGTTCAAGTGGTTATAATCAATCACAATCTGCTTAAATATCTAAAAAACATTAAATTCTTGTTAAAAAGATANGAGTGGTTATAATCAATCACAATTTGTTTAAATATCTGAAAAAAATTAAATTTCTGTTAAAAAATGTTTATGTAATTTTAACTGCTAAATCCTTTACTCTATAACTGTGTTCTTACATCTGAAATCTAGTTAAATTAGGGTTAGCAATAAATGAGCTTGACAGTTTATAAAATAAAATTATAAAAATTCTTGTTAGACTAAAAAATTTGAATGCAGTCACTATATAACTTTTTATAATGATTTTCATTTTAATGTATCCTGCACATACATGATACGCTGATGAATCTTCTTCTAGGCTCAAACCATTTTTGAAACTATGTATCCAGGAGAAGAGTTTTTACCAAGGGCTCCTGATCCTGAGGATATTCTAATTGAGAGTCATAATAATCCTGGTGATGAGGAGAATGTTGGGAAGATTGAAAACGATGTCAGCGAAAGTGAAGAAAATAAAGAAAACCACGAGGAAGGTGATGAAAACAAAGAAAATGATGATTGCGCAGAGAATAAAGAGAATGATTATAGTGCACAAAGTGAAAATCAGTTGAACCGTGAAACTGGTGAACATAATAACTAGATTTTTTATAAGTTCTATATACTATTTAAGAATGCGGTGTGATCTTTCTAATATTCATACATGCTTTACTTGCATATGTGGGCCTTAATGATGCAATAGTAGAAAATATGCTTTAAATGATGAAGAAAAAAATAAGATTTCAGTATGTGTAAATAACTTCATGCAATATTGTACTATCTTTGAAATTAATTAGAATGTATTGAAAAATAATTTTGTAAAAATTAAAGTTAACGTAATTTTAGTTAAATGTTTTGAACCATTTCTGCCATGACATTTACTGTAAGTGCAACTTATATGTATAGTCTTTTTGTTTTTAATATTCTTATAAAATTTTATTTATTTTAATGTAAGAGCATGGTTTTTTTTATTTGAAATGTATTGAAAACTATTATTCTTTTTCTCATTATGGCAGAAAAAGTGGTGATGTATCTAATTTATTTAAATTTTTTCATAATGCAATCTTTGCATTATAAGCTTGTGCATATTGTATATTTTTTTACATGATCAAATTTTTGTAATTTGCATTGATTTTTATTTAATTCATAATAATTATTTATTTAAATTTTTTAATCGTATAAATGTTCTATTTTTTTGTATAATAATAAAGTATAAAATATGACATATCTTGAAAACTTTTTAATAAAAATGCTTTAAATCAATATCATTCAAAAAAAAATATTCCATTAACACCTTATTTTAAATAATATTAATTCGTGTTGTATATTTTATTTTACCATGCATATCTTTTGTGATTTTTTATATATTTCTTATTTAAAATTGTAAGATTTTATTTTTAAAACTAAATATATTTATTTATTGGGGCAATCGAAAGACAAATTAACTGCTTAAGCTTTTTTTCTTCTATTAAATAAAATTTATGTATCTAATAAATATTTTTTTCTAATTTATAGGGGTAATCAAATGACTTCTCGATCCATTCCATTTTTTGTGTTTTGACATTAGTTAAATTAGGATTTCATAAATACATCTTTTAGATAAGCTAATGAGTAATAATATTATTTTAAACTAACTTAATACTGTAAATATCTCTTTTTTTTAAAAAATTTTCACACAATATTGATAATATAAATTAGTACAAAAAATCAAGTTTTGTTATTAGATAAATAAGGAAAACAAAATCTGATATTTTATAAGTACTTACATTTTGGTGTGATTTATTACAATAATAAACTTGCTTCTTCTTATTTGCTATTTTAACCCCACTCAATTTGACTTTATTTTTAGTATTTTCATTTAATGTGACATTGGTGGAATATTAGAAGAAAAGGGGGGCATTCAAATATTATGTAAACATTCTTGTGACCATTTGAGACTCCTCCTCCCCCATTGTTAGCAAATGTGAACAATTGGGTGCGTTTGTAATATTTGAACAATCCCAATGCACCTAAATCTAAAATCAAATAAGTTTTCGATTACAATTTTTTTTTGCTATTTAACTATTATCTTTGTAAAATAAATGAGTATCTTTTAAAACAAAAGTTAATATTAGATAATAATATTTTGTTTAAACAGACTGAAATTATTAACTTCTTATTAAGTATTCATTGTATTAATTATTCATTTTAACATAAATTGTCGTGCAGGAAAGTGGGTATAAGTAGTTCTGAAAGGACTTGCGTCGCAGTTGTGAGCACTTTCTGCTTTAATGCATCACTTCTCACGCAGTATTGGTAATTATAATTTACATAATTCCCCTTTACATTCGTTTAAAAAGCGTTTCAAGAAGCGATGAGGGAATTAATAAATGAATTAATTATAATTTTCTTTCTATTAACTTTTACTTACTTACTCTTTTTATGTTATATCCACTTGAGAGATTAAATTTTTAGTTATAAGTTTTCAAATTATTTCTAGTTTAATTTTTCCTCCGAAATTACAGTGTATACAGAATTATAAACATTTTTTTCATTAAATCTTAAGTACACATGACAGTGATTTTCTTTAGCTTGCAATTTATTTTTCAACTTTAAAAAGAGCAGTTCAGTCAGTGTCTTGCCCAAGATAGCCATGCATTATTCTATTTTTAAATAATGTTAAATAAGTAATATTTTGGGTTTAAGTATCAGGTTATGAATTATTGTTTGTGTGTTTACTATATAGTGACCTAATGTTATAGTGTCCATTTTAATTTGTATTGTATTGAGCATGACTGTAGTCACATTTAAAAGGTGGACTAAAAGAAAACAACTGAGTTATATTTAAATGAAAGGAGAGGGGTATTTACAAAAGCAACCTTTATTATTATTCTCCAACATTTTGATTAACTTTTTCTTCTTAATTCATATAGTTAACTTTTTATAATATTCATATACTTAACTTTTAATCAGGCTCGGACCAGTTTTGGTTTGGGAAAAAATTATTTCCGGTTTTATAAAAAGGTTGCTATAAAAATTCATTTCTTGCCTTGCATTCATCTATTACGGGATTTGATTTTAAAGATTATTTAATGTATTAGAAAAATCAAAACTTTGAGTTTCAAAAAATTTAATAACATTCTTTATGCACTTTATTTCCATTAATTAGAATATTATATTAGAACGAAAATATATTTTCAAGTCTTTTAGAACGTTAGAAAAATAGACAAGTTTAATGTTTTTCTCTTTCTTAAATTACATTATTTTTTAGTTTAAAAAACAAGTGCATAAAAATAAACATAATTATTGGTTTAATATTAAAACAAGTTTTCCTCCCGAGAACCTGTTAAAGGACAGGTTTTAAATGTGATACAGAACAGTGAATATTCTACTAAAGAGGCTACAATGAATGTTTCTCAATATGTGATTTAATATAATTGCATTCAATTTGACTTTATAATTGTTAGTGCTACCTTTATTGCTACCTTTATAGTGATACTTAACAATTGTAAATTTGTATATTTTTGTATTCATTAATAAAAATAAATTTTGTTTCTTGAATCGGAATCTATTCTAAATAATACAGAATAATCTTTGAAAGCTGAATGTTTGGTCTAGCTTTTACAGGTAAATGGTAGGAGCTTGTTCATGTAAGGTGTGTCCAAAAAGTTCAGTGACTGGATGGATATCTCAAAAATAAAAGTGTTAAAAATGCGATCATGTGCATGGAGAGACAGCAAAAGTTGCAAGAAACTAAAGTTATCGAACAAATTAGTCTATGAATCAGTCTGATGAGGTCCGGTGGCAATCCATCGCAAAGTTCAAATACTTGTTTCTCCAAGCTTGTAATTGTCGAGGACACAATAGCAAAGTTAGACTTGATAAATGATAAGTTTCCTTTGATTTTATCAGAGGCCAACACGTTTTGCGTTATCTTAATTGATGCAGCATCTTCTAAATCAAGACAAATTACAAAACGAATCTTAAATTTCGTGTAATAAAAATGCCCCAAAAAATAATAAAAATTGGAAAAAATTAACAAAAAACTTAAATGCTTTAAAATGCAAAAAATGCCCTATAAATCTAAAAAAATGCTCTAAAGGAAAAAAATGCAAATGTTATCAAAATTCGGGCCTTAGTGATCACCAATCTGAAAATTAGTCTATTTTTACATTTTAAAAAGACAAAAATTTACGTGCAGAAAGGAAACATAAAATAGTAAAACTAAATTTTTTATTGAAAATACATTTTTATAATTGCAAATTTAAAACCTGTTGAGCATTTATAAACCATTATAGTATAATGCAAAATACAAATAGCTTTGAAATATTTTATTAAGTATTTAAATTCATTATTAAGTCGACAACATTGATTATAATTAATTTGAATCACATTTCAAATTAAATGGAATTCTTTTTAAACATTGATTTACCACAAAAAATCAGATCTTAAATATGACTAATAGAATATAAAAGGACTAGTTCAAAATTATAAAAATAAAAAATATCACACAAATGAAATTGCAAATTAGTTGCAAAAAATAAGTAACAAAAAAACTATTGAGATTAACATTTTCAGATTAATATTTTCCAGATTTAATAATAATGGAAACTTAATGCTAGAAAATGCAATAACCATAGATAAAATCGAAAGGGGAAAAAATTTCTGTAAAACCATTATCAATATGCATAAAAACGTTATAACATCAGCCTTAAAAAATTAAGTATTTTAACTTTTACAATATAACAGAGCTCCTTAAAATAATAGTCAAAATTCTAAATAATAGAGCAAATTTAAGTGTTCAGAAAACGAATAGATTTGGTAGCTGAATTTCTTTTTGAAATTCAACAATAAATTTTTTGTGCTCAATCAAGTAAGTATTTAGTATATATTGCACTCTATACTTAACAAAATACATATTTCTACTGTCACATGACAAGTTTTTGTGTGAAAAGATTAGAAGTATAAGTTTTACTAAGCCTTGATATAGAAAAATATTTTTATGTGATAAGCATTTAATAAGATAATACTTTTGCACATTAAGTGCAGGTTTCTAAAATTGACCACAGCCTTACAAAAAAAATAATACAACACATCGAAAAAGAGAAAAGTGGATTCACACCAACCTTGTATTTTTTTCTTTGTGTGTTAAAATTGGTTTATTAAAAGGTCAAAGTTTGTATTTATCTGAAAACATGAAAAAGAATTCAATAAAGCAAAAACTAATTCCATAATAAATTATTTTACTTTAAGAACCTATTTAACTGCATTGCAGTCATTTTGAAAGACTCTACGCATTTATTTTTTGTATAGTGTCTGAAAATAAATACTCAGCCTTTTTTTTAAAAAAAAAATACTAATTAAAAGTTGATATACATTTAAGTATGAAGTATCACAATATTAAATACTACAGAAAGTTTAAACTGTATATTTTAAAATCATTATGATTGAAGAAATATTAAAAATCAATCAAAAATTTCAAAATATAAAGAATTGTAATCAAAAATGTAAAAAAAGAGTTTTTTGCCAACCATTGTATCGCCATACAACATTGATAAAATCTAATTAGCTATGTACATGGTTAACTGGTAATTCATTTTTGAGGTGAGTTTTGTATTAAAAAAATTTTTGTGTATACTAGCAAAGCCAATAATTATTCTTTAAGGATTGATCAGAATACATTTTATACTTTTGATACATTTGTCATTCCGAAAAAAAAAGTATCTCGTTTTTAGAATATTTTTCTGATACCATGAAACATTTTCTCTAATCATAAGACACATTTAATTTTTAAAAATTTTAGTGGCAATTAAAGAACATTGGATATATTTTCTGAATATATGTTATAGGTCAAATCAAGCTTTGCTATTATAAATTATCTTATAATATAGCTATTAGCATAGATTAACTTTATTAGAAAAAATTGTAATTTAAAACTTATAATGTGTCCTTCTCTAAAGTTATGATTTACTATAACAAAATGAAGTGATCCTTATCAAAGCTCATTTGTTACAAAATGAACTATCATATTCACAGAGTTTGATCCTGAACAAAAAAACATTTCATGTTTTTATTTCATTTCATTTCATTTTTCTAATTCTTAAATAAAGAAGAAATCTTTTCATTTACAAATTACATTAACTATTATTATGTATTAAATGAAATATTTATAAATAAACTTTGATTAATGTTGCTGCAAATTAAATTTTAATGCAATAAGAAAAATATACTAATTTCTTAAAATAATACCCTGAACTATATTAAATTTGACAAGAAAATTATAAATGAAGTTTTCAATAAATTGGAAACGCACACAATAATAAAAAATTGAATTATTCTTTTACTATAGAGATTCATTTTTAAAATTTGGCAATTTTTGTAAATATTTAAAAATCATTTAAGGCATTTATATTTATTTCCAGCTTGATAGCCTTAAACAAAAAAATTCACATGATTTGAACTTTAATATACAAGTACACTAGCACTTGGAAGCTTTAAATATAAACTTTGATTAATTTTGCATGAATTAAAATTTTATACACTTATAAACAAATATATAATCTAAAGAGTAAAATTTGAAAGCTTTAAATATAAACTTTGATTAATTCTGCATAATTTAAGCTTTGATACATCTATAAAAAAATATTTGCACTTTAAATGTTTCACAAATTCTAGAAAAATTATGGAATTTAAATTTCTCTAAATTTTAATTACACTTGTTAAAATACACAAAACATTTATTTTTAAAATAACTATTGAAAAAAATGTCATTTTTTTAAGAAAAACATTTTAACAAATCTGTTAATAACACTAGTATTTCATTCCTAATCCTAGACAATTAAACATTTATTGACAGATAATCTCATTTTTGAGAGTTTTGAGAAGTCAGAATGTTAAAATGTTACAATGTTAGTGTTACAGAATGTTAAATGTTACGTTGAATTTTAACACTTTTCATTAAATTGTTAAAAGTAAAGTTTCATATTAAACTGTTAAAAGTTGCTGAAGTTTGACAAAAAATAACTACTTTTTTTCACCGCAAACAATATTAAGTGTCAACTCCATCCTCAATCTTTTAAGTGATAATAATATATAAAAATAATAATAACAATTTATCAGTATATCTATAGACAAACCATTATTATTTGCTTAAATTTCAAACAAATTTGTTAAAAATTATTTAATATAATTTTAAAATTTGAAACATTATAGCTTTAATTTGTTAAAATAAGCAATTTGCATTAAGTTTAAAGTATTCTAAAATGCATATTCTAATAATAATAATGATGATTTTAGAAGTAGAAGAATTATATGTATTTAACAATTACTCATCCTACTAGAGCATCAGCATCAGGCGACATATCTTGAAGTGCATTATTCTCTCCATTTTCTTTATGGGGAGAATAAAAGTTCTTCATTCTCGAACTCATAAAAAATACCACAAGATCACAGCACACTGCAAGAAAAATAAAACATACAGACATACTGTGGAGGTAATATTTAAAAAGATCATTATCATAAAGCCAACAGTTTCCATCTTGCCCACATTTTCTACTCCACAAAATACAAGCTTTATCGATCACATATCCGTACAGAAGAGGATAAGGAATAGTAGCTAGAACAAACAAAAAAATCTATATAAATAACCATTATATTTTAGGCTATTTTGAAAGAATAATAACACACGGAAAAAAATTTGCTAAAAAAATAACAGTTTCTAACATAATTATAAAACTTCATAGGAAAGACTTTAAAATTAAAAGCTTCGTATTTCTATTATAGCAGTCCTTGTAGTTGACGAAAGAAAAAATTGAGACATCTTTTGTAATAGCACACGCATGCACACACACACACACATTATATATATATATATATAGCATCAGATTACTTCATAAAGGAGCTAAAAAAAGTATAACTCGCTCAACTTAATATTAACAATAATAAAATATATTATTTTTTATTTTAGAAATACTTTGTTTAGAACAGAAAAATGTAACAATTTGCAAAATGATTTTATAGAGCACTGAACAACTCATACCTGTTTGAGATCAATATGTAGAAAATTTTATATGGTACTGTGACATTAAAAAAAATTACCTGAATCAATTAGTTAATATTCCCTTATACCAATATTTATTTAAAATTTTTAATTGAATTTAGGACTTCCTTCATCAAATAATTTCAAAGCAGGCTTTGAACTATTTTGAACAAAAATACAGGGAATATACTTTACACATATGCATTTATATATTTTTGTACAAAAGTAATTTAGTGGATGATCTTAAAATTACAGTCCTAATATAGTTGAACCCTGTTATAGTAAGCAGTCTGCAGATCTGCAGATAATTCATATCATTACATCTGAATGCTTTGAAAAATTATTTTTTAGAATACGGCAATATTGTTAGAAATAGTGATTAAAATAGTACATAGTTTGCTTATAAATTATTGATTGATTAAATGTATAATAAATTAAACATTAAATAAATTAATTTTTAACATTCTATGTAAGAAATTAATTAATTTTCGATTGATTAGAGTTCGATTTTGAGTAAAATTTACCAATTTTCTATCAACAATTAAGAAAGAATATAGTATTTCTTGACGCACAGTGCAAATTCAGAATTTTTGATGCAAATTTTACTTTTAGGGTAGAAGCTGCCGCAGTTTCTTATCCTTTAATATGGGGAAGGTGAGAAAGAAGAGGGGTAAGCTGCTTAACAATTTGTTCACCTTAGTTTTAAGGCGAAGAGCATGCAAAAGTACAATTTAAAGAAATTCCATTATTTGCAATTGGAATTCCTGTAAATTTAAAGTTGATGAAATAAAAAAAAACTGAGGAAATGAAATTAAGAGTCCACTATAAACAAACAACCAATTTTTCAGCTGTCCAGTAAAAGCGTATAAAATAACAGTTAAACGAGAGTTCCAAAAGGGACCATTAAAAAAGTTCATTACTACAGAGTGTTCACTATGTCCAATATTCATTATAGAATGTAATCTATTAATAGTTTTCCATTTATTAATTCATCTAATGTGTATACTTTCTTGGTTTAATATTTCAAGAAAATTCCAAATGTACACAAAGGGCATTGATTAGGTAACATTCTGCATTTTTTTGCAAAAATAACAGCATTAATGAAACAATGTACAAATTCAAACTTACCAAAAATAGAAATAACAAATTCAACGGCACCTAATGCCAAAGTCTTATCTTTTTCATCCACACATCTGACAAATTAATATAAAAATCTTTTAATTGACAAGCATTAGCAAATTAACTTAATAGTAATCTACATGAATTGCACACTACCTGAGTGTAATTAAAACATTTCCAACTCGAGATGTAGAAGAAAACATTTTTGCCAAACTAACAATGATGATGTAAGGTAAAAACATGGCACAGTCAACAAAGCAAAATCCACTTTTAGCTTCAGGTTCTTTTAAATTTTCATCATCGGGGATAATACAAGAACAATTTTGATAAATCTAGAAAGAGAATAAAATAATTACAACACATAATAATCCAAAGGCATTAAGAAAAATAATCAAATTGTAATTAATACGGTAAACCCTCATTTAAGGGACACTTCTTCAGGAGGGGTACATTACATTATTTTTTTATTTTTATTTATTTATTTTATAACAGCCAACCCAATTTTGCGTTTATGACTACTAATGTTCAACTCTGTAGCCTTTTAATTTTGCACCGATCCAGATGACATGGAAACTCCTGTATCTCCCAGAAAAGGATCCCCAAGGAAACCCCTAGTACCCCCAAAGGTATGATTTTTTATACGAACATGGAGGTTTTTGTGACTCGACAGATTTAACGTGTATCAGTTACCATTTGCTACACGGAGAGTCTTTGGCCAAAGAGGATTGAACACACGACTTCTTAGACATGGGCCCAGTGCCCGACCAACCAGGCTATCCCGGCCCTACATTACATTACTTCCTTAGACAGAGATTTCCTTAACCAGACACAAACAGTTTCTAAAAAAGCTCATTTAAAAGCAGATTTTCCAAATTGTTATAAATAGCATTTTGTTTGTCATTTTTTAAACACTAATTTTAAAAATGTGCTTTTTTTATTTACAAAATAAGGGGATAATAAGAAAGCAAAATAGAAAAGGAGACAAATTTGTCTGTGAAAGATGGAGAGAAGAAAATTGCAAAATGAACATTAGTTTATGGCTTTTGATTGATGACTAATTGCAACATTATATGATTGTACTGTGCACTGCAACGATTGCAATTTTTGATAATTTCAATGGGGCCCGATGCCTCGCATTTAGATATTTCCACAACAGACTTTCCATTGGAGTTTAAATGACCCAAAACATCAATAAAATTTTTTTTGAATACTAAAATTTATTCTTCATAAAATATTTTGTTTGGGAAAAATATTTATTTGTAAAAATATCTCATTTCATAATAATGATAAAGTTGAAACTTAAGTGTTCTTTCTTAGAGGTAAAATGAATGTCTGAGATCGTTGAGCCCTTTGCTCCTTACTCTGCATTCCACTGAGTGAGTCTTTGTAACATATATTATATACCAGAGAGGTACTTCATATCATGAATAAAATTTAAAACTATTTATTTTTTAATCAATCATTCAAGAAATTTCCAACAATAGAACAATATTGCAGGAAAAATAATAATAAAAAATATTTGTAAAGACATTATTTTAGACATCGTGTAACTAATATTAAACTTTGATTGAATGGGAAATAAGCTTTTATATTACTATATTACAATTTCTCAACTCTTGTGAGGAAACAATGTCGAAAACATTTTAAGATAATAAGCTGATAAGTTTTATCTTCAAATGTACTTATTTTGTAGAATCGTCACTCTTTCAAATATTCATAATAAAGTTTTAAAATTAAAAGAAAAATTCAAAATTATAGAACATTATTTGAGAGAAAAATTAGTGTTTAAAAATTGGTTGAGCATTGAAAAATACATTGTATTTTTCTACAGTTTTCTTTGATTTTCATTGATTATGATTTTTCTAAGTTCAAATTAGTATTAATAAAAATATGTATTTATTTAACCATCATAATGTTTAGTAAAATAGTTAAAAACATTAGATTTCTCAATTAGAATTTCCTTCTCCCAAAATAACAAATTTTTTGGTCCCCACTTTAACGAGATCCACTTTAAATTTCTTTCTGTCCAATATATAACATCAGGGTCTAAAATTAAATTGTTTTAAGGTATAAAAAATGTGCATCAATTCTTTTTTTTTTACTTTGTTTTCGTCTGTCATTCAAAATAAAAATTTAATAACAATAATAATAAAAACAATCTCACTTTTTGTTTATTTTCTTTGATAAAACTCTGACAACCAGCAGAACAAGGTGAAAAATGAACAAAGTTATTTTTATCACAGATAGGGCTGAAAATGTCAGTATTGCAAGAACAATTGTAGTTACATTCTTTCTGATGCAAGGAATGTCTGCAAAAATTTATAAATTTCTTTAATAGCATGAAATAATTTTAATTACATCAAATGAAATGAAAAAATATTAGCTTTATATAAAAAAAAAATACTTTAGTATAGCCAATAATCTTCTGAAGTTACTTGTTGTTCAAAATATGCAATATTGCATATTTTGAATAGAAAATATTTTAGGGAAATTTTTTAAAATACTATATAAAATTAAAAGAAACATGCTCTTCCATGCACATTTTTAACACACAAAAACAAACAAGAACTTATCTAATTTATAAAATGAATGTTAAATGCTTATTTGAATGAAAAGAAAAAAAAGGACCAACTGATTTGGCTTCAATTTTTTATTCTAAAAAACCATTAATATCCGAACTAAATAAATAGAAAAACACCTGCATACACAAATAATGCACAGATAATCAAATATTTAAATTCATTTTACAATACATTGTTTTAATAAAAACAATTCATTCATTGCTAATAATATATATTTTTCAATGAAATTAACTCTCATTTATGTCACACAAGGAGAAAAGCATGAAAAATTTTCACAGTTTAGGCTGAAAAGAATGAACCTTTCATTCCAGATCTAACGAAAACAAGACATATAAAGTATTTTAAAAATAGCAGCACAAACTTTTCTGGGAGGTAGGATACATTTTACAAATTGAGAATCATATAATAACTCACGATCAGGATGTAGGACTAAAAAATTTTTAAACTTAAATGTCTGGCCAGGTATGTAAATAATTAAAAAAAAGGTACTGTAAATACTGATTAAGCATCCCTCAGATTTTGGCAAAAATCACAATGTTGAATAGGGTAAAAAAATGGTACTAAGGAGTTAGAAAAAAATAAAGAAAATCTACTATATTTTATAAACGTTAAAGTTAATTATGTTATGTTATAAAGTTAATTATGTTATTTAAGTTAATTATGCTCACAAAATTTATTTATTCGGTTTTCATTTTGCTTGTCATGTTTATCTTTATATTTTTCTTAAAAATTACCTCAATTGCAGTGCATAAGAAAATGATACAAAATTTTATAACATCATTTTAAAGTAACATGTTGAAAGGCATGCCCTTGCCAATGGTATTTTTAATTTTACTAAATTACTTTTATGTTAATAACATGCTATGCATTTATTCCATCAATGCTTAATACTTTTATTAATAATATCTAATCTTTCTTTGTTAATAATACTTTCTATTAATACTTAAAATTAAAAGTGTTGATGAAAATATAATGTTGTAAATATCATTTTTTTGGCAGACGGATTAATAACACATTGATATATTTTCATTCATAAACAATCGAAATAGATATTCGGGCATGTAAATTTTTACTCAGGTGTGTATTTTGCAGACTAATAGGTTTGGCAGGATAATTATGTGCCAACCTCCTACGGTTAGTTAGATGGTAAGGGACCACGAAGGATATTTTACATTAGCACTGTGGTCGCTGAATGTCGAATGTGGAATTCATATTGACCAGCTATCACTAGGATTCGAACCCGGTTCACCTCATTGGAAGGTGAACGCTTTATCCCCTGAGCCATCATGGTTCTAATCAGGTGAGCTGTAGAATTCACACAGCTCACCCAACATCTGTAGAATTCACAGCACTATATAGATGCAAATAATGTCATGGGTTGCTATGTAATTCTCAATCCATGGAATATGCCCTACTTCCATTAAAAACTCTCATCAGCAGTTTTGAGACATCCTGTATTTCATTTAGCACAATGTCCACAGACTCTGGGGTGACAACCTATATTTATACTACACTTGTATTGTCATCAGAATCTTTTTCCAATTAACGACACTGGCTACCAGCCTACTGAACCAGTAACTGAAATATCTACCAGCATCCCCTTAACAACTTAAAACATTACGTTTTTAAAAATCAAAGAATAAAATAAAAATCACATTCTTACATTACATTAGGTTTTATTTGCATCGGAGTTGTTTCACAGCCCATGAAAATTGCAGCAAAAAGGACAATCCCTGCAAATATTTCAATGGAGAGCATGTAACCAACAAGGAATCTTGGCCTGGGTTTAAACTTTTTAATACAATATCCACCTAAAAATACTCCGACCACCATGGCTACTAAAGTGACTGATCCTAAGATATTAAATAAGTTCATTAATGTTGCAATTGAATTGGTAAAAGAAAAAACAATTCTATATTTTCAAAATTAATATTGTTAGTTAATACAACTTTGGGATTAACCCGTTAACCCGTCCATGCTCACGAAAATGCGTAAATCTTTTAGAAACATCATAATAGAGAGCAATTTCCGAAATAACATTCTAAACACATTGAATATATCAAATAATAATAAAATAATAATAAAATAATAATAACAATAAAATAATAATAATAATAAAATAATAACAATAAAATAGTAATAATAAAATAATAATAACAATAAAATAATAATAATAAAATAATAACAATAAAATAATAACAACAAAAAAATGTAAGTGCAAAAATACGTAATAAAAAAGTGCATTAAAAATAAAAAAGTAAAAACCACGATTTTTTTTAATAATTACACATTGAATTATTCTTAAATCTAACCATAAATATTATTATAAATCATTTTGATGGCCAAAAATACTCTTGAAAATATGCCTCTGCACTCTCTTTAGTGCTAGGCAAATCACGAATTCAAATCATTTTGCAGGGGAGTAAAAAAAAAACAGTATATTTCAACAAGCTAAAGAAAAATAACTCCCTCAGTCAAGGATTACACAATAAATATGATAAAATTTGAGGTTATTGGCGCAGAAGTTACATTTTGGCGATAACATTGGGTTTGCCGAAAATGGTCGACAAGATAATCCCAAAGTTATAATTCAAAGAAATTACTGCACATAAGCTGTGAATAATAATACTACCTAAAAAAATTTTATTACAAATTGCAATTATTAAAAAGTTATTAAACATATATATTCAGTATTAATTAATGAAAATATTACTTACTATAGTCAGTACCAGACGTCTTGAGTTCAGAAATCAATTAAAAGAAAAAATGGAGTTTTTAAAACATTTGATTTGCTATTTTCTGCCTAGGAAACTAGATATTTTATTCTTTTCAATATTCAAACTTATTTACAAAGTTTATAACAATGTTTAAAGATGAACGTTAGAGCATTCCAACAAGTAACTTAATTTTGATCTCAGACTTCCCCACATGGTAAACACAAATGATGGTTTTTGCAAAAGCTTTAAAACTTTTCTCAGTCAGCTGTAATATCAGTTGTCAAAATTTTCTTACGCCCTAAGCAGAAGGCAACAAACCACACATTTATAGTTATATTTGTTTCCCTTTAACTAAGTTTTAAAATCATAAACACTCTTTGGGATGCTAAAAAAGTTACGCACAAGTAGTAAAAATAAATATTTAAAAACAATTTGTAAACATAAATAATAATTAATATTTATACCAACCAAATATTACTAAACACAGATGGCAAACAACAATAATTTCAAAAAATTACTGAACTAATCATAAATAATAAAGATGAATACCTGAAAAAAAATTGGCAGCAGCTGCTGATTTACGATACTGACTTTCCATGTATCTTGGCATGAACACAAAGTATCCAAATAATCCATTTATTTGAAACGTAATGCTCAATGTGTGAAAAAATAAAATAGGATTTTTCAGTAATTTTCTTAATGACTGTATTAAATCATCTGCAAAAAGAAAACACATTTTAGAATGTGATAAATTTTTTAATATTATAGTTGAACGAAGGAAAAGTTTCAGTTTTATTATATGTAATTATTACACAAACTTTTTTCCATTTGGAAATAAGTGTTTTAGCATTTTACGAATCACAATTCAGCACATTTGAAATAAAAATAAAATTTAAAATTATTATTTTTTCTAACAAGTTTAAATTTTTAAAAAATTATATTATGATTGTGATAATTTTCATCTTAAAATTTTAAATTAAAATTTCAGGTGAGTGACATGAAATCAGAATAAATTTTAAAAATTATCATTATGATGCATTATAGATATATAATATGATCTACGGTATCCATAAATAATATAGATATATATTACTTTATATATCAACATTTATATCTATCTATAATATATATGCTGATATATAATAAATAACATATCTCTAAAGATAATACAGGTCCAACGTAAGCCAAATCGGCATCCTGAACAGTTATATGTTTTTGCTACAATTTTGCTTTCCTGCATTACACTATCTTTAGAAGACAGTTAAGGTTTTTTCCGCCGGAATTTTTCCTGAATAACTTTAATGTAATTTCAATACAGGAATGAAGAGAAGAGATTAAAAATGTTTACATTTATCTTATTTTCTAAGACTATGGATAGTTTTTTGTGCAAGACTTCTAGAAGTGTGGAGACTGCTGCCTTTATCAGCCAAACCTAGAAATGACTGATCTATCATCTAAGATGATTGATACAAAAGAAAAGTTTTTGAATTTTTAATGCTTTTTTTTAATTTTTAATATTTCTGGCAAGAGGTAGGGGCCTTTCCGTAGTCAAAGAAAAACAGAGTCCTAAGAAAATGCTCTGATAGTCCCATTTTTACAATACAATGGCTCTGTTGTTTCCCTCCCCTTTCAAATATGCGGAATTGCTAATTAATTAAACAGTATTTCAACCTCAATCAATAAAAAAGTTTACTGTGTATAAAGAAGTGTCTGAAATTGTGACAAATATTCTTGGAAGATTTCATACTGAATACAGAAATAAAAGATTAACAATAATAATTTAACAAGAAAAAGTTTCAGATAATTCTTAAAAATAATATAAATAACATATCATTCACATAAAATATAAATAACAAGTCATTCTGAACATATGAGATGTAATTAACATTTTATTTAACCATAAAACAGTTTATTCCATAAAACATTGCATGGAAATGAACAAAAAAAAAACTAAATTTTTTTGCAGCATAGTCAGTATGAAATTTAGGAAAACAATTATCAATTTCTTGATAACTTACTGCAAACAGACTTTGAAATTGTACAATTTATTTCATTGGATGCTGAAGTGTGAGCCAGTTGCCGTGGAAAAAATGCCAAAGGAAAAGATGCTGCAAAAATAGCCAAACCGAGGATGATAAATCCAATCCACCATGCACCAATCCATTTAGGATCATTATTATTGAATCCAGGATCAACTAAAATGGCAAAAGAACAAAAACAAATCAAATTTTTGTCCTGGTTTAAAATACATGTTATATTAAATGTGAAGTGTTACCTTAAAGTTTATGGCCTCCTGTAAAGATATATGATTCAAAGATTCATAAAACATACAAAGATTCTTAAAATATTAAATATCTAAAGAAACTTTTTATTAGAAACTAAGCTTATGACAGTATTTGTTATATATAAGTGAGAATTGGACAAAACTGGATAAGTGGGTAAAACTAGGACCTAGCCCTTTTGACTAAATTACTGGATTCACTTATCAGAAATCCTGAAACTGGTTGCAGACAGTCACTTTAGAGAAAAAAGGAAGAGGCCATAATATTTAATCAATGCCAAAGTTTTGAAAAGATTATTTAGAAAAGTTTTTATTTTTTCACCACTGAATTAAATTTGCAGTTTTTAATCACTTGAAAGTTTATTAATTACAAGTTCAACATTTGATCATACCTCTTTAACTTTAAATTTTAAAATAGGTTGTGTATTGAATTTAAATTAATCTAAGTCTTCATTTCTATTAAATGGCATATTGTCAGGTAAAATCGAAATTTTATAAATCCAATAAAATCAAGAAAAATAAAAGGCCAGGTCAAAATCCCTGTAAGTTTAGATATAGTGTTTCAAATTTATGGAATGGGCACATGAAGCCTACACCATTGCAGAAAAGCATGATCAAAGTTTATATTTGTGATTTCTGCCCTTAATATGATAAACTAATTTAATTTACTAAGAGTTACAAACATGTTAAATTCAAAATTATTTATATCTCTTGATTTTAAAACCATTTTATGTTAATCAGTGTAAAAAGATAGTTGCATAAATTTAATTCAATAAAAAAATACATCAGGGGAAAAATCAATGCTCCTTTTCATTATTACAACAGTTGTATCCAATCAGGTTGCATAAAACTTGGTACTAGAATACTTTCATAAAGTGATTAATTTACTCATATATATGTATATATATATACTAAAAATTATTTATTTTGAACCTAAAGAATTAATTTAGCATTCAAATACAAATTTTAAAAATTTAATTAACACAGTTTTTTTTTAAAAAAGGAAAGAAAAAAAAGAGAAATCAAGAGAGAGAAAGAGAAAACATAAAGACATTGCTTTGTTCAACTTTACCATCTTCAGACATTTTGTGCTAGATCTTCAAAACTATTTTAGTACTGAAAGTTGGAATAAATATTTAAATAAGTATGAAATAATAATATAATGTATGTTGAATACATATGAAATAAGTAGCAGCACAATTTATTCCCATTTAATAGCAGAATAACTTATATTCAAAATTAGTAATGATTTTTTCTTTCATTATGTAGGCATTTACACATAATTTACTATAAACAAATTAAGGCCTCTTCTTTTTGCAAATTTAGCTACCAAAATAAAAAAAATTATCATTAAAAAAAACGGTTATAATTTAATTAACGAGAATTGCTTCTTTTTTTTGTGACAATAACCGCAGAACATTTCTAATTAAGTAAAATCTTGCAACAATCTTGAAGATTCAATATAATTCTGATTCTGGGAATAAAGACAATTAGAATTTAAAGAGTGCAAACTCTTTAAAAAATCCTAATTGCCTTTATTCCTAAAGGATACAAATGTCCCAGCAGAAGACACTAAGCATACTTTGAGCAACAATTTAATCAAATATGTAGAAAAAATCAGTTATTACCAGAGGGATTTTCATAATATTTCAGACAAAATGAAGAAAGCATAAATCCCAATGTAGGTCCAACAATTCTAAGAGCAAAGGTTGCACCTAAAATCATACAAAAGTTTTTAGACAGTTTAACTCATTTGATTATTTTTTTTTAAATTTGTTATGTTTTTAAAGAGTTTGAGTGCAAAACTAAAGTATTAATATAAAGTCATATTTTCTTAAAATTAAAAATATAATTTTATATTATTTATACAAATACATATTATAATAAATACTGATTCACTAAATCTAAACAATATAATAAGAGCATAAATAATGCTCTGGTAACGGATATATACTATAGTTTCAGTTTCAGTTCCAGAAGGAGAAACTTTCTTCAGTGTCAAAATACGGAATGAAAAAAAGGAAACAAATAAATAATATTAAATAATATAGGGCAAAAACTATAGCATGTCTGTTTATGAGGCATTACTTGTGCTTTTTCAAATTGTTTAGTTTTGTTAATATGTAGCACTAAGTTAACCTTTTCTAACAAGTTATCATTTTCCTCAACCACAAACAAATTAGAAAGAACAGCAAACGTTTCTTTTTTAACAATGCACTGTAAATGATAAAAATATACAGTGGTAATGAAAATAGTATTTACATAATTTTATAGATTTACTTTTAAATATGCATGAAAATAAAATATGTTTTTATATTAAAACAATCTATGCTTGATATCTATTTAATAAATTAATTTAAATTAAAAAAACAAAGATTTCATTTAAATTTGCAATTTTTTAAACTTTGTGTCCATTAAAAAATGTAGTATAATACTGTAAATTTGTAAAATGTAGTAAAATTTAGAACAGATATATAATTCAGTACATATAATACAATAATAGAAATATAATACAGTACATAATAATACCTAAATACAAGGGAGAGTTCTTCTTTTTAACATTATCATCCATGTAAGGAGTACCTATAGCATAGTATGCCATTGAGCCAAAACCATTTAAAAAGTTTGCTAAAAAAAGTATAGAAATGGCGAGAGTATTCTGGGATGACCTTTGACAGTGTTCTGACGCTAAACTATTATACTCATTACACAATTGGGCTTCGTTATTTTTGGATAAAATAGTAAGTTTTGTATCTGATCCAAACAAAAAATATGGTAAGGCACTGAGAAAACAACTCAGAACAGTAATCATCATTCCAAATGTTACTAATTTGGGTCTATGCGCAAATTTTCCATAGTATCCAAGAAAGATTCCAAATAATGCGGGACTAATATTATCAGCAATTAATATAATTCCAGTAACAGAGCTATCAAATGAATAACGCTTTTCGAGAGTAGTTAAAATCCCAATGAAATATGTGAAATAAGCACCCTGTAAAATACCAATAAGGCAAAAAAATACAAGGAAACATTTGGCATTTGCAAATCTTTGGAGAAATTTTGGTTTGAAAGTGCCGATTCCACAAAGAAAAGCGGTCGAGTTTGTAAGATCAGGATCGTTGCTTAAATTTGAATCTGCCATTACTCATGAAATTATTTTTTAAATGCAAATTTGCAGAATACAGAAAGTATTAAGTAGGTTTAACATTGTTCGATACATTACTTAAGAATTAAATTCATTATATTGATCTTTTGTACGCCTCTTCCTGTCATATTTCTTCGTTTAGCAGAAGATAAACAAATCACAAATACAGCATGTAAACAATATACAATGAGTCGATTCAAAAGACTTTAGTGCACTAGTTCAAAAAGCTGAATTTTTTATCTGTATGTATATGTATTACAGTTGTTTTGCGAATGAAAAAACTGAATCAACTGAATTCAAAGTTTCTAATTACGAACATAAAGTCCTTTCCTTGTTGCCATTGGTTACAGACAGGATTAATGTATTATTATTATTTTTACCGCTTTCACGTGCGTGTCAAGCCGGCTGAGCAAACGAATAAAGATATCTATATGAAATGAAAAATTTATATTTCTATATATTTTTACAACAATGAGAGTTTTACCATTGTTTTTTTGTGTTTCTACATCTTGCTTATTATTGATAATATTTTATTATTCAACCAAACTANAAATGAAAACGTGATAAATTAATGTCCGATATTTACAGGCTCCCGCTAGACGGCGTACTCGAGCGTTGCGATCGCGAATTGTTTTTTTGTGTTTCTACATCTTTCTTATTATTGATAATATTTTATTATTCAACCAAACTATTTGCATGGCAGCAGTCGTACTCTTCATCGAGGTCAACAAAAAATGAAATGAAAACTACTGTTTTAAGAATGTTGCAGTCGGTAGATTTTGAAGTTTTTGGTCGAGTACAAGGTAATCTAAAAATTTTAACACTCTATTTCTTCCTGCCGGTGTCTAAGATTATATTTTATACCTTTTCTAATACTACTTTTTGTCCTTTTTTTCAGGTGTATTTTTCAGAAAGGTAAACAGTTCTATATAGTTAATAATTTTTTGCATTATTAGTTAATTTTTATTGTGTTTCGAAATTTGGATTCATTAATTTTTTTGTAACATTACAAATAGTGTTTGTTCTTTTAGTTTACGAGAGAAAAAGGGAAGCAGCTAGGTTTAAAAGGATGGTGTATGAATACTTCTAGTGGAACTGTCTTAGGAACAATGCAAGGGCCAGAAGAAAAAATTATAGAAATGTATGTATACTTCTCTGTAATAGGGAAGATTTCCGTATCATGATCTACTCAAAAATTATTGCAAAGTTTTGACACCAACCCTCCCGGCTGCGGCTAACTTCGGGGCAGAAACTAAAAACATCATCACTGAAGGGGATCAACCAGTGCCGGATTTGTGGTGTAACTACCACTATAAATATTAAATACCAAATCTCTAGTATATAAGACATGTTAACTTCATTCTATCATGAGGTACCTTTTGATAGATGAAGGTTGACATGGTCCATAATTAATTCCTCACACAGATTAAGCATATGAGGGTCACTAGACCATTAAAATTTTTGGGGCCCTTACATTAAATTTTTTTTTCCGTACATTTTTTATTTGTTCAAATATAAAAGTATTTATATATCTTTTCATTTAAGAAAGAGTATTTAAAATAAATAATAAATTAAATTTTACTTTATTTTGTTAAATTAGAATTAAGAAATAATAACATTTTGAAATATATTAACACTTCACAAAATCAATGCTACTATAAAATTGGTATTCAAAAATCTTAAAGATTAAGCTATAAGTATTTCTATATAAAATTTTATTAAAAGTGAGCAGTTGTATGAGTTTTTTCTAGAGTATATAAAACAAATAAGCAAACACTTACCTTTTAGTAAATAATTTTGTAATTATTTATTGGTCAAATAGAATTAGTGACACTAAATAATTATAAAACACTAAAAAAATTATAAGACACTTCAGTTGAGGCACTAAATAACTTCTTTTTCATTTAAAACTACTCAATAATGTCAACAAACAAGTCTCAGTTCGCTATAGTCTGCCTTCAATTTTTTTGCTCGCAAATCAAAATGGCAAATTTGAACTTAAAAAACATTGATAAATCTTATGATACATAAACTATAATTATACTTATTAGAGCCCGGATTTTGATGACCTAAAAAATCTCAACTAATGCCCTTAAAAAGTACAAAAAATGGATCTTAAAAAGGGCCAAAAATGACCTTAAAAATGCAAAAAATGCCTTAAATAAAGTAAAAATTTTGAATTAGAAAAATATTTTGGTCTTTAAAGTTATTATGAGTCATTTAAGAAATATAAAGCGATGCAATACTTGTTCTACGTTCATTAAAGTTTGAAAAATTTGTTTTATATCCTAAAATAACAAAAAAAAGGAAAATATATTGACACCAAAATATTTTTATTTTGTATAGAAACTTGAATGGATATAACAACTTCCATCTCATAATATTACTAAATATCAGAAGTACATTGGATTTTTAAATGTTTTTTGATAATTTGAATTGTAAAGGAGCGTCAACCCAAACGCCCCAAAATTTAAAGAAAAATGCCCTATAAATCTAAAAAAATGGGCTAAAAGACAAAAAATTGCAAATGTCATCAAAATCCGGGCCTTACTTATAAATAATAAGTAATAAATAAGTATGATTAACATTATGAAAAAATATTTATTGTATTTTATTAACATATATTTGAAATGGATTTTTTTTTTAAATCATTGTTTTTCTTAATTTTTCAAAAATTCCATTTTAAGAGAGCTCCTAATTATTGGGGATCCCAGGCCATGGCCTAGTCTGGCCTAATGGGTAATCCATAGCTCATAGCTTAGGCATCAACTATCGTATGCCAAGTAGCTTATCTTTGTATGTCAAGACTCGTAGACATGGAGTAAACCTCTACATGTTTTTAAAACGAAATTTCAAGTTTAAATCCCATTTGGCTCCTTGTCAATTGTAAAATAATTCATTTTTTTAAATTTAGTATACTTAGAATATATGAAATATCACCTTTAAACATCTAATAACTATCATTGCTTATTTTATTTATGATTTGTTTAATTTTTAGGTTTGTTCCAACATGTTTTTTATATGCATATATTTTTTATATGCATTTTAAAGACTGTCTCATAAATCTCAAAACTTTCACATATTTCTATGGTTGCTAATTTCCTAATAAATGAAACCTCTGCTGGACATTCTGCGCCTTGAGAAAAGTATTAATATTGTTTTATTTTTTTACGGGACCTTGATGACCCCTTCAAGTGAAAAATCTTGACTTTTTAAACAATTATTTAAAAAAAAAAACAATGTTTTATAATTTGGATTTTTAGGAAGTTTTCTGTAGGACCCATAAAAATGCAAAAACTATTGTTTTCTTTTCTATTTCATTCATATGATAAAATAGAAACCAAGGTTTTTGAATTTTCATCGATTAAAAAAATGGTATCTAACATTTGCAGAGTCCATTAGAAGTGCAGAAAAGCGAGACCCTGGGCAAACAACTTGCTTGCATCACTATAAAGACAGCTAAACCAATGAAGTATTGGCAAAATTAACAGTGGAGTTCTCACAAAACAGTGTTTTTCTTGCTTAGAACCTTAATAACTCCCTTAATTTTCATCTGATTAACCATAAATCTAGCAACATGTATTTAGCTTTCTTTGTTTAAAAGATTATGTATTAGTTGGTTTTTATCCATTTATTTTTCATTTTACTGTCATTTTGATTAACACGCTGATGTAATTTTATTTATTTTTCAGTAATAGAAAATTGATTTTACCTAATAAAATGATGTCTGGCTATCACAGTGATGTTCCCAGTTTACTACGTACAAATTTTGGTACTTATCTATTTTTGGGGGATGTAAAATATTGCTTAATTACTGAGATTGCTTAATTATCACTTAATGCTATATGTACATAATTGTGGTAATAGGTACAGCAGGTAAATTTGTAATATGTACCTAATATGCTAATATAGGTGATAATTTTTTTATCCCCCCCTAAAGTGGATAAGTTCCCAAATTTTTAAATGATATTGTATTTTATTCTTGTTAGTGTATTAAATTATAAACTGCCTGAAAAGTAAAATATTAGTACTATTGAGAATATAATGTTGATTATTCGTTTGATAAATTAATTTTTCTTTTAGGAAGGATTGGTTAAAACATACAGGAAGTCCTCACTCTAAAATTGAAAAAGCAGAATTTAAAAATGAAAGGCATTTATCTAAAGAAGAATTTTCTGATTTCTTTATTAAAGTATGTATTTTTTTTGTTAGAGAAATTAGAGTTGTAATTTTCTCTTTTTTTATGATGCATGTATTTCTGCTATTTTTCTATTACCTGATTATTTTCATGCTTTTTTTCACTTTTGCTTCATTATTCTATTTTTAGCCATAAAAACTTACTGCTTTGGTTCTGTTTTTGCTTTTTTGTAAGTTCTCTACTTTTCTTTTATTCTATACAATTTTCTTATAATTTTACTTTCTTAAAAATTTTCATCTGTTAAAAAAGTAAATGTTATTTATTTAAAGTTATCTAAAGGATTTGCATTGTATGCAAACGAAATCATTATTTTCTGTATTTTATTTTATTTGTTGTTTATTATGTTATTGTAGCATTTTATATGTTTGTAGCATTAAAACTATATTAAACCATTATTAGCAATTTTTAAAAATATTATCTAATCTTTTTAATGTGGATTTATGTTTAAATTATGTTAATTATGACTAATTTGTAAAGTTGTTTCTCTGTTTTCCTATCTAACATCATTGTCTGTTTTCCAATTTAGTATCATAAAAAAAAAAGCTAGTTTGCTATGAAATATGTTTTTCTATATGCAATAACATCATTAGGTTAAGTTTCATTCCCATAAAATTTTGATAGAATGTTTTTGCTTCATTGGGTTATTTATGCTATAAAATAACAAAACAGGATGAAACATACATATCTAATGCTCTGAAAATTTTCGTGGTAAAAAAAGAGACAGGCGCTTCTAAATTTAACTTTTTTTTTTTTTTTTTTTTTGACATAGTCTTANTTTTTTTTTTTTTTTACACCCAGGCTATCCTTTCCCTTCTTTACAGTTAGATAAATTTTGCTCTTATTATATAATACATAATATTAAAAAAAATAGCTTTCTTTATATGCTGCATAATTTAAATACAAGATGGTTTTAAAGTTGATTTATAAACTATACATATATTGCCAGTGTATTTATTTGTAAGCATCTTTTCCTAACCAATGGAATTACTATAGAATGTCTCATGCAGCTGATCTGAGCTGTAGCAGAGATGACACTTTCTTCCCCTTTGCGGATAATTCTTTTTTTTAATTTTTTTATAGCATTTAAGATTTTATGTGTGATTCTTTGTTTAGAAAATTTGATTTGAAGTTATTTTGATCATCACTACACATTCAAAAGTTCATTATAAAACTACTTTGTTGCTAGTATCTCATTATAAGCTTTTTTTAAATGTTTGCAAAATTTATTAAATAACCTACTTTTCTATATGCCCCATCTATATTTTGCTTTTTATTGAAAATGACTGCTCAACTAATATATATTCTCCATATATACTGTCTCTCCTTCCTCACATAATTTTATAAAAATGAATTAAATTGCAAGATTTTCACTTTTTCACAGATTTCCTCATTTTTTATACTAATCTTAGAATTTCCACTGAATACCTCTCAATAATTATTTGAGTGGAAATTAGTGGTGTGTGGTATTAATTGTAAGAGCGGACTTTGATTGCATCAGTATTCTTTAATTTTAATGATGGTAACTTTAATTTTAAACTTATTTTATTACAGCCTAAAAAATAAAATAAGCCTCATTTTTTGCATATTTAATTATTAAATAATTAAAACTGTTGTTAATAATTTCAAATACTGGCACATAACGAAAGATTCGAAACACTTCATTAAAGGTTGCAAGAAAGAATTTGTCGATTGCTTAGAAAAAATTTTTAATGTTAAGAAAAGAACAAGATGCTTACGAAAAAGGAACTAAAAATGTAGGTGAGATGCAAATAACAAATGTTGATGATAGTAATTAAAGGAAAAACATGAAAATGAATGTGTAAAAAGAGCAAAGGACAGAGCCTAATTTATTATGAGGCTTCAGAGGCCCCGTCATTTTTGGGGGCCCTCTATGATACAAATAATTTCTTTTTGTATTCTTTCTTGAGAATTGTCAGTTAGAATTATGAGTTAACAAAGATCGAAATAAATATTTACTAATATATCGTAATTTATATATGTCATAAATGATTTAAAAACACTTTATAATTAAACAATAGGTGAGTTTTGTTTAAAATAACAACTAGGGGGCACCCTGATAGTTTTGTGCCTAGGACCCCCTCATTCCTCGATCAGGCCCTGGCAGAGGAATGTACAGTATTCACCAAAACGTTTGTACAACTCTAGGAGGAAATTGAAATAAATATTTAGGAAAGAAAATTTTTAAAAGAAATTAAGTTCGGTTATAATTTTTGACAAAATTCTAATTTAATCTTGGATAATTATTTTTGCATTTATAAATAAACAGAATTTGAAAAACGTCGATATAGTGTTTGTTTATTCCTAAAGTATTGAATTTAAATATTTTTGTTTTTTATTTATTTACAATTGTTACTGTTAGATGATTTTTTATGTAATACCATGCCTAACAAAACCTATAAATGTTTACCTCGGGTTTTTTCATTTTAAACTAGGTTTTTTTGTTTTATTTAAAACAAAGTTGTAAATAGTACTTTGTTGTCTAAATTAAAAGTAATTGACCTATTATAGAGTATAATTCTGGAAACTTTTTAAACTATTAATTAATATATTATCAATAAACAATTAAAAAATATCCACTTTCCCCGTGTAAACAGACTTACATAACAAAAAAGAATTATTAAAAATAATAAATATACTTATACATTGCTTTCTCAACTTAACATATAAATAAAAGTTTAATTTCAAAACTATATATTAGTTTTGTATGTAAAATAATGAGTTCTTGTTTGTCATATATGAAATACAAAGAATAATCTAATGTAGTTTTTTTTTTTTTTTTTTCGAATTGAATGAATATGAAGTTTTGCTTTTCACTTTAACTGTGGCGTACGCAAGGGAGGGGTTTAGGGGTTTGAACACCCCCTTGAGCTGAGACAAAATGGCAAAAATAAACATTTTAATAGAAATTATGCGGGTATTATTTTTTAAGACTATATATTTTTATTTGCCTTATGCCTACCTTTTTATCTCACGGTATTTCTCAGAATACTGAAAAAAACATTTACTATAATAGGGTTGTACTTTTGAAACCAAATTCACGTGATACTGTTATGGACTGGTTCCTTTCTGTTCTGCCAGTCGCGATAGTTTTCGAGACTGGCTGTCATTCGTGAGGTCTTTACGCGATGATTCTGGAATCTTAGACGTTCTGTCGTCTTTGAGACAATTCGAGAATTTTGGAGATGCGGTGAAAAATTATACAAAAGGGGGAACGGAGTACAATGTAAGTGTTTCTGTTGTACAGAAATGTAATACTTCCGTTGAAGAAAAAGTTTCTAGCATAACAAAATCTGATGAATGTGTGGCCCTCAAAATGTTACTTCCCACACATATGACATTGGACTTTTTTCAGAAGATATTACATGCGAGAAGATATTAAACTTCTTAACTTAAAAACTTAAACTTAACTTAACGTTAAGTTAACTAAACGTTCTTAAACTTAAAAAATCAAATCAAAATTTAACTAAACAATGCTGTCTAAATAAAAAGTCAAAACTCTCTAGCTGTCTAAATTAGGGAAATAATAATGCTTTATTACATACTCGAATTTCTTTTAGTAGCTTCAGAAAATTATCAACACCCCCTTGAAAAAATTCTGCGTACGCCACTGCACTTTAATAAGCATGAAAAATGTAAGGTAATATTTTTTTTAATTAAAATATATTTTAAAATAATGGAATGATAAAATAGACTAAATTTGTCTAATGAACTATATATGTACACACATGCATCCAATCGTGAAAAAAAATTATGTTATAATATTAATGATTTAACTATAAATCAAGAATAAACTTCTTTTTTGAAATTTGTGTAGATACAACAAGGGTATAACCGAAACAGTGCTTGTATAAAACAGCATTAAATAAAATAATATGCATTGAAAATATTATATGTATTCAACTGGATAAAAATTGGCAATTTCGACAAAAATTTTGATTTTTTTTTATATTATAACTTTAGTTTATTGGCTTTTAACTCTTAACCCTTTAAATTTTTTAATTAGATTTAGAAATGAAGTTATAGTTGTTTTTTTGTTCACTATGTGACAAAACTGAAAGCAAACTCCTGAAAACAAAACTAAAGTTATTTTATTATGCTTTGGGTATTTTAACTTTTTTTAAAAAAATTTGAATAAGAAACTATCTGTACTCTAACACTCATTATAAAAAAAGTTTATCATAGAATTCTTCGAGATTATGTATCTAGATTTTGTATAATGTTAGCTATCTCTTAGACTAAATGTTTAGGTCTAAATGTGAACATGTCATTTTTATCAAGCTTTAAGTAAGAGTATTTAGAATTTTTCTTTAAAAATTCAGTTTTAAATATTATCTTTAGTTCTATTTTTATCATTTTAAAAAAGAAAAAAAAAATTTATTTTTGAAGTTTTAGTGCAAAGCACAGATTACAATATTGATCTGGAAAAAAATTTTATTTTGAAATTTATACATTATGATTTGTTGTAGAACTGTTAGTGTAACAAGAAAAATTTTCTGTTTTTAAACTGAAATCTGCCCTTATTTTGCAAAATATTTTATAAATTTTTAAATTTTACTTTGAATGTATAATTATAGGACTTTTGCTTGCCAAACATAAAATTAAAATTTTAATTATGCCTTTTTTAAAAATGATAAAAGTCACAACCAGTAAGATATCTTAAAACAGGCCTGTGTTTTTATGGTCATGATAGCTCCACAGGTATACACTTATTTTTATTGTGAATGACTGGCACACTTTAAAAAAAATTTGTTAAAACCGGTTGGATACCTTAAATAAATTTTGAATATTTTTCAATATTTTTTAATTATGCTCTTTTATTAAAGCAGTGTATTTTGAAATTATTAGAATTATTAGTAAGAACATACTGCATGCATATAATAAAAAGTTGTTTACACTAATACCAGAAGAAAAAATTCAAAAATTTACTACCAAATATGATCTAAAATTCAGAAAAGCAACTCATTCCCAATTATGCTTTTGATTGTGCCAAGGATGACATACTATTTAAGAAGATTAAAAAACAGAATTTAATTTCTAGAGAACTAAACTTATCTCATAATTACATTTTAAAAATTTTAAAAACTATCAGAACATAGTGTTGGTAATTGTCTGTGTTATTTTAAGAATTTTTAGGGGCATTATTACTTAAGTTAAAATTTACTAACATTTATCATTTTATCAAAGTATTTTTGCAGAAGAGCAATAAATATATTTACATTTAAAAATAACTTGTCTTGAAAGTCACACAAACTCACATTAGTAGTTTAACTCCAAATTAGACAGATTTTATTGAAATATATGCGATTTTTTCATTTTGATTATATTTAAGCTGGAGGTATTTATTTAAATAATAGATTTTAAAAAATCCTTTTTTTGTTTTTGAAGGAAAAAAAAAACAGTTTGGTATTAACCTGGATTTGGACCATGGCTTAAACCACATTTGTTTAAACCAGCCAATCCTGATTTATTTATCTTAATTTCTTTTCTTAGGCTACATTTTATTATTAAAGTATAAATATTTAAAAAAATGTGTTAGAGCAGAGAGACTAATCTAGGCAACTATTTTCTGAATCTGTTACCTATTTTGGAGACATTGTTTGTTTCTGAAGCAACTAAAGGGACTATTTTTTGGATTCTTACCCCAAATGGTAACCCTGTAAAGACCATTTAGTTTTTAAGAAAAATTTATTGCAAATAACTTAAGTAAATCTGTATAATTTGAGTTTTAATTATGTGAGAAAATGGTTTAAGTACCTAATCAAATTCTCACAAAATTTGTTTTGAAATTGTAGCTATGTAAGACAATTGACTCAGAATAATAAAATGCATAAGTTCTGAAAATTTTACTTTAATTATAACTGTATATTTATCACACTATACAATATTACACTCTTGTTTGTTCTTTACACTTTTATAAATGGCTTTTTGAGGGGAGCTATATAACTTTTTTTGTACAAACTGAAAAAATGGATTACATCTACTACATTATGTTTATACATCTACTTATTTTGACATTCAGGAAAGTTATATTTTTGATTTCTTAACTTAATTGTTATCGTAGATTAATTTTGTCTTAAATGCTCTTGTACAATCCAGAAAACTTTAGATTGTAGCATATGAAAATTTGATCTGAAATTATTCAAGCGGTTCAGTGCTTTTTTTTCATTTGTATGTTTTAATTTTTATGTATGCATTAGGTAACTTAATGAATAGGATGAGTATATTCAGAGATTTTTTTTAAATTTTTTTCCCTTTAACATTTTTTAGTTTATTTTCTGTATTTCAGTATATTTAAATAAATAACTACAAGGTAAAAAAAAAACCCTCTCATACATTTTTTTAAATTTATTAAAATCAAATAGTAACTTAAATCAATGAATTGCTTAAAATTAAAGTCGGGGGCTGGCAAATAAGATTTTTTATTATTTTTTTTTTATTAGGGAATCATTTACTAATTAATTTTAACAAAGTTATAAGTAAATTAATTTAAACTGGGGTTTCTAAGGCTAGATTTGTTTTCAAATTTATGTGAGTAATTTTATTTGTATAAAGTAATATAATTTATTTCAAACTTTGTTTTGAACTTTCATTTATTCTGCAAGTATTTGAACAATTTATTTAATGTTATATTTTTATTTTTTTAGATTGTTGATCTATTGGTGTTGTCATATATCAATCCCCATTGAAAGTTTTAAAATCTTTCTGTAAACTATGTAGTATAAAATTTGATAATTTCCCTCCTTTTGAGCGATATTTAAACTGAAATTGTTTTAAGTAATGAGTTCGCTGTTCTCAAATTTTTTTTAGTTGTTTTAGAATTCCATCCTTTTAAATTTCATGCTTTTTTTTTTTTTTTTTTTTTTTTTTTTTTTTTTTTTTTTTTTTTTTTTGCAATCTTGTGCATTAATGTACTTTTAAATATTGGGGAGTTGTTATTCAAACTTGTTACCCATTGGGATTTAAATGTTATGATCTAATCTGTAAAGTTTTGCAACTGCATGGTTCTGTGTGTTGGTTTTTCAACATGACTTAAAGGGAATTTTTATGTATTATCTTATATATGATATTTATTTTATTATATAGCTAGTCAAATTATATTTGTTTCAGTATACTTATCAATGAGTAATTAATATTTTACCTATTTCTTTTTTATTATAGAAAGGAGATAACTATTTCTGAATGCATCTGTTGTGGACCTTTACATCCATTATAAACTATCTCCCTCACTGTTTGTGATAACATCATATCTGTATTATATATTTATTGTTATTTTCATTAAAAGTTCTGTCCAATTTTTTGGATTGATTTTAATTGCTGCATTAAGTTTACTTTCTCAAAAGAGTTACAGCGACTCTATTATTTTTTGTGCTAGAAATTGATATAAAATTTTAAGAGTGGCCCAAATAAAGTTATTTTTTCTTCATTCATGCTTTTTTTAAAAAATAATTTATGTTAGTAAAATTTTCCAATCAGTTTTTATCATAACTATGTGATCTCTGAATTATACCAATATGTGTATTCAAACAAATTGTCATGTTTTGTAAACTGATGGCTTCCATTTTTTTACTTGCCAATTCTTTAAAGATTGCTGCACAGTCTTATATGGTAAATTAAATGAAATGCAATTGGAGAATTCTTGTATCAGAAGTACTTCTATTATGATTTAAAACCTTACAGCTCATAATTGGATATTGGTGTTTCTTTATTCTACTGAGTGTAATTTACATTTCATGCATTGCTAAAAAAAACATTTTTGTTTTTTAGATTGCATGAGAATGTATTTGATAAATATATTTTAGGAAAAAGATTAGCCTTAATAATTGTTTTTAAGGAATATGTTTCACTTATGCTTTTTTTACTACTACCTATCCTCTTCAAGGTTAATACCTGGCTGACTAACCCACTGAGCTAATATCGTAACATTCCAAAATGTCTACTACTCAGTCTTAGTGTCTATGCTCGCCCTTTACTGACCATTAAATGAAATTGTGACCAAATATACCCCTATAAAACCAAGTATGGATGGGCTTCAAGAGCACATCTTTATACTTATGCCATTAACATTGTCCATGGAAGATTGTACATTTGTCCAACATGGAGCCTGCCTTACCTGACTATAAAATGTTTACTTCCATAATTATTAATTTCTAGGACACTCGAAAGTAACTAGCTTGTCCCTGACTCTTTGCATGTGAAAATATGAACCAATGACACATTGTCTACCTTCCAAACTGAACATTATAGTAAAGGTTTGTATAGGCATCATGTTAGATAGGCATATAAACCACCTTGGACAGCCACATAAAAGATACTGTTACTAGTATGAGTATATTTGTATATTTTTGTAATATAAGGGTAATAGGGCTCTTATTTAGGCAATTTTTTATGTTCTTGTAGAAAACAGGGAAATCGACTTAAAAATTAGATTTTCTAATGAATAAGAATTCCTGATAGAAAAATAGAAGATTTTATATGCAGTAAAAACTTCAAGCTACAGTGCCCAGTCCAAGAGTTATTTAATTCTACACTTTAACTGAGATGTTTTCCTGGAGTTATGCAAGCTTCTTTAAAAGCACAGTTGGAGTTATTCCTGCTTTCTTTTTAATCAACGACAGCATACAGTGTCAAACCTCATCATGTCAAGGATTTTCAGGAATGTAAAGCTGTCAACAAGACTGGATGGCCAGCCAGATCTCCTGACCTTAACCCTACAGCTCATATCTGTGACCTGTTAAGGAAACTATTGGAAAGTCACTATCTCCCTCTGACAACAACTAAAAGAGCATTTCTGAACCAATTGCCACTGAAACACCTTATTCCCTGTCGGAAACCATGAAATGTATATTATTGAAAATAGATTGAGAGGGCTGTTTACACCTATGAACTTTTCTTCTTATTTTTTTTCCATTATGAATCAGTATTTCATTATCTTTTACTTTCCCTCCATGATGATGTTAAACATGATCATGTGTAAATGTTATAACTGTTATTATTATTATATCAACCTGTGTATAAACTAAATTACACTAAAATCTGTTTACTAGTTTTAAAGACAATCTGAAAATATTTAATTTTGAACACCAACCTATTTGAGATTAATTCTTCCTGTTCTTTAGATTTTAAGGGAACAAATTATATAGTACAAAGTCACCTGATCCTAGATGACTATTTTTTTTTTCGCCACAAAAAACATTGTTGTTCGAATTTTCCTTACCATTTAGAAGAATGTTCCTCCTACCACATTGAAAAAAGAGTCTGTACAGATATATTTTGTAAAATATGAGTAATGCATTTTAAAAGGCATATCCAGAAAGAAAAAAAAAGAGGCACGAAATCATTCTTTTTTACCTTACCGTTTATGGATAATTGTTAGAGCTAGATGTCTGTTAAAATAAGACGTAACATTAATATTCTTCAATTTTTACAAAACTGGTGTCTTAAAGATGTTTAGCTAGAGTGCATACCTACGATGTCATTAAAATTTTAATGGAAAATATTAACGTGTCTAACACCAGGAAAAGATTTCGAAATCGGGCGGGGGGAGGGCTACTGGTTGTAACTTTGAACCATTTGTACAATCCGCAAAGTTAAAAACGGAACACAGTAAGTTTTGATCTAATGATTGGCTCATTAGTTACTATGCAATTTTAACGGTCTGAAGGATTGGCTTTAAACATTCCAATTAATTTGAGTAGACGATATTTTTTAAATTACGAAAGCAAACGCAAAACGTGCTTCTTCTTTTTTACATAAGTGTAATTCTTTTAAACTGATTTAAATTTTTGACCTTCAAAATATGGTCCCTAGTGCTATTTAAAAGAAGAAGAAAAAATAATTTAAACACAGTTGTGAAACTCGTAGATCTAAAGATAACTCTTAATTTGAGCTAAATCAGCCCAATAGTTAGTGAGTATTCCCTAAAGTTTAATGACAATAAATTTTCAAAAAGTAGTCGTTTCTGAATAACTAACCAATTCCATTCAATTTGAAGGATTTAGTCATTTAAAATTAAATACTTAAAATAATATTTGTGTAAATTGAAATGAAATTTTTTTCTATCAAATAAATAATATTTTTTACATTGAATCACCATCTTTGGGTAAACGAGTTTTACAATTGTGCTTAAATTTTTTTTAATTCTCCTGATAATTCCAGAAATGTGAACATAATATGTAAAAATTGAAATTATTACTAATCAGTTCAAACTTTCAACTGCTCTACTGCGTAATTTATTGAACCTAATGAGAACATATTTTTTTAAGTGTGGCTACTGCCATGTATTGAGAATCAAGAACTCAGCCCGTCGAGAAAAAAATATTTATGCAGATAAAGTATTTTTTATTTTGTTTCTTTCGTTTAATTTTATAACCTAAAATATCATTTTACAGAAAGCAATTAGGATATTTTAGGCTAACCCCTCGAACCAATAAAATTGGATCTTATAACCTGTCACCTTTTGATCATTAGTTAATTGTCGTAAGGTGCTTTGTTCTCTCTGCACAGCGCATAAAATAAAAGGTACTCTTGAAAAACTTTTGATCCAATTATTATATTTTCGTCATCGCTTTCTAAAGGGCAATTTTGTTGTCCGAGGGAATAAAAAGAACCAAAGCGTATTTTGTCTCGGCATTTTTGTTACTTTGTCCTAGATTCAATAGATATTTAACTTTCTGATGATGGCTAGTACAAATATTGTACCAGAATAATGGGTGTTAGCACACTAAGAGCCGTATCCAAAAGGTTAAATATAGGATTTAAAATTCTTTCAGTGATGTCCTAACTCACAGGACAGAAACAACTCTGAAATACTTCGAAGTTAATTCATATAATTGAAATGACTTCTGTATTTCAATCCCATTATTGAATGTGCTCTCTCCAAAGTTTCTTTAGTTTTAGGGAAGAAAAAAACTGGTCATACTTTTTTAATTACAACTTTAACTTGTTGCAAACTGTTCTATGAATCATGGGAACAATATTTATCTCTAAGTTAAGTTTATTGCATAACAAAATAATTTTTAAAATATCAGTGCTCCTTTCTATTAAATTATACTTCTCGGATTTCAGATACCTTAAAATGAAAAGTAGTAAAATTTAAAATTGTAACTCAAATCGTTTTATCTTTGTTATAATTTATTTGAAAACGCACTTGTTGAACAATTAAAATTTTGTTGCTTGCTTTAATTTTCTCAATTTGTTTGTATCGATGGTTAGCAAAGGTAGGAAAAAAAAAAGCTTTTTTTTAATGTCGGAAAGTGTTAGTGTTGAAAAATCGTTTATTGTACAAAGAAACAGCATAAATTAAGAACGTTTAATATTTTCCGTTTGTGCACTGTACTTAAAATTAATGAAAACTTGAAAAAATCACGTATTTTTTAATAGACAGTCCTAAACAATAGTAAAGCATACTTTAAAAATCGTAAAATAAAGAAAGTTTGATTTTAAATATTGTCTTAATTTATTTAATATCGTCTTAAGTATAGTTTATGATACAATTTACTGAGCATTTTACCAAATTAAAGAGAATAAACTAACTACAAATGGTTGCATTGAATAAATCATTTTCCAAATTCTAATGATCAGAAAATGAATAGTAAAAGCAACGACAGTAAAAATCTTAAAAAAAGTCAGCCTAGTTCCTTTTCTGACAGTGACGTTCGATCCGGGCAATTGGCTTCCACCCTTTTTGTCATTTCCAGGCAGCTCTCTCTCATTAGTGTTCTGGCCATCAAGTTGTCAATTAACGTCCGGCGTCTTCTTTCTTAAGATTTATGGGGATTTTTTCATCCTTTTTCCCTTTTCTCTTATAATTGCCCTATGTTGTTTCCCCGATTTCTTGCTCTTCGGATTCTTAATAAATTCTCTAGTCTTCCCGAATTTCCCGTAAAAGTGCTTTTGTTTTTTATATGAACTATTTTCTTCAGACGAAAAATGCTACGTTTGTGACTACGCTAAATTGGAAATATTTTAGCTCATAAAGACGATTGCCAAATTTAATAAATCAAGGATATAAATAAGGCAAGAAAGAAAATTGGTTTTAAAAAAAAGGCAAAGTTCTTTGATAACTTACAAATGTAAGGAATTATTTCTATTCATTAAATTTGTACCGATATTTTCCATATATTTTTACTATTTAAATTGCAATTGTTCTGGCCGGTGTCATAAAAACTAGTGCACGAGTGTCAGTAAATTCCAGTTACACCAATTTTACAGCATTGTTGGAATTAAAATAATTTCCTATTAAAAAATTTGTCCAAAAAGGCTTTGGCCCAAGGGGAGGCTAGGTGGTCTTGTGTCA